ATCTCCACTGCGGGTTTTTAAGAACAGGTTAGACAAACACCTGTCATGAATGGTCTAGTTACCAAGTAGTCTTGCCTGGAGTTGCAGGGACTAGAGTAGAAGGCGGATTGCGGTCCCTTCCAGTCTTACACTTCAGTGATTTGATGGTTCTTGGGGATAGAGGGCCTTGTTCCTCAAATGCACAAGAAGTTTTATTAAATAATAGAAAACTATCTACAAGAAATACTTTGGAAACAATACCATCTTTGGTGTAACAGTCATCATATTTCATCAACTCAATCTTCTCTTCATGGGGTACTGGATTACCTGTTGGAATGGAAGACGTTTCTGTGAATTGTATTAAGGTTCACTTAGCACGAATAACAGGCTTTCACACACCCAGGGAGGGTATTTCTCTCTTTGCTCACCCAACTACATCAAGATTTCTGTGAGGTTTGTCAAATATGTTCCACAAATCAGAAACCCTGCTCCTAGCTGGGACCTGAACCTAGTCCTTAATGACCTTATGAAGCCTATGTTTGAACCTCTAGCTACATGTTTGTTTTAAGATTTATTTTATGAAGACAGCCTGTCTGATATTGTTCTCTTCTTCTCAAAGAGTAGGAGAATTGAGGGCTTTAATGGCAGACTCCCTATTTCAGTGTTTTCCAGAGAGAAAATGTCGCTACAGGCCTATCCAAGATTCTTACCTAATGTGTCCTCAGAATGCCACATTAATCAAACCAGTCATCTCCTGGTTTTCTTCCAGAACAACATCAGATTAGTCAAGAAGCTATATTCCATACTCTGTATGTAAGGAAGGTGTTAACTTTCTGCTAGACAGGACCAAACTATTTAGAAAATCTCCTGTTTTTGTCTATAATGGATACAAACAAGGGTTTGGTAATTTCGAAACGGAGATTGTCAAAGTGGTTCTCTGGTTGTGATATGGTATGTGGTATGATAGAACTCATGTCCAACCCCCTTTGAGAGATTTAACACATTCTACAAGAGCACTGTCTACATCAATTGCATTACTTAAGGACGTACCAATTGTAAACATATGTAGAGTGGCAACTTGGTCCTCTGTTTCATACTCTTGTCTGATTATGTCGTGGTGTCTTTGGAAAGATCAGATGCGGCTGTGGGCAAGTTAGTTCTCTTCTGTATTGAACTCTGCGCTGAACCTTCTGCCTTCTTTGGGGGATACTGCTCAGGAGTCATCTGAAGTTGAGAACCGAGAGGGACACTACTCAAAGAAGAAGAGGTTACGCATCTTGTGTAGTAACTGGAGTTCTTGGAGATGTGTCCCTCTGTTGGTGCTCCACTATCTGCCTTCTTCCCCTCTGCTTTGGAGTCATCCTCATGGGACTTTGTGGTGGAGAAGGAGTTGAGGGCAGTTTTCCCACACAGCCCATATAGCTTCTTCTTGAAAGATGAGGATGTGTGGGGTGCATGGGCGGGCTGAATGGGCACCTCTACCAAAAATCTATTATCAAAGGCGCAGGGTGCAAGTGCACCTGAAGTGGACCACTCACAGGGACACCCATTTCAAACAACTCCATTTACTGCACAAGGTCAGTAACCTCTCTGTATGCCTATTGTCTCCTGAGCAACAAAACTTTCACTTGGTGTTTTGTTCTGATTTGGTTAATATCACTTCATGTGATTACATGCATATTAGAAAAGTTATGACATAGTTAACCAGGTAAATGGCAATGAGTATAAGAAATTATAGGCATCACTGGCAGGTAGGCCTATAGTTGTTTGCCTAAGACTTAGCATTATAAACCACCACTTTTAGTGGCTTATAACTTCACCTGAATGGTTAAAGTCTGGCAGAATTTTCTTTCTGTGCATTTTCCCTGCATCAGGATGGATTTTTTTAAATGTTTCAGCACAAAGGGTTCAGCTGTTTCTGAGAGTAAGGTTAGGTGAACGTATTATTTTTAAAAAAAAATTGGCAAAACAAAGTTCCAACCATTTCTTAGAAGATCTCTAGTGCCGTTCAGATTTTGGACCAGAATTTGACATTTGGTAGGGAGTTTCTTTGTAGGATCAAAGAAATGCTTTTTGATGTCCCAGAAAAATCAGCCCAGATATGGCTTACTAATAAGTGTCTGAAAATCACCCCTTGCACATGATCAGTAGAGCTTGTTAAAGGTTTCAAGTATTAGAGTAGCCGCCGTGTTAGTCTGGATCTGTAAAAGCGGCAAAGAGTCCGGTGGCACCTTATAGACTAACAGACGTATCGGAGCATAAGCTTTCGTGGGTGAATACCCACTTCGTCGGATGCACGTTAAAGGTTTGCAGCTGAAATCCCTGAATATTCCATTTGTATGGAGCATGCTCTAGTCCCACAGAGCTCCAAAACGTGCCAGCTGCATTCACAAGCACAGAGCTAGTTTCAGATATGGGGGTTGATGCATTTACTAACAGCAGCTGCCACTGCCCTGTTGGTCTAGATGAAGGCACATGTTAAAGTAAAGGGGAAACAAGGTTGGACTGCCACCCTCTTATGCTAAAAGTAGAGATAGTTCCCCCTCTCCCTGTGGGCTTGAGGCAACAGCACTTCTTGGCTGGTGTGCTGAGGGTGCCACCTTCTGTTTCAGTTTACTTTCACTACGGAGGTAGGTATGCTGGACTCCAGGAAAAGATTATGCTTCAAGTCTCATCTCTTTCATGGACTAATGAAGTCTTGTGTAATTTGCATTTCTTATTGAGCAAGTCAAGCGGTAAAGTATAATTCTCCTAATCTTATATTCTGCTAAATGAGGTTGCACGTGTTCTGTTCTGTCAGAACTGGAAATAGAACCCGGTATTGCATCTGTCACATGGCTCTTTAAGCCACATTTATGTCTTCTGGGTTGTGGGCTGCCCCGGGGGCTGGTGCAGCCCTCGGACTAGGTTAAAGCAGCTTTGTGGGATGCTCTAATTTACAGCAGCCTGTTGGCTCACAGTCCAGAATTGCAGAGTGTTGCAGCCACTTCCCCTGATAGGGGGTTGGCCCAGGATCCCCGCTGGTGCTGGCAGAAGGGGAGTGCCGCATGGCCCGGGACCTCCGCTGGCACTGGAGGGAGGGGGATGGGTGATGGCGCGTGGCCTGGGACCCAAACTGTGGGGAGGGTTGGCAGGGCTCGTAGGCTCTCTACCTGGGTCCGCGTGTCCCTGCAGCTCGAATGAGGAAGGGCAGCCAGAGGGGCACTGCGTGCTGCCCACCACAAGTGCTGGATCCACAGCTCCCATTGTCCAGGAACTACTGCCAACGGGAGCTTTGGGGATGGTGCCTGCGAGCAGTATGTGGAGCCCCCTGGCCTCTCTGCCTAGGAGTTGCAGGGACATGTCAGTGGAAGCTGGATAGCTCCCCCCCCACAGGTAAGCGCTAATTTGCACCCCAACCTTGCCCCAGCCCTGAGTCCTCTCCCAAATGCTGAAACTGCTGCTGCTGCAGAAGTCATAGAGGTCCTGGAAGGTCACAAAATCTGTGACTTCCGTGACAGACACGCAGCCTTAATCATGGTCTTGTGCTTCCCGTGTGCTGGGGGAATTAACACTGTGTTTTTAGAATGAATGTGCCAAATCTGTTATGTTTTTCTGTGCTCATTGTAACCACTAGAACCCCACTCCCCTCCAGAGCCAGCAATAGTACCCAGGCTTTTGATTCCAGACTTCTGTGTGCTGTCTGAAAGAGTTGGGTAAGCCACTGGCAAAGTGTCATGTTCCCCTCTAGTGACTGATGGACATAGAGGATTACATACTGCTAGTGCAGTTAGTTAGTTACACTTTTAGCTCAAGTAGTAGAGGTCTGTGTAATTGATTCAAAGGTTTTGGGTTTCAATCCTGTTAATGACCCATACAGAGTGTCTTTATGGTTCCACTTGATGGAATTTCTGTTTCTTCAGTTTACTTTTCTAAAAAACTAGGCATTTGTGTACAAAAAGCTACTTTTAAAATGTCAGTTACAAAGTGCAAGTACTCAAAATTAAGAAATGCCCCAATTAATGTTTTCTATGTGACTTAGCTTCCTTGTCTGTATATTATGATAATCTTTGTGTGATCATATACTATTTGACCCATGCTTCATTCACTGCGCAAGGTGGACAGTGAATGAGGCAGAAAGTTACAAGAGAAAGGATGTTCTCTTGTGACAAACTTACTGAGCTGGGTTCTGTTCCTGGCTGAGCAACAAACATCACTTTGATGCTGGGTAAGATTATCATAATGCGTATGCACAGTAGCTCAAATTAAGCTTGCAAGCTTACTTTTGGCATTTCCTGACATGATTTGTTGTCTTAGCAACTTAAATATTTTTAGTGTAGTTTTTTGTATCTAACATACTTTGTATTTCTTTCAGTAATCCTTTTAGAAATTCAGAAAGTGTACCTGATGTATCCTTTATCAGGAAACTATCTATTGCACTGACAAAAGATTGGAGTCAATAAAGTCTCTCCTTTCCATCTCTACTTTGATCCTGTTCTATGGTTATAATTAAATTTTCATAATAAAATTCATTACTGTTAAAATTTTGGCACATGAGAACACTTTTTAATAGAAAGCTTATACCACAGCTGGGTTTTTTTTAATGTAATACTTTGTGTTGGGCTTTTTAAACATGAACTCAATGTTCTTTACAAAGATAGGTAAACATTACTAACCCCATTTAACATATGGGAAAACCAAGGAAAAGAGAGCATGTGTTTCCATGTTAGTGATCTAACAGGCGCCTTAGTACCAAGCAGATATGTGAAATGCTTGAGGTAAGTCACTAACAGTCAGGAGAAGAACCCCAAGCCTGCTAACTCCCAGGCCTGTGCTCAGTCCAACTGTTTTGCTTTATGTTGCATTGATGTTTGTAATAGATCAGATATAAAGTATTGAAAATTGTATTAGGTTCAGCGTGAGTTTAATGTGTCACTGATTTTTTCGTTAACTTGGTTACCATGCATATTTATGATAGTGTACATTATTAAAACCTATACTGAGCAAGTAAAACACTTTTCCCCCCTTTGCCTGCCTCACAGGGTCTTGACAATGTTCACAAACAGAGAGTTGCTGAAGTGCTAAATGACCCCGAGAACATAGAAAAAAGGCGAAGCCGAGAAAGCCTCAATGTCGATGTGGTAAAGTACGAAAGTGGCCCTGATGGAGGCGAGGAAGTGAGTATGAGCGTAGAATGGAATGGGGTAAGTACAGTACACAGTTGAAGAAAATAGTGGTAAATTTTCTAGACTATAACAGGAATTCCTTTGTCCAGTTGTCATTCCATTGTGTTTTCAAAGTAGTTTTCCTACTTCATCTACTTTACACTTTGTAATTCTGCAGAATTAAGAATTAAAGAATAAGATCTTGCATTTAGTAAATTCTTTTTTAAATTGTCCACAATGTTTTGTCCTGAAAAGTAAAATTTCTTTAGGAATTTCAAGAAGCTGGGCTTAACTATGAGTATTTGAATGCTGATTGAGTGTCCTGGTGTTTGTTGGGTGCATAATCCCTAGTCTGTGGTTTTCTCAATAGATTGGCAATTAATTTACTTCTGCTTATTTGCTCTCTTTATATCATCCTTGCCTGTAGGTTAAATGCGTCCAGCAGGTACCACTATGGAATTAGGGATATTAGAACATCACTGATTTTTAAAGTAAATAAAAACAATCAGTTTAAGACTTAAAAAATACTCCAGTCACCCCTCTCCCAACCTTGTCAGAGAAAACGACCTGTAACTTCGTTTCCAGTTATGGAAGAAGAGTGATCCATAATCTGCTTTTGTATGTGCTGTCATTACTGGATCATGGCAACTTGACGCAAAGATACATTTTTTTAAATGAAATGTATATCTCCACTTCCCATGCACTCCTTTAGAATTTATAATTAAAGTGAGGCCTTATTCTATCTTGTGATGTCTTGTTCCACTACCTAACATAACATCTGTGTCACGAGTTAGAACAACAAAAACTTTTAAAAACAGATATGTTTGTAATGTGTAATTAACTATGCATTTTTTTACCCTTTTTTATGTCTTTCATGCTTTTATTTATACTGTTTACTTAATTTTGTTTGTTCCGGTTACTGACTTTCTTATTGTGTATTCTGTTGCTGCCAAGGGAATGTACTTAGTGCAGGCAGTCAAACTGTTAATTCACTGTAAGCTATAGTTCTGCTAAAAGCACTGATACATTTTGCCAAATTGCTGAAGTGATAGGTTTGTCTGACTACTTTTGCTTTTGCTTTAGGGTGTTTATCCTACTTTATAAACTAGAATGCTTCTAAAGTTCATTTCTCTTACAACAGTTTTTCAGTCACTTGCAAGAAGCTTTTAAAGCCAACTTTTTAAAAAGCTTAACACTTGCTGAATTTGCCTGGAGAATGTTCTCTCCATCTTTGGTTGCTTTTGTCATTTATCAAATGACATTTTCTTGGCATTGGTATTCACCGTTTCAAGACAGTCAATCAGCATCTGTTGTGAATAATTAATGTTGCATCATTAGTGTCCCCACAATAAGTTTTGTAACTCCTTTTATCTTAATTTTGTCCACTCAGCATTAGAACTGTGTACTGTACTCCTCCCTTAATTTCTGCCGTACTTTGCATGCCTTTGTGTGTTCTAAGTGAATAAAACCTTTTTTTTACTGTTTGCTTTTAATTAAAACAAGCATGCAGATTTTGGAATGATAAAGAACCTTCTGGAAAAATACAAAATGGTATTTCTAGGTCAATATTTGAATGAAACCTAAACTGATAAATATCTGTTGACCTAAAAAATTAATTTTCCTTTAGGGACCAGAATTAAGGAAGTGTTGATTTTTATAAAGTCTGGGAATTGCACCATTCATTTTAAAAATGTGGCATCACTTTTTCTGATATACATGGGACTATCCTTGAAGTCTTTAAACCATGATTTGAGGACTTCAGTAGCTCAGACATAGGTGAGAGGTTTTTCACAGGAGTGGGTGGGTGAGATTTTGTGGCCTGCGTTGCGCAGGAGGTCAGACTAGATGATCATAATGGTCCCTTCTGACCTTAATATCTGTGAATCTATTTACAGTCCACATTTTCTTCCTCACTTGAGAGAGTTTGTTCATACACAAATGAAAAACAGGAAACTTCCCGGCATTGTTTTCTACCTTATTTTAATGCTGCTCTTTTCTGTACCTGTAGGATGTGGTGTCACCTTTCCCTCATCTCTTCTCTCCTCACAGATATTCTGCTTCTCAGACAGGAAGTACTATTGAATTTCTATCACAGGCAATTTACTTTGTTTACAGAGACCAAAGGAAGTGCCTGTTTTGGTAAAAACCTTCTGATGTGCATCTGTACTCTTGAGTTGGCTCAAGAATTTGGCTCTCAGACAAAACAGTGTTAGGGTTTAGGAATAGTGCAATTTATAGAGTAGTTGAAATTTTTTTAAAATTTGACTTTTCAGTGAGAAATGTTCTGCAGTTTTTGAACAGCAGTGCACAGAAGTAGTAATTTTGTGAGGGTATACACAATAAAAAAGGATACTGCAATTAAAGTAATTACCCACATGTAGTATAGCTTAGAAAAGAACGGTATGCTTTTGGGGTATTGTCCTATAGGAACTGAAAAGTCTGTTTTTAACCAATAAATCTATAGCTAAATACTAAGACACACTTTGTTTAGTAAAATTGATGTAATGTATATTGTATACTAACACTTCTAAAACTTGCACATATTTATGGAACAATACACTGTTCTCATAACTTTTGATCAGTTTTAAACTTTTACAATTTGAAATTGTAGTTAGAGAGTTCCTTTCATAAACATTTAAAAAATGTTTTCTTATACTGACTTTTCCAGATAAGCCTGAGCTCTTGCCCCATGTCTGTCTCAAAAACTGAAGGAGATTTTTTATACAGTGGCTATAAAGCTGAAATTCTGGCTAACTTGAGAACTGTTGATGTGAACATGCCTATTTTAAGATGCAAGGAATAATTTGCCTTTTTATTCATGGAATCATGTAACTAAAATATAGAGTTCAGGTTCAAATAGGGTGACCAGATATCCCGATTTTATAGAGACAGTCCCAATATTTGGGGCTTCTTCTTATATAGTCTCCTATTACCCTCCCACCCCGGTCCCGATTTTTCACACTTGCTATCTGGTCACCCCAGATTCAAAGCTGCTGAATTTCTATAAGCACTTCTTGAATCATTATAGCTGAAATGTCTTTATGTAATTCTAAATAAAATACAAAATCTAATTTTATAATAGACCTCTGTCATCAGGTGAAGATTTGATTGCAACTCCCAGTTAGTTTTCAATCACTGGTAGAAGGGCATTTTTTTGTAAAATATCTATTATCGGTATTCACTCTACTTCCTACAAAGAGATGCCATCATCACTAAACAAAAATCTTAATTGATATCCTTGTCCATTTTCCCAGAGTTGAGAAAGAAAAGCCTAAGAATTCAACTACTCAGTCACTTCTGTAGGTGGTTCTTTCAGTTCAACTTTGAGGTCCCTTGGGCAGGGCAGTGTGTGGAAACTTGCGTGTTAGTATTTTCCTTATGAATTTTATTTTTTAAAAATATATACATGATAATACATAAACAGTTCCATGGATTCTTATTACCTCAAAGAAGTAGATGGAATTTTATTTGTTTGTTTGGAGGGGTGAGGGAAACACTTTTCCTTTTTAGTGTTGTGGAGAAAAAAATTCCTGACAGAAGTTAAAGCTTAAATGAATGCACCTTGTTCTGTTAATTTCTTTTAAATCTTGTATTAAGTTTTTCCTTTTAATTTTGGTTTTTGTATTCTTTTCAACTGAAAAAAAAGCATTCTTTCCCCTGCGTATATGACACGTGATGTGTTTATAATATAAAAGCAATTTCTGGCTTTTAAAAATCTGCTTTTCTCTTATTTACAGATATTAATTTAATAAAAGACTGGATCTCTTTTGGTAATTTTTGTATGATACATGTTAGTGAAATAGGTTAAAGTATGTAAACAAACAACTACCTTTTTGGTAATTGCAAGGATCTGTGAATGGCAGCACTTACAGGTGCAATCCCAAATCTTTAATTTAAAAAAAGACCTCCAGCACATGACCTAGAAATACTGTAAACATAACTGTTCAAAATTGAAAACTGTTGAACTTTTCCCAACAGTTTCATTCAGTTTTTCTCTCTCCATTTCTGTCTGACAGGCCTAGATGCCTTTTGTGATTCTTATACTGTCTCCTGCATGACGGGCGTGCACCATCTTCAAGCTTTAACTTCTCTCTTCAGTACTGACTGCTGTGTTTTAGAAATCCCTTACGATTTTTGTCAGAGCTACACTTCCTTGTAAACTGGCCATTCCTTCAGTGCTATGTCTTTTATTCGGTTTCTTATTTCTGTACATGTGTAGCTTTGCTAGATATGTATCTAGTCATACAGAATGTGTTATTACAACCATTTGCTGTGTAATACTTAAGTAAAAAGTAAGAATGAACTTTATAAATAGCTGTTCACTATGAAAAAGGTAGTTAAAAGTATCACACAAGGTATTATTAAAATAGCATGATGGTGACCTTTACAGAATAAAACGTAAAAGTAAGGCATGTGCTCCAAGTGCTTTAAAATATATTTAGAGACCTATAATGTGGTTAACATCAATATGGAACTCTGGATGTCTTCACTTATGATTATTCTAAAGTAGCATTGCTGTTTAGTCTTTGTGTGAAATTTTGGCAATTTATGCTTTTCTCTACTAATCTTGGTGTTCAGTGATTTGTGTATCTGTCTTTCTCTAATAAACTCACTCCAACTGATGTCTGTCTTTGTCTGCTTAGTAGTACTTTCTCCTTTTACAGTCCTTACTTTCAAACAGTAGCCATATAGGATTTCTAGATGTAGCAAGTGGTTACTTATCTTACTAAACTGTTGATTTTTTAAGAGAAAACAATAATTCTTTGGCATACAAATTTGATATGTACTTAAGAGTTAGAAACTTCTGTGGGCATAAAATGTGAATTTAATGTGCAGAAAGTTGTCATTTCATCTTGTTTTATATTTTTCTGAAACATGGTGAAAGAAAACTGAAATATAAGAATCTAAATATATATTTTCTGATCATAAATGGTTCCTAAGTTTTTAATAAACTTAACTTATAGAATTCACTAAATATGTTTAGTGCACATGGCCTAGATAGTTGAACAAAAATAATAAAATAGTTCATTCAGACCTTGATAGAATGCTTTTGCTTGATACTGTACTCACCTTTCCCATATGACTGCATCAAAGTAAACATGAAATGTTATGGTGGTGGTGAAGGTGTTGGTATGCATTTGTGAGTCATGTATACTTTGAGATTATTTTTTTAACTCTTATGAATCATAGTTAACTATAAATTGAATAGATTTTCATATTTCTGAAGTCCTTGTGATAAGTAGGCACTGTTAAGTCTGAATGCTGACAGTAATCTTCTTGATAAAATACAATTTATATGTCATTTTAAAATATTTATATAATTTGGCACTATTACCTATCGGTAGCAGAACATAAGTATTTTGACTATACATGTTGTTGTTGTTGTTAATTCAGCTGTGGGGGAGGGGCAAAAACTGTTGCAGTTTCACATTTGTTCAAATTTTTTTCAGGATGGCACTGGATCTTTAAAACGCAGTGGTTCCTTTAGCAAGCTCCGTGCTTCAATTAGACGCAGCAGTGAGAAGCTGGTTAGAAAGCTGAAGGGAGGAAGTTCACGAGACAGTGAACCAAAGAATCCTGGGTAATTATTTATTCTTAGATGAGCTGGTGTGCTCCCAGTTCGTGCCCATTTTGTAGCCTAGCACTGATCAAGGTAGCCTTTTCTCTTGTGGCTATTATCTACCTTTACTGCATGTAGAATTGTAGTTCATAAAAAGGTCTTAAACATATTGTATTCCTTACTGAAAAGTGATATAGGGAATAATTTAACTCTATGCTGACAGTTCCTTAATATTAACAGTGGAAAAAAATTAATTTATTTTAGTATTTATTGCTCAGTTGTTGTTTTTTACAGAACTTGCAACTTCTTAAAGGAGGATGCTTAGCATGATGGCAGCTCTAAGAAAAAGCTTTATTTAGAACATGTTTATATAGTCAGAGTATTATTGGTGCACTTTATTAAATTGCTAAATTTCTTTTTTCCCAGAGAATAAATTAAGTTGCCCAGACTTTATTCTTAAGTACTGTAGTGGGAAAAGGGATGTGGGGGCAGGGGTTGTTTGTTTTTTGGTGTTTTATTTTTATTTTTTGCTTCAGTAGAACTCACGACTAGCATAGCATTATGAATAGTTAATGTATTAAAAATAAAGGTCAGTGTTAACACAATTTGACATCAGACTTTTTAAATCTAAGAATCTGGTTCTATACAAACAGAATGCATTTCACATATTGTATGTATTAATTTTCTACTAATATTTAAACTTGCTCTTTATCACGAGTATAGAAGTGGAAAGCTACTGTTAAAGCGAACAAAATGTTACCTCTCAATCCTTAGTGTTGAGGGAAAACGTTTACTGGAAGTCAGCATAAACAATCATTTTTAGTCATGCTTCACTTAGAAACTAAGGCTTAGTGTACCTAAAAAGTTAGGTCAACTCAGCTATGTGACTCAAGGATGTGAAAAATCCACAGCTCTGAGCAAGATGGTTAAGCTGACCTAAATCCTGGTGTAGACAGCACTAGGTCGATGGAAGAATTTTTCTATCAACCTCGCTACTGCCTCTTGGGGAATGGGTCACCTATGTTATGGGACAACCTCTCCTGTCAGCTTAAGCCTTAGGTAGTGTCTACACTGAAGTGCTACAGTGGTGCAACTGCAGCGTTTCAAATGTAAACAATCCCTAAGAAGGATTAACTACTGAAACATCCACATTTCAAAGGGCAGAAAATAGTGTCAAAAAAACTCTTAACTATTAAATATATATGTACTGTAAATTCAGTGAATCAAGAATTTTACTACATGCTATTAGCTACATGTTATGTGTTAAATTCTCACACCACTGAAGTCAGTGGCAAAACTTCCACTGAATTTAAGGAGGGGAGGCACTGTGTATTTTCATGGCTTTAAGTGTATTTATAATTCCTGCTGATGCACAAAACGTATGTTCATCTGTTTACATATTGCACTATGCAAACTGAAACATTCATCACAGAATTGAGCATAAGCATTACCTTTTTCCTTAATAGTCTTACAGTTCTAGCAGCATATCAGGGTTAGCCTTGAATACTTTTTTCACTTTGGAAAACAAACCAATTTGGTTCCCAGCTACAACTGTTAGAACAGCATTGCTTTATTGAGCTTCTGTTTAAAAGTTCTAAATAAGAGAACTTGGGTTGTCTTCATCTGCTGGAATAACAATCTGAATGAGTGAGTCCATATGATAAATACATTTAGAAGTATTTATGTAGTAATATAAATTGGTTTGTGATGTCTGGGGCAGGGTCATGGGGGCATATCATAAACTGGTGTAAATTATCGTAGCTCCATTGGAGATCTGCCACATTATTTTTATCTGCTTGTAAAATATCATGCACACCCATGATACTATATAAATAATTTCTGTTGCTATTTAATTATCATTTTTTGATTACTTACCTCATTGATATTTGCTTTGAAGTGTTTTCAACCTTACATCTGACCAGATAGTATCAATCGTTAGTAAAAATTCATTTCTGAGCGGGTGAAGATGAGATTCTGTGCCCAGTGAAGTTGGTGACAAAACTCCTACTGAATTCATTGGCGCACAAGCAAGCTGTCAATGAAAGGGTGTTTTTTCAATGAAGGTAGGGTGGAAGACTGGATTTAAAAAACAAAAAAAAACCCACACAACAGTATAATGGAAGAAATACAAAACTGCAAGATAGTTTAGCAAAACAGTGCAAATACAAGCCCAGAATGAGTCTTATTCTTCCAACATCCATAGTTAAAAAATTTGTAAATGTTTCTATCATTATCAACTCCCCATATTGCCAAGGTTTATCATTTGTTTTTATAAACTATAATTTATATCTAATAACTATTTCCTTTACCCCCAATATTTTTGGGGAGGTTTAAAAGTTTTTATGACATTTTATGGAACCAGGTTCCTATTCCTGGTATCCTGCAGTTAATAATAGGGAAATATATGGACAACTTGTTTTTTATAAATTGTAAATAATAGCTAAAGGGTGTTTCTACCATATCTTGAATATTCACACTTACTTTATTTGGCATTGCAATCTGCTGTAAACATCCTCTGTATGTGTGCTGCATGTAAGTAAAAGTACTCTACCCACATCAATATGAACTGTATTTTTGACCCAATGCCACCTAAATGTGTGTGTTATTTATATTCATGAAAAAGTTAGTGTAGAACAGATGCTAAAATGCCAACATCATTCTTGGTTTCCAGTGTTCATAAAGTGTCCTGTGCTCTTTGAAAGACTGTCTGATATTTGAAGGTAAAATTCTTCATTAGCTTATCTGTTATGTACATATTCCACAAATAGTTCTGATTTCAAAATCTTTCATTGCTGGTGATCATGTAGTGCCGGCAAGAAAAAAGTTTCATTTTGAGGTCCTAGGATGAGTGTGCCGTACTGGCACTTTTTTTTTTTTTTTTAAATTAACCTTTTGACTAGTAAATGTACAAATTCTATCTGGAAGTTGATGAGAATACCTATACAACCCTTGTTGTTGTAGATTATAAAATCTTTTAAAAATCTTTTCATTTTCTTAGCTATTTTAGGAAGAAGTTAAATATCTGGTTTGTAAAATTTAAATTTTTTAACCCTTTCATGGTTTTCTAGATCATGGAAGTGCAATTTAGAGGATAGGATTTAGTAAAATATGTACATATGTTTACACAAGAATACTTTCCAATAACTTCTTTATTCATAATAGGTTTTTTCAACTTCATTTCCAGTAGTAACATTGCTTTCCATAGTAATTTGCTACATTTAGTTAAAACGGCTCTGTTTTCTTTTACTGCCATTTGATTTTTAAAAGTGACAATTTGATGTATATATTTTTATATAAACACGCATTTGTGTTTAAGATGTTGCAAATAACTGAATACAGTATTGCTAGTGTATATAAAGATCTACTGACTTCTCAGAAAAATGGTTTGTAAATAGAATGTTGTTCAAGATTTTCCATGAGAAATCATGTGTTTTTTTTCTTCTCACCACTACCTCTGCCTCTTCTGTTTTCTGTGAAGACTATATTTTTGCTTTGCAGTTCACCTGTTCCTGCTGCTTTGTCCTCACTTACAGTCATAGTCATTGATCATGCTGTCAAACAAGGATTATGATTTCAAATGAGGAATATATAACAGGAATAGATGAGCTCCAAAGCCTTAAAAACCCAGTCTTCAGAAATCTATTCAGAGAAAATTGAGGGAAGGAGGGAAAAAACACTTATCAAATTATTTATAGGTAAAATGTTTTCGATAAGGTGATAGAAGGTCTGTAAGAGTTAGATGTTACAAACATACAATACTTGAAACTTGGTGTGAACTACTTTCCATGGACATTTACTTTTTATTTGATTTCAGATCTTTAATTTTACATCTATTTTGCTCTCCATTGTTTAAAATTTGACCACAGAACAAGTTAGCTAAGTTGTTACAGCAAAAATAAAAGCAAAGCTTTTTTAAAATAGCTGTTTGTTATAACACAAAGAAAAATTATGCATGTATTTTGAGTATTTTTAGTCTTGTTTTTTACTTGAAAAAAGTTACAAGTGCATTTGCCAAACGAATTTTCATCTGTAGATGAAAATCTAATTTTACTTCTAAAGTAAATTGGCTGCTAATAACTTTTAAAAAGTTGAAACTTAGTGATGATATTTGTTTGTTGAGGTTCATTATTAGCACTGGAGCGAAAGTATACAAGGCATTTAGGTAGATTTATACCTGTGGATTTTTTTTTTTGTTTTCCTGGAGTTTGGATTTTGTTTTTAATAAACCTTTATGCTCTTACTTTTTGAAAAGAGATTTTCATTTGTGATGTTTTGTATGTGTGTTTTTACCGATTAACATACTTTAACTTTCATGTGTAACCTTAATTGTATATTTTATGTAAATAAATAACAGAGAGGTATAAACCATGCATGATTCATTGCTTCTTTTTTGTTGCTAACACTTATGTCATATTTTAAATTATGTGCATTCTGCTATCTGAAACATTCAAAATTAATTGCTTTAAAAATGTAGTATACTTACATTGTGTAGCTGCTGCCTGCATTTATGTGTATAGGTATTTTGTATTTTAGTTTCAGTATTCCAGACATAACACATTATTTGGGCTCAGATCTATCAGAGCACTTAAGCACATTCTTACCTTAAGCACATGCTTACCTTTATGTCTGAGTAGTCCTGTTGATTTCAGTGGGACTAATGACTTGCTTATTGTGCAATATGAGCTCTGCAGAGAGACCTCCACACATGGCTTCAGGGAGCCACCTCTGCAGATCACACTGCAGGATTGGGGCTTAACTTTGGTGTTAATAGCGTGACAAAATAATTTTATTTAAGGTGCTCCTTTAGAAACTGACAAATCATAAAAAGACGCGGTGATCCCTTACCAACAGAGCACTATGTTCTAGGTGACATACAGGTATTTGGGATGGGGAATAGCCAATTCATATTGTACCATTTCAGTAAAATCTTCTGACATTGGGGACTATTTAATACTCTTAACTTAAAATGTATATAACCTCACATTTAAATATTTTAGTCTTAAATGTTGTAGATGTTTGAATAATCTTTAGTAAAGATCAAGATGAAATCAATTATTAATCCTTATCCTCAAGAATGCAGAAGTTGATGATATAAAATAGTTAATACAGAGTTATCTTGATTAGCAGTAGCCCTTCTAAAATAACAAGGTCTTAAATTGATTGTGTTATCTTTGTGGTGTATTGCTTTCAGAAGACCATTTTAGATTTTAGAACTACCACTGATTGAAGCACGTTATGGCCGCAAGCATGACAAAAGTTAATAGTAGCAACAATCTTGTATTGTCCTTCATTTCAAAATAGACTTAGCAAGCTTTTAAAAAAATCTGCTATAAAAGCAATGTTTGTGGTAACCTGTTAGTTTTTGCCTTATTTATGTAAACCGAAGTTTTTCCATAGTTTTTACTAGTTAAGTACAGCTTATTTGATAAATTTATTAATATGTATTAATATTTTCACAAACATTTCCTAAACAACTACATTTGAATAATTTGATTTTTTAAAATTAGCTAAATAACTTTAAAATGAGCATTAAAGTGGAGCATATGTTAAATTAATGTATTGATTCAGCAAGATGACATTTTGGAAACTGAAATAATTTGAACCATTAAAGATATGAACATCAAACACGTAATGTGCTTAAGTACTATGGGGCTGGCAATTATTTTGATACATATCTTAGAATTAAAAGAGAGAAGGAAAATGTGCAAATATATATAAGTAACTATAGAAAGTATTTCTCTTAAAGAGCATACTTCATATTAGGTTTCATAAGTTGTATTAAAACTCCCTTAAGTTTGCCTCACTATTATTATACTTGTGTGTTTAGAGTTTAGTTTTCAATTATTCTGATTGGTTTATCCTTGCATGTTCACTATCCTGGTTGCAGCATGAAGCGTGCCAGTTCTCTGAATGTTCTTAACATGGGTGGCAAGGCTACTGAAGATCACTTTCAAGTAAGAAGCCCTATAATATTCTTACACAAGTAGATACCAGTAGCAGGGTTTGAGCTGAAGAGCTTGAGAAACAGTAAAATGATAAACCTCTTGGGACCCAATAAGACTCTCAGTATAGCAAAGCACTTTAAGCATGTGCTTTAAGTCCACTGGCATTCAGCAAAGCACTTAAACACATACTTAACTTTAAGCACCTGCTTAAGTCCCATTGATATCAGTCAGTTAAGCAGATGCTTAACTATTATGCTGAACTGGAGCCTGAATGAGAATATTGGAATGGCTAGTAAGTTTTTTTTGAATCTTACAGTCTTGTAATATAATTTAAAAAGGCATACTTGTAAAGCTCAGATATTCTGTATTTTTGATAAAAGAAGCTTCTCTCAAAAGGTGTTCTTCTCTCACAACTAGGTGTTGTGTGCTCTCAAATCCCAATTACTTCAGTAGGAGCTCAGGATGCACAGGAGCAGGCCCTAAATTTATCTGATCTGTTAAGAATTGCTTCTACCAAAATTTAAACTGTAAATATTTTGCCTAACTGTATTCAGTGTATCTGATCACTACTACACATAACTGTTTGTACCTAATAAGTCAGCATTGTCAAGCAAAGCTAGTAATGTTCTGTGTTCTAAACAACGTTGTGCATTTTACTAACAGCAGCTGTGACTAACTTTGGGGGGAATATTAATTGCATCAATGCCAGCATACTGTATTCTGTAGAATCTTTACCTTTTTTTGCCCCAAGGCTTACAATAAAAGTACATGCTGCATGGATCTCTTTCACTGTTGTGTGGCATAAAGGTATCTCCTTAGTATTATCCCTAAAGAGTCTACTGCAGTTTTTTAATTCCCTGAAATTTATGCAAAGATTCATTAATTTATGTGAACTTTGACCAAAAAAATCCATCAAGGTAAATCAAAAAGTACTTTGCAACGGTAATACAAAAAGTGCCCAGGGCTTTCAAAATCAGATTGTCTTGGCCTAGGAGTATTTAACTTTATAACTGGTTTTCTATACATTCCATAATCTGTACTTTCTCAACAAGCTGTGCTTACCACATGCGAAATGTATAAAGTTAACAATGTGTTTACAAACATTTTCCCTGGTTTGCCAAGTAGACACTTGCCAATATCCCTAGGCAGTCAGCCCCTTCTGTAATAAATATCTGTTAGGAATGCAAGGGAAGTGCTCAGATATTACTACATTTCTTCAGTTTAGCTAGTTGAAGTAAAGATAGTTATTAGGATGTGAAAAAAAATCTTATATAATCTCTCTGACTAAAGTAGGTAAGCAATACTAGTTTCCTAAAGTACACCAATTGTTCAAATATTTGTTTTAGTTTTTAAATTTTTTTTATCATTCTTTTTATGCAGACATCCAGGTTGCTCAAGCATTTTAATAATTTTTTTTCATTTTTTTCATACAGGAACGAAATAATTGTCTGACAGACTCAAGAGCTCTGAGTGCCAGTCACACTGATTTGGCACATTGAAGTTCTTGGACAGAAACTAGCTAAAATTTCTTTGTGAATAAAGAAGCACTGAGACTCTCAAAGCTTTGGTTCCTTATCAGTCTCTATAGGAACATCTAATTTGTAGACTCTTTTGCAATGGACTGCTGTTTTTACTTTTCTAAAATAGTAGTGACATTTTTAAACATAGTGTTAGTGGATATTTTCTTCTAAAGAGAAATGATATATATTGCTCATTGCACTGCTGTCATTCATGCTACGTATGTCGATTTCTGTTAACAGATCTGAATATCCCAGCAGCTGAAAACTGAAAAAATAGAAATGCATATAAAACATACCAAAATGCAAAGGAGTATAAAGGTTCTCTATATTGATATTTGAAAAAAGATTAAATGAAATGTGTAGCAGAAAATATATACAGTGCTTGAATGAGACAAGTGTCGGTTATGTGCATTACTGTATAAATTCAGAATGGGGTATACTGTATTGGTGTGACTTTGCCTTGCATGACTGAGAGTCACAATTTCAGATATCTTGCCTGAAAAGTAGAGCTTAAATATTGGATTCCTTAACCAGTAGATCTAGAAAATAAATTTTGTAATGGAAACACTTAGACTACCTTAACTATAGGTGGCATGCTTATCAATACCTGTAACTATGAAATTTCCTATCTTATTTATTGATGTAGGTCTTAAGGCCCAGTAATCAGTGGTAATCGTACAGTTCATTTTGATCAGGGGGAAATGGCAAACGTTTTGGCCTGTATTTTTTTTTTTTACAGTAGATGCATATTGAAGCTGTGGGGTGCAACTGTCCCAGAGCAGCAGCTGCTGCTTTAATGCAAAATATTATGCCTCAGGTTGCTGACACTTTTCGTGCCTGTCCGCTGAAGTTCTTATCCCTTAGTTCTCTTTAGGCTAAAACTACTCCATTGTTTCTTCATGCTTGTTTCAACTCTTGCCTCTCTCCATATTAGTTGATGGCAACAGGAGCAAATGAAGCAGGTGACTGCATGCTAGGCTGTTATACTGTGGAATAGCTGCTGTGCAGAGGACCTACTTGTGAAACTCTCCACTTAAGTTTAATATGTTTAGGGCCTCATCAGAAGCACTAGATGCCCTTATTTGGCAGACAGGTCACATTTTTGATCAGCCATCCTTTTTTAATCTGTATACAATTAATAGATATGCTGTCTGTATTCAGGCCTGCTGCTGGGACTAAGTATGTAATGTTTAAGTATCTTGTGAACACTAACATTTTCAGTTTGTTTTTTCTGTAAAATATGTGATTTTTAAAACTCCACACTTAGAATTTTGCAGGCAGGTGAAAACTGTTATTTACATGCAAGTGGAAGGAGAAGGTAAAAATGTGCATGTGTTTGTGAATATAGAGAAATAATTGAAATATACAGAACAAAAAGATAACTATGGGACAAGCTGGAATACTAAGCCAAGACTAACACACATTGAGATAAGATAGAGGAAGGTAAACAATAAGTTTTGGTATTTGATCAGGCTGTGAAGAACTCACTAGACCGAATACTTTTATAACTGCTTGACCAACTTGCATCTGGTTTTAAAGCTTATTTTAATGACTGATGCAACAAGTTATATGTGTAATGCACTTATGTTTACTATGAGGTACTTCATTAGCATCTCTGTAAAGAAGAAAATTGTATATATGGTATACTTGCCATAAAAACAGTCCAGAAATGGAAACAAGATGCTGCTAATGTGTAGTGGTTTTAGCGCAGACTAGTGCAATTCATTGATGAACTTGAGAACAAATTGTTGCTCAGTTATTTTATAGATGTAGACATAATGTGGGCTCGAATTTTAATTTTTTTTTAGAGATCTTATATTATTTTAATAAAACATCACATATATGTTTGGTGGATTCATAGTTCTCTGCACAAAGTTTGAAGTAAACTAGCTTTGCCCGTGGAACTAAACAGCAGTTGCTGGGTGGGTAAGATGGTATCCATTGCTAACTGATGGGCAGGCCACAGGGCTACCACAACTGCTTTGTGTCAGCTGTCCCTTTTGCAATGACTACGAAGGATTTCTAGTGCAAAGGCCTGCCCTACAAGTCAGTCTTTGCTGGTATAGGAGGAGATATCACAGTAATAGTGGCCCAGAGGACTTTTTACAGGCCCTTTACATCCAACGTGACTTTCACCAATGTGAAGAGCACCTATAAAGGTATGACTTTGTAGAAAGGTAGCTATTCTAACCCAAAGATGACTTTGAGATTAGATATTTGGTGCAATCTAAGAACTTGTTTCCAAGCCTTTATCTTTCAAATTTGAATTAATGTTTTTGCAGCCTCTCAAAGAACTGGAACTTGTTGTGTAAATAGAAATCTGTTTAAATATTTAAAACTTAATTCAGACCTGCTTAACTATACATTTTATTAAATGGTCTTTAAAATTCAAAACTAGAGTATGTCAGACGCTGGTGTTAGTGGAATCTCAACTTTAGGTTTTTAAATAGCTCAATAAAATATTGTAGGTGGTACTATTAGTACTGTGCTTACAGATGTGACTTGCGTACTTTGTTATTTAAAGAAATCCTGTCAAGGAATCATAAGGTTAAAATGTTGACCTACTTTTCTATCCCACACCGCCTTCCCAAACAAAACCACTCTTTTAACAACTTGCAAAATCTATGTAATTTTTCTGTGGATTTTGGTATCAAACTTCCTTCTGTTTAAATGATCCAAAAAATTACTTTGCCAGTGTATGCATCTGTTTGTTTTTAAGTGGACTTCTGAGTTTACTTTTAAATAATCGTTGACACTTCCATTTTAATTTTTTTTGCTAGACTCCGTCATGTTGTGCACCATTTGCGATCAGGACTGTCACTATTTGTTCTTGATTGAAGATCTAATTAAATATTATGGTAAAATTTAGCAGTGATTCATAAGCTCCCTTTGTAGATGGGTGACTGAACTAGCAGTTTACTGTTTGTAAACAATGTCCCCAGTGGTAGCAAAGTATTTAAAACAAACTATGGATGAACTACGTTTGACATTTATTTTCATGCTTTTGTATTTTGTTAAGGATGAGTGGTAGTAATTCAAAAAGGTTTAAGCTTGAAGTATCTATGGTTAATCTGTACAGTTAAAGGATTCCATTGACTTAAAAAACAAAAGAGAAAACCAAGCAAGGTTGTGTTATGTATGTACCGTTAAAATGGGGTGTGCATGCAGTGCTTCATCTAATGTATGTTTACAGTATTTGATAGGTTCAAGTGTACAATTTTGTTTTTGTCAAGTTAAGTCACTTACTTTGTCTGAAAGCTGCTAAGTGTATGTATTGCATTTTAGTAATCAGTGTCTGCCTATATCAAAAGAATAAATATTGGAAGGAAAGCATGAACGTGTAAAGTTTAGTTTTATAGTACAGACTTTGCATTATGATAAAAATGTATTTTTGTAAATGCATGGGTATAAATACTCTTTAAAAAGTAAATGGTTAATTTGTGAGGGGAAGTTGTGAAAGTTTACATTTGTTTCAAATCATTTGTAGTCTGAGTACTTTGAATGGAAGAGGTAAGTAGTGTGTTTTTTTTGTTTTTTTTAAAGTCGAGCTAAATGAAAAGTTACCCTCACATTCATCACCCTGAGTTCAGCAGCCCTAAAATACACCTTCTTGGTGAAAAAATGAAGGCTTACGTGATAGAGTGGCAAAACTCTTTATATCCCTGTAATACAATTGTTATGACTGCTTTAAAATAGGAATAATTTAAAAGATCATAGCTAAAATTCAGTGGTTAACATTCCACCTGCATTTTAAAGCACTGAAGATGCCTAGGACTGTAAAAGTATGGCAGATTAGTTCTACTTTGGTTTTGTTAATGTATACTAAGAACTACATACAATTTGATATAAAAAGAATACTAAAAATTGGTAAAATAATGAGGAATCTTCAGCATCTTGATGTATTCATCAGATACTGTCTCCAACTTAAAGCTCTATGAAGTTTTTTAAAATTATGAAAAGTATTTTCCTATGTAACTTGGAGGCTGGTGTAACAAAATTAACAAATTAAGAATGCACAGCTCAAGTTCTATTAAATAACTAAGGGTATTTTGGTTTTGTTGGGTTGGGGAGGAAAATGGAGGTTAGTAACATCTTTTAAAGTAGAGCTCTGCTCAGATACAAAATTTGTATCTACATCTGGTCCACAGATATTAGCAGATTTGCAGGGCTCTGTCTTTAAGGATAGTAATGGACAAATTGGAGACAAATTGGAGGATTGGGCCAAAAGAAATCTGATGAGGTTCAATAAGGATAAGTGCAGGGTCCTGCACTTAGGATGGAAGAATCCAATGCACTGCTACAGACTAGGGACCGAATGGCTAGGCAGCAGTTCGGCAGAAAAGGAGCTAGGGGTGACAGTGGACGAGAAGCTGGATATGAGTCAGCAGTGTGCCCTTGTTGCCAAGAAGGCCAATGGCATTTTGGGATGTATAAGTAGGGGCATAGCGAGCAGATCGAGGGACGTGATCGTCCCCTTCTATTCGACATTGGTGAGGCCTCATCTGGAGTACTGTGTCCAGTTTTGGGCCCCACACTACAAGAAGGATGTGGATAAATTGGAAAGAGTCCAGCGAAGGGCAACAAAAATGATTAGGGGTCTGGAACACATGACTTATGAGGAGAGGCTGAGGGAACTGGGATTGTTTAGTCTGCAGAAGAGAAGAATCGGGAGATTTGATAGCTGCTTTCAACTACCTGAGAGGTGGTTCCAGAGAGGATGGTTCTAGACTATTCTCAGTGGTAGAAGAGGACAGGACAAGGAGTCTCAAGTTGCAGTGGGGGAGGTTTAGGTTGGATGTTAGGAAAAACTTTTTCACTAGGAGGGTGATGAAACACTGGAATGCGTTACCTAGGGAAGTGGTAGAATCTCCTTCCTTAGAAGTTTTTAAGGTCAGGCTTGACAAAGCCCTGGCTGGGATGATTTAATTGGGGATTGGTCCTGCTTTGAGCAGGGGGTTGGACTAGATGATCTCCTGAGGTCCCTTCCAACCCTGATATTCTATGATTCTAATGTCACCTTTCCCTTTAAGTCCAAGTAAAAAAAAATCTGTGGATTTAGATTACAAACGTTAGTTTTAAAACCTTCAAAGACTGGTTTTGAGGGTGCTTGTGTTGATCTTAGCTCTCAAATACTGTACAGTATATTTCCAACTGTTGAAGGAGAAACAGAACCCTGAATTCCTTTCTTGAAGGGTAAGAACTGAAAAGCTTCAAAATAAAACAAAACCTTAATCATAACAAATATCAGTAAATCACTGTGATTTAAATGCAGAACTTGTCATGAAGTTAAAGGTTAGGCTTTTTAACTAGATCTGTTGTGTTAACACTTTAGTTCCGTAAATGCACTTTTTTATACACCAGTGTCTTTACAGTGCACAGAATAACTGTCCTACCATTCTAATTTTCAACAGCAATCTGGTTCCAGAAGCATATCATGTTACCACTGAATGTCTCTTTACATTGTATCTGTTACAGAGCTATGGTTTGATTTGATGTTTATTTTCAAAGTGCAAAAATAAAATATTTAAATGTAATCTTACAATAATTCTATGTAAAATAAAGATGGGTGTATTTATGCATTTTAGAATGTAAATCTTTCATGTAAAAACAACTTAGTCATGTATTTTTCCTGTACAGAAGCAAACCTCAGTTGTGAAACCCAAAGATTAATAAAGCTATAATAAGGGACAGTTCCTAAATAAAATGCATTTATTACATAAAAGAAAAAACTTCTGGAACAGCTGTGACTTACAATGGAGAGTTACAGTATGTTCCTGTATTGCTGATAATACTCTGCTGAAAAATAAGGAACACCCACAAAATAAATACTTAGCACTGTATACAGATCTGCTTTTCATGGGTTTTACACCACCTAACTTGTATTGAATTAAAGTGTAGTTCATAAATGCAATTTTAAGATATGTGAACCCTCTATACAGCTATAGCTGATGAAATAAAATACAGTAAAAAATTCTCTTAAACATTGACTTTATTTGACTGTATGATAAGTGCTTCACTGTGAACAGTGGAGGGTTTTTTTGTTTTAAACTCTAGAATCACTTTCTTTTTGTGGGTGCAGAAAGCTCAAGAAAATTATTATAAACTGTTGTAACCTGCAAGATCCAGGACTATATTTGGATGTTCAAATAAGGACTACTAATTGACTGTGCTGTGGGGTAATTTCAAAGAGGTATTAAATCACTGGGATAAGAGGGAATGTAATGTTTTTGAATGTTAGAATTCTTGATGTCTGATTTGTGTCCATTTATTCTTTTACGTAGAGACTGTCCAGTTTGGCCAATGTACATGGCAGAGGGGCATTGCTGGCACATGATGGCATATATCACACTGGTAGATGTGTAGGTGAACAAGCCTCTGATAGTGTGACTGATGTGATTGGGCCCTATTATGGTGTCCCCTGAATAGATATGGGGACAAAATTGGCAACGGGCTTTGTCGCAAGGAGAGGTTCCTGGATTAGTGTTTTTGTTGTGTGGTTGCTGGTGAGTATTTGCTTCAGGTTGGGGGGCTGTCTGTAAGCAAGGACTGGCCTGTCTCCCAAGATCTGTGAGAGTGATGGGTCATCCTGCAGGATAGGCTGTAGATCCTTGATGATGCGTTGGAGAGGGGGCTGAAGGTGACTGCTAGTTGCGTTCTGTTATTTTCTTTGTTGGGCCTGTCCTGTAGTAGGTAACTTCTGGGTACTCTTCTGGCTCTGTCAATCTGTTTCTTCACTTCAGCAGGTGAGTATTGTAGTTGTAAGAATGCTTGATAGAGATCTTGTAGGTGTTTGTCTCTGTCTGAGGGGTTGGAGCAAATGCAGCTGTATCATAGAGCTTGGCTGTAGACAATGGATCGTGACAATTAGACGTCAAGAATTATAACATTCAAAAACCAGTCGGAGAACACTTCAATCTCTTTGGTCACTCAATTACAGACGTAAGTGGCAATTCTTCAACAAAAAAAACTTCAAAAACAGACTCCAATGAGAGACTGCTGAATTGGAATTAATTTGCAAACTGGATACAATTAACTTAGGCTTGAATAAAGACTGGGAGTGGATGGGTCATTACACAAACTACACAAACTAAAACTATTTCCCCATGTTCCTCACATGTTCTTGTCAACTGCTGGAAATGGCCCACCTTGATTATCACTACAAAAGGTTCTTCCCCCCGCCCTCCTCCTGGTCATAGCTCACCTTACCTGATCACTCTTGTTACCACACACACTAACACCCATTGTTTCATGTTCTCTGTGTATATACATCTCCCCACTGTATTTTCCAATGCATGCATCCGTTGAAGTGAGCTGTAGCTCACGAAAGCTTATGCTCAAATAAATTTGTTAGTCTCTTAGGTGCCACAAGTACTCCTTTTCTTTTTATAAACATGGTATTTCCCTGCTAGAGTCAGCATTTGAAAGTACAGCTGGCCTACTTCAGTAAGTGTTTAAAGCAGGCCAGCATTTAGTATAGGCTGCCTCCCAAAGATGCAGGTAATATTTTATTAAGATCCCTTCTTTTCCAAGATAGATGCATCGAGGTGGAAACCTAACTGAACCTAAAAGTAGGTACAGAAATCTATTCTCTATCACTGCTTCTGTATTTTCTCAGAATATGGTTATAAAAATGTATTGTCCCAGTAACATTTTCCATATACATGTTAGGCATCTTTTTTTCTACAGATGAAAAAAAATTAGGCAAATGGCTTCTTGATTCACAATCTTTTATATCTATCTTTGGAGTATATAGATATGTAACATTTTCACAGGGGGGTTTTCACTTTTACTCCTTTCACACCTTCCAAATTTACTGCATAGCAGCAAAAGGACTGAGGGAGATGAGGAGCAAAAACCACACTTAAAGTCCTCAAAACACTTCCAGTGTGCTGTAATGCACCTCCAGGTGACTGTTCTGATTGTGTTGTTCGACTGGCCATCAATCTCATCAACAGTTGGTTGGACCAGGTTAGCCCAAGTGCTGGAGAAACATTCTTATCCAATAAGCTAGAAGGAAACAGTGTTTTATAAGTTTTTGCATGCATAAAACATAAGATGCTTCACACTAAATTGCTAATTCATTTTAAGTAGACATACGTTAGAAATTACACTTCAACTATAAGTAGCTGCAATGCTTCACAGAGATGGCACTTGTCTGGACAAATCCTCTCAAACAATTTTCAGCCACTTAAAATACAAATTACAGGGCCATCTACCCTGGGCTCCATCAGAGGCAACATTACATAGGGTAGGGTAGATTTAACACCCTCAATTTTTTTTTCTTGATTTGTTGTTTATAAAATTTGTTTTAAAGGAAAGTGGAAATAACCTTCCAGTAGCCAGGGAATAACCTGCCCAAAGAAGAAGTTTCTCCCTATCCCCTGTCAACAATGTCATGCCCTTGAAACACAAAATTTATATCTCCTCTTCTAAAAATATGACCTTATGACTGTGGGAATGTTCTCATTCATATAAATGTCAAGGCCTTACTTAAATCCTACTAATCTTTTGGCCTCAAAGGTATCTTGCAGCAATGAAGTTCTGCTGGTTAATTATATCTTTACATTTTTTAAAACAAAACAAAACAGGATTTTAATAAAGTTTTAAATTTATATGGAAAGTGACAACATCCACAGTTACATCAGACAGACAAGAGAAGATATAATCCCACATGTGCTGGAGTGTAAACCAATCACTAATACCTGATGATTAAAAAAAAATATCTCCTAGGAGCAGATTATTCCATAATTGTATCCCATAGGATTTCTTCCACTTTCCTCCAGAGCTGGTACTGGTCACTGTCAGAAACAGAATGCTAGATAAGATGACCCCTGGTCTGATGTGGCAAGGTAATTCCTATGTTCCTATATATTATACTGAGGATAAACTGACAAAAGAAGAAAGAGTGCAGGGTTAAATCTTCCTTGTGTGTGTGTACTATTATTACATTTCAGTTTATGGAGAACTACTTACCCAAAATTGCTCTGAGAAACATCTGTCTCATCCACTGCATCCGTTACCTAAGTAATAAACAGATTTAGAATGAAGTTGTACTGTGAATATATATTTGTATTTACCCAAGGAAAGGTGGGGAAAGAGGGTGAGACACACAAAAGACCTTATATTGAATCAATTACTTAAGCTAAATTAAAAAAAACAAAACAAAAAAACCCAACCCTTAGTTATCCAGGCTGAAATTGAAGGGGTACTATGGGGTAAAAACTTAGTGAATAGTTACAGTGTTTAGGACTAAGTCACAGCTTGTACCAATCTATTAATTAAAAATTAAAAAGGGCCATAGAATAGTTTCACTAGATAGTACCATCATCTGAAGAACTTTAAAAGAATAAACCCAATTTTACATGTGTGTAAGTGAAGACACTGAGCGAGTGATTACGTGACTTGCCCAAGTTCACAAACTCAGACTGTGGGTAGAGCCTGGAATAGAACTCAGGTGTCCTGCCTCCCAGGAATGCATCTCAACCACATTAATTATCTTCCAAGATGAAACATATAAAAATCTTTGTTCTTAACATCTTTCTGTTGACAAAAGCACAGTAAGTTAAAAGAGTTGTTGTGTTTGTATGTAGCCCTTAGTATACACTAGGATTTTTTTCTTAGAAGCACAGCTTGAAGATACAGATGAGAAAAAAATTATTACATTCACAGCTCCCTCCTGTAGCTACAATTTTTGTAGCCTACTGGATATGCTACATGTCTTATTTTAAAAGGAGTCCAGTTAGTTATTTTTAAAAAACTTTTTAATTAAAAATGCATTTGCTTTCTGGATCCTGACCTCCTCCTCAGAGGACTGGACTGCATTTCTCTCTCAGCAAATACCAGGGACAGTTCAGACTGTCCATGAGGCTTCACCCTTCCACCCTTGTGTCAGATTCTATCTCCAGCATTTTAAGCAGAACAGCAATCCAGCATTCCCAGCTTCTAAAAATGAATTTGAGATTACAGCAAGCAAACAACAGTCCCGATCTCCCAATTCGTCTTTGCCTTTGGGGTCTGAAATTTCAGGAGCCTGTTCCCCAAATGAGCCCATCCACTGGGCTTCTGCACTTCACTTGTTTCTTTTTACAGCAGAGCAGTCCAAATGGAGCAATTCAAAGGCTAAGAGATGCTCAAGCTGCTACGAGACCCTTTCTGGACACTTGGAAGGGTAGTTCTTCCACAATTGCTCCCTATCTGCAGAATCTTGCTTTGCCAGGAAGAGAGACTTGGTCTACATAAATCTGGGACCTGTGCATCCCACCACATCAGCAAAGACTCCTCTAAAGACAATTTCTCAAGGGCACATTGGTTCTCTTCAGCTCTTGGGAGTCAAACCAGACCTGCCTGAGCAATTTCTTCAGTCCTAAGGTCAAAATACTACTTGGAACTGAGGGGTCCAATCCACCTCTAAACACATAAAGCACTACAGTTCAATCTCAAGTTCTTAAGTGATGGAGTCACTTGGAAGAAATCTAGCATACTTTCTGATTCCTTTGCAAAACGAAGTTCCTTCTGCAAAAAAGATTTCCTAAACAGCCAAAAGCATAGGAAAATAACCCAATAAAGCATTCCAAATCCAAAGGTGCTCCCCAAAGATGGAGGACTTTGGACCAAAATAACAAACAAGAGAAATTCCTCCCCCAGACTATTGCTGCAATATCTAGGAAACTTTTTTTTAAGCACACCTACACAAATTGTCGATCAGTACAAAATATTACCCATTCAACCTTTCCTTTCCTCCCAGAATGTTCAGTAATAAGCACCTGGCTGAGGAGCCTGTAGGCTACTCTACATTCATTTTTAGACTACACATTCATCAGAAGATAGTCCTTAAGGATGTCCCTCTTCGGGTAGCATATAGCCAAATGGAAATCAGTCTATTTGGGACAGGTCAGTGCAAACCTTAGGGTTCTCTAACCTATGCTCGGGCCAGAGCCAATCTACTGTTCCATGATTCTCAAGACAGATCTAACCAGCACTCAAACTACCTCCGATGCAGAGCAGAGAATCTTCTCAATGCAGAAGAGTTTTGAAAAGATACATACTTGTCCTGCCCTTGGCCTCCTTGTCAGACACCTTATTTGCAGCATAGCTGCCCCAGAAAACCCTGGAAAAACAGCCAAAAAGAGCTGACTCCACAATGCACAGTCCCATTCTAAAGGATATCCAAGGGGCCAGTGGCAGAATCCATGACAAGGCTCTGCAGGAACTGCACTGTAGAGGAGACCAGGACAGAGGGTCCTAGAGCAGTGGTCCCCAAAATTTTTACCTCATGCCCCCCTTTACCCCCGTCGGTGTCCCATCCTCCCGAGCCGGGAGCGGGGCAGCAGCTCCCGGGGAGGGGATGCGGACAGAGGTAAGGGGACCAAGCCTGGGCTACAGCTGGGGGCAGGGCCAGGAGAAGAGCCTCAGCCAGGGACCTTGGCCAGTAGCCAGGACCTGGGGCCAGCAGCAGATCCCTGAGCACAGGGCCGGCAGCCAGGAGCGGAGCTGGGCAGCACTCCCTCCCTGCCGCCTGTGGGGGCTGGCCTGGGCCCCAGCCTCACCCCCTCAAATGTTCTTCCACACCCCAATAGGGGGGCACACCCTACAGTTTGGGGACCTATGTCCTACTGTAAGTGCTGAGGCTTGAGGGGGCTTCACATCCCCAGAAATCCACTATGTTTAGGGCCTGAATCATGCTTCTGAGTACAGATTCTACCAAGAATTCAAAGGAAACTTGAGGGAAGCCTCAGCTTCACTCCTCCTGTGTCCTCTCCATAGGTGGTTCTAGTGGGGAGAAGGTCTCATCTTATAGAAATAACTTGTCATTTTCTAGTACAGCCATTTAAAATTAATAGCAGCTTAGTGAAGCAGAGCCCTAGGTTTAGGTTTATCAATCTTATCATGGACTAAAGTTAAAGGGATGCTACCATCAACTTGCTGAATCATTTCTGTCTGAAAACGTTGTAATATTGTTACAAGTGACAATAAAATTATTAGATCTTGTAGCTTGTAGTATTGTTACAAGTGATCCCTAAAATTATTAGATCTGAAAGACGTTGCCTATCTAAGGCTTTTTTTCTGCTGCCCATCACTGTAGTATTCCAAGTGCCTTCCATGTAAAATCAATGGCATTACCTGACTTCATGGAGTATCTAGCACTTCTCCTTTTTTCAGGATAAAAATAAGGGTTTTTTTTGGTTTTTATCCTTTAGATTTTCTTTCCTTTCCTTAGATGGTGGTACAAGGAGGTGTCACCATTGTGTCATCATTATGGAGGGAAAAAAATTTGAAGACAGTTTTGCAGTGTTTTTTAAAAGGTGGTCAGATTCTGGATTTGCCCAATCTCTTCTGGAAGTTTGTTTCATAGTAGGTCCCCTTGACTGAGAATGTTTTATCCCAAGCTCTCACAAACTTCATCCTGGGCTTCATTTTCTGGATTGTCTCAGAGGACTGCAGCTGTCACGATAGTTCATAGACAGAATTTTTGTCTTTAATGGAGTTGGAGTTTGATCCACTAGTTGCTTTGTTGATTAGGACCAGAACCTTAAATTGGCATCATAAGTTGACTGGGAGCCCATGGAGGGACTTCAGCATAAGCCTCTTGTACTCAAGGCAGCCTCCTAAACCACAGACATGCAGACAGCCACATTTTGTAACAGCTAGAGCTGATGCACTGTCTTCACATTCAGCTTCAGATACAGTGAATTACAGTAATCCACCCTAGATGTGACAAATGCATTGACCATTGCCAGGTTCTTGTTCAGAAGAAAAGGAAAAAGTTACCTAAGAAACTGGAGATGAAGCTAGTTTCTTTTAGATACTGATGGTACAAGGTCATCTAAGTTTAATGAGTCAAACTAGAAGCCAAAGCTTCACACTATTTTGATGGAGGCTTTATGTCATCAATGGAAGGTAGAAACAATGTCTTGGCTAGTTCTTCAAAATGCTTCCCCTCTCTGACTAGCATCACTTTGGTCTTGCTGGGTTCAGCTTGAGCCAGCAGACCTTCATCCAAGAACCAATGTCTTGTAGGTATTCTGACATTTTAGTAGTGACAGTAGTTGCATGAATTGTGAATGAGATATATAGTTCAGTGTCATTAGCAGTGTTGGCAGCTGGGTCGATAACATCTCCTATCTCATTAGATATTGAAGAGAAAATGGGGAAAAGGGGTCCCTGTGGGACCTCTTCAAAGTTAGCGTAAGTGAGAGAAATTCTTTTTTTTCAGTCTGATCACTTTGTGCAGTTTACAATGCTTTACATATGGTTACTTTCACTTTCTCCTCTTCTCCTCCACTTTCTCCCTTAGCAAAAAAAGACCCTTGCAAACATTAACAGCGGAGGAGCAAAAACATTTATAAAAATAATTTTTTTAAAAATTTCAGGACATTTAAAGCCCGCCTTATTAGCAACTGGAACATTTCAGTTAGTCATTATGATGAAGTTGATAATATCCCTTTAAAACAAGACAATTTTCTCACTCAAGCAGCCCTTTCTTCCTAATGTACTGAGCACTAACTTGCAAAATCAGATTTTTGGGACCTGGGACCTCTAGGCACTACCGTGATACAAATAACAATAAAAACTGTCTCCAGAAGTGTTCCAAAAATATTAGTAGGAAAAAACCAAGCTAAAAACAGATCAAGCTGCATAAGCAAGTCTAAGATCCAATGCTTCGTCCCAATTTTAAAGAAAATATTTCCATTAGTTCTCTGTACTGATTGTTCCCTTTTGGCTCATTCTAGTTTCTTTTAATACCTCAAATATTTTTTTAAAAGATTATTTTCCTACATATGTTACTCAAAAAATTAAGCTTATGACTTCCTTGGGCCAACGTTAAGTGGACTAAGTTCCACATCACAAAGTCACCATAATGGCCACTGGTACTGCCTGGGTTGTACGTGTTCTGTTGATAGAGGCCTCCAGAGCTATCATAAATTGACTAGATGTAATAAAAACCTAAAATGTTGGAGAGGAAAATATTGGGACATACTGACTTTCCTAGTTCTTATATAGGTTTTTCAGTTTCATGGGAGAAGGAAATTGTTGTATTAATACAAATATGTTTTCACTTCCAGAATGTATCAATTGGCTTGTATAACATTCCTACAAATACTTTCAGGCCAACAGATGTCTCAATACTAGTGAATTTGTTTCTGTATGATAAAACTCCTCCATTAATCCTTAAATGATCATAGACCAAAAGTGTGTGATCAAAAAGAATACTGTCAGGTTCATTTCTGTTTGTGGTTCTTTTCAAGAAGTCTCTTTTATTTTGTTTGTTCAACGGTTCTGCAGAGTAGGAAATAATTTCTGGTTTCATACCTGATTAATGCATAGTATTGGCGTTCTGAATCTACTGCTTAAACTGTGAAGTTTTGCTCCGAATGTCTGCAGATATCTGGCTTTCATAACTGAATCTTTTGCGCCAAATTCACATCGAAACAAAGCAGCCATAGAATCAATGACCACCAAACGCACCATGCCTCTTGAGAGCAGTACGGAAATCCTTTTAGCAATGCAGTTGTAGAATGTGTCCTACCAGAAAATACAAACATTCAATATTAGAACTAGTTAGAATGCTGGTACCTATAAAATTCTAAGACAGATACCTGTCATTTCACTGCTTGGCTCTGTGGTTATTTATGGGAGGTTATATTCATAAACCAAGATTATGGATCTTTGACACAATTGTATTCTTCTGTGTAGGTCTGGCTGTCTTGCTTGTGACTACTTTTAACAACCAACCAACCCTCCAATAAAAAAGGATCAACTGCAGCACTAGTTTACACCACATACAGCCTAGCACAGTCAAGTAAATGGGGCTGCACAACACATAATAGGTCAAGAAAAAGGTTGGACTGGATTTTTGAGTCACGTATAGAATTCCAGTGTTACCTAAGAACATAATAGTGCAGTCCTACTCCATGGCCACTCTGCATTCATTTGAATGTTGAGGAGTTAATTCAAGGCTAGCATAAGTCATCAGAGTATTGATAAATGAGAAAAGACAGTGTTCTTTCATCAAAGGAATTGAGATAGTACTATATACAGCTATTATATCAGACCCTCTATTAACCAAAACTTCTGGTAAAAGTTAGTAACACCTGAAACTCCTGTTTCCTCCCCCATTGATAAAAAATTCCATCATCTGAATGTTTCTGAAGTCCCCAAAATATTTTAGATAGAAGTTACACTCCACTGGGTGCTTAGTAGTTTAATTTTCTTCTATCACATGTAACACTTGTTCATCTTAGCAAAGAGGGAATTCTCTTGACACCCTTGCACTGTTCTTGTGGAAGACACCATTCTTCACACATAAATACGAATACACAGTTAAAGATTTATAAACATTCTGCCGGGATTAGAGGTTACACACTGATGACTTTCTACATTCCATGTCTGTCAAAATTAGACTGAATTTCTTGGAACTGGATTATAGTAGGTTTCACCTTACTGATTTGCTCTTCCCACAAATATCATCAGAACTATGTGTTTCTAACTGTTGAAAAGAATTCATTCAGCAGAATAGATGACCTCTTTAGAGAGACTTCTTACTATGTTCACAGTACACTACGGGGGGTCTACACTGCATTGGAGAGGTGACTGCAGTTTAGGGAGCCATTGCCATGAGTTTTAATTTAGCTACTGCAGCTAAAAATAGCAGTGAAGATTTAACAAAACAGACCCCAGCACCAGTTAACAACATGAGGACGTACCCAGAGTTCTGGGTGTGCTTGTACAGCCCGTGCTGTAGCCTGTGCTGCCTTACCTTCACTGCTATTTTTAGCTGCACTACCTAAATTAAAGCTAGCATAGGTATGCCCACCGGAGCTACAGTCGCAGCTCTGACTGCAATGTAGACATACTCTTAGTGGAACATCTGTCAGGTTCTAACCACTTCCAGTTATCAAAAAATACTTTGGTCTTTTTGTTAACATCCAAAACTTACTCTCATCAAGGACACATGAACAACTGGATTGTTCAGCACGCAAGATGTCAAAGGTTTTGACAAGGAAGGGAGTGGAGGATGTAAAATAAAATAGAGATTGTTCCATTTCATAGTGCAGCCAACAAAGTTGGATTGGGTTTTTATTTATTTATTTTTAATAGTTTCTTACTTTCCCCGAGACAAGCAGATTTTCACACACAGAGTACAGATGCCAGCAATGACTGTCTTTTTTGGGCAGGGAGGAGAAGCAGCACCAGGAGCAGCTGTCACTGGAAAAATGTGTATGCTTTAGGTTTAAATTTTACTTCTATTGCTGCAATTTATTGCCTTGTCAGTATGTGTAACATTTATTATTTGAGGGGATACTTTGGTTCTATGTATATCCTATTATAAGATGTTTCTCAGAACTCCTGCTGTTATTGTGCAGACTTTCTCCATGATAAATGCATTTTATAATTTCAGAGGACTGGAATAAAATCTTTACCATTGTTTCCCAACATAGGAGGGCCAATTGTTGTGTGGACTGCAACAAATGTGACATTTAGATTAGAATTTGCAATATTATCAGCATATACAATGTGTTCTTATATTTACTTTAAACCAGAATGTTTAAAATACTGATCTAGTACTTTGAACAAATGTTATTTTTAACCTTTAGAGCCCATTAGAAAATGAAGGTTACTTATCCACAACCAGAGTTCTTTGAGATGAGCCTCTGGATAGTCACACTTCTGGGATGAAGGTGCCTGAGCTGGAAGCTTCTGGAACCTTCTGGAAAGCAGTGTCCACTGGGGTTACTTGCACCTCCTCCTCGCTCCCAACCTGGAGAGTTCTGAGAGTATAAAAGGGGAAATATCCAAGCCACCCCTCAGTTTCTTCCACTAATTTGGGAATTCCTAACCTGAGACTCTGAAGAAGTGGAGAAAGTGGGCTGGGAGTGCGAATATGCAGAGGCTTATCTCGAAGAACTCTAGTTTTAGGTAAGTAACTTTCATTTCATCTTCAAATGGCCTTTGCATATTCCTACTTGTGGGAGTGTAGCAAGCAGTAAAATGCCCAGGAAAGGGGACTGTGTTCTAGGTAAACAAAGAGTCAACAGGACTGCCAAACAAGCATCAGCTTTGGATGCCAGGTTGAGAGGAACAGAAGTGACCAATCTTGCTCTCCCAAAACAAGTCTTAATGATGGAATATTTTTGCTAAAAACACATATAGCTGCAGTATCCAGTGTTCTTGTAGCTGTGTTGGGCCCAAGATATTTGAGAGAAAAGGTGGGTGAGAATTATTTTATTGGATCAACTTCTGTTGGTAAGAGAAATTTTAAAGCTTACATGAAGCTGAAAAACTCTGTGTAAGCTTGAAAGCTTGTCTCTTTCACCAACAGAAGTTTGTCCAATAATAGATATCACCTCAGCACCCTGTCTCTCTAATTTAGCTGCAGTATCAGTCATGCAACACGATCTGATGATGACAGCATGAGGGCATGCCACAGACATGGTCTCTGCTCTGGATGAAGACTGACAACTTCCAGGACGTTGAAGTTGTGTCAGGTCATGACAACTGTAAAACACAGTGTGACAGATGGACAACCTTTGGCTCCTCAGGTGAGCTCCATTTCTCCAAAGGATTGGGGAAACTTGTAGATAAGCTTTGGCCTGATGTATATAATGACAATGTTCTCTGAATATGCAAAAATATGATACCTGCTTCCCTGAATATAAAAGAGGCTCAGGGATAGAAACAGTCTAGTGGTCTGAAAGAGATGGAAATCGCAGACGTCTTAGATTCTTGGGATGGAGATGCGGGCAAGGCCACCTGTTCTGTAAGAATGCAATTTAAAGAAGTTACTGAAATACAAGCCTAATGACTATCTGAGTATCAAGAATGGCATCTTCACTTAAACAGTGTAAAATAACAGTTGAGAAGGACCTTATCAGATCTACTCACTTAAGAGATGACCAGATGGGAGATCTCTTTCAAGCCATAGATCAGATTTGACTAATCAAAAATTCATGTTTTTTCACTAGATTCTTTTTGACCTCAGCTTAACACTCACAATCAAGACACCAAGCAATCTAGAATCAAGATGTCAACCAGAGAAACTCTGAACCTTGGTGGAGACTCCCACCTCATCTCACAGGCAGGGGACTCAGTAGTTTGGAAAAAAATGACTTTATAGACATTAATATCAAAGTGTAAATGCCCCCAATGGTCTGGAAAGCCTGGGGCTAAGCCAATCCTGATTACAGGACAAGCCACATTGGGGTTGAATCAGCTAATCTAATATAAAAGACAGCAGGATGCTGCAGATGTGGGGCTGGTTGAGAGAGTAACTGAAATTGCCAGAGGCAGGAAACCTATTGAATAAGCAGAAGAAAGATCTCCAAGCAGGGAAGCCTGGGTGAGACCTTCTCCAAGAAGCAAGGTAGAGACTGAGACACAGACCTCATGAGTTTATATTTTGTTCTTCGAGGACTGTGTGTCATTTTTGATTACTGTGTGAGAGACTGAACAGGAGTTGAGGTCCAGAGGGCAAGAGTATGACCAAAAACTAAATAAAGAGGATCCTTTGTGGGGATTGCTTTAAATTTCTTTTAAACTTGGTGAGTTCTTAAAGGGACCTGAGGAAGGGAAAACAGGAGCAAGACACTGTGAAAGCACCCATGGCCACAAGGGGGCACTTAGAAGGCAGCCAACCCTATGACACATCTCTATGATATTGATGACAGAATTGCCAATCTTTAACCATGGCTAATGATAGCAACTTGGTACCAACTGGAGCAACATTTTTTTTTTAAATCATCTCTTAATTCAGTAGAATAAGGGTCAACATATAGTTAAGTTCCTGCTCTTGGTGCAGGAAAAGAGTGCGATATTCATGTTAGGATGTGTTTGACTTTGGATCACAACCATACACAAGCATTGTTTTCCTGTTGGGAATTAACTGGTATTTACCCACTTGTGGAACAAAAGAATACAAAATGGAGCCTGGTTTCAGAGTAATAGCCGTGTTAGTCTGTATTTGCAAAAAGAAAAGGAGTACTTGTGGCACCTTAAAGACTAACCAATTTATTTGAGCATAAGCTTTCGTGAGCTACAGCTCACTTCATCGGATGCATCCGATGAAGTGAGCTGTAGCTCACGAAAGCTTATGCTCAAATAAATTGGTTAGTCTCTAAGGTGCCACAAGTACTCCTTTTCTTTTTGTAAAATGAAGCCCTCGCTAATGCACTTGTACTGTTCAATGAAAATTCTTCTCAAAGAATCTACCAATAATCTTTCACTGGTAGGTGAGATATTAGACCCATCCAATGAGGACAGTGAATTTTTTTAAGAGGAAATTTCCCTGACAACTGGTTTGAGCAAACCCCTCGAGTGATCTGTGTAACATACTCACATAATGCTGTCCATTACAAATTTAGACAGATTTGGATTTTATGAAGGGAAGAAAAGCCTTGCAAGTCAGAGAAATAGCTCTCAGCTCCCGTATCTTTATGTGGAATCACATCTTTCACTGAGATCACAAACCTTGGAATGGATGGAAATCAAGTTGAAGAAGCCCTTGCTTACACCCTCTAGGAGTGCTACTGCAGATGGCAGGAAGGTGATAAGGGAACTCCCTGGGGGCATGTTCGTACTCTGTCTTATGAAATAAGGCATCTGGAAAATACTGAGCGATTACGAACACCTAAGCATCAAGAAAAGGCGACAAAGTCATACAGTGCCTTGGTGAGACCTCATATATAGCATGGTATTTAAAGGTATCATATAACTGTGCTAGTAAGGAATCTCTACACTACAGGAAAATTTTCAGGTCTAAAATATATCAAGGCTTCAGTGATCACACATCTTCTAAATTCGCATGAAAATACCCTTGTTTGTGCCAACTACTAGAAAAGAACCACCCAGACACGCTACTGAGGGTAAAGTCTATTCCCAAACAGACACCCAACCATTCAATGAGAATAATCATGACAGGTAGGCATTTAATGGAACACTTGCTACCACAGAAATGCCTCAGGGTATTGCTAAAGGTCTTCTTTGATGCAGAGGTATATGTAAAGAGACATGTGACCATGGCAAAGAATGGGAATACTGGAATATTTCTGGAAATTAAGAGTTCTGCCTCTGGAATTGTGATGGGGTGTACAAACCCCACACTGGAGAAGTAGGGGCTAAGGAGCTCCTCTGGGCCCAGGCAGCCCCACCCCACTGCACCTGTAAAGCCTGTCCATGGTGGAAGTAGAGCTTAAAAATGGAAGCAGAGTAGCTCAATGGAAGACAGATGAATAGAGCCCTGCACCAATACAAAAATTGTATCCACATCCAATCCGCGATCTGCAAAAATGCAACACCTTTCTCCTACAGAGGCTGTGTAGCAAAAATCTTCAGATCTGTGACTCTCAGAATCAATAGAACTGAGATAGGTATAGTACCCTTACATCCTAAGGAAGCCTTTGATCATAGCATCAGTTCTCAGCCTGCCAGATTCTCATAAATCTGGTTCTGGGCAGCTAAATTAGTCCTTAGGAACCTAAGAGAACGGCAACAGTTCCTGCCCAAAACCAAGTGAACTCACAATTTCTGGAACAGGTAAACTGGGTTTTACAATTTCTGATAGTAAAAGAGTCTAAGAATGGATTGGTCCATCTCTTCTCGCATACAGGGCGAGGGTCTGATAGATGGAGCATTGAAATGGGAAAATCTCCCAGGCAAGCAGGGTTCACAGAGAGAGAGAGAGAGAGAGAGAGAGAGAATGTGTGTGTCTGAAAAAGGCCAAACAGGAAGCATAATGTGAAAACTATCCTTTAACTGAGAGATCCACCATTTCAGATCTGATCAGAAGCTTGTATTGCATTTCCCCTTTCCAGTGTTGCAAAGACCTTTCCACTGGCCTGATGTGCTACTCATGAAAATGGGAGAGACGTCAAAGTGGCTTTGGCTGGGCATTTAGATCGATACTTTATAAATTATTTATGATTCAGGTTATAAATAAACAGTTCACTAAAATATTGATGGACTGGGAATGCTTCTCAGAAGTTTTGGATGTGGAAAAGCTACCCTAAATTTTTAAAGCAATTATCTGATATTTTAAAAACTTCTGATCCCACATAGCACTAAATATAATTACAAAAATCCATACATGAGGGAGGCTATGTGCAAGAGGAAAATTAAACCAGTCACTCATCTATGCTTATATAAAACATTGAGGTGACAAAGGGCAACTCAGATGTGTGGTTTTTGAAATAACATCAATTACATAAGATCAGCTCAAAAGAATATGCTGCTGTAACTAGAGCTGAACCTAGGAGAGGGTGATCAAGCCCATGGGTGCCAACATTCAGGGATACAAATCCTTGCATTTAGGAATGCCAAACACTTGAGGTATTTTTTGATTTTGCTTGTGCCTTTGAGGAGGGCGGGGCACTGAAAACATTTTCCACCTTGGGCAACAAAACACCTAGAGTTGGACCTGTCTGTAGTTCAGTTAGTACCAACAAGTTCTCTAAACACTAGGGGCTTGGCTACACTTGCGACTTAGAGCACATAAAAGCAGCCCCGGGCGCCCTAGCTCACTACCCATCCACGCTGGCAAGGCACGTAGAGCGCTCTGACTCCACAGTTAGAGCACTCCTGGTACTCCACTTCGGTGAGAAGATGAACGCCTGTTGTGCCTTGGTGAAACGCCTGGGCATTAGTGTGAACGAGGTGTAATGCCTCATATACTAGAAAAAGTATAATGGATTTTGGAAGAATTTGAATGTTAGTCTGTAAAGATCTCTTGTCCTTTTCAAAATGAAACTTTGTATGAGACAATTAAATCTCTGAAAACTTGGATCAGTCTCCTCAATACAATATGAAGAGACTGGGAAGCTGGTATACACAGAAAATCATCTTGATTTAGTTGTCATCTTTGTGAGCGCTACTGCCTCAGTTAGGCCCCTGTACTATTTGTTTGCATCTGCACTAATTGGATTTAGTGTTCCGAAGTAATTTATTTGTAAGTCACACTGTTACTTACAAGGTCTGCGGCATGCTCAATGAAAACACTGTTTCCAAATTTTATTTTCTGTATGACATCAAGTGGAACATCTGCCCTAAATTTATGCTGTTGATCAATCAGTTGCTGCAAGCGTTTATTTGGGAAAATATCTTCTGTGCAAATGTAGACAGCACCTGCAATAAGAAAAAAAAAACAAACAACCTCTGATATTACACGACTCATATACATATATATTTTAAAAATTAATTCCTTTTTCTGCTTAGCAATGAACACTCAAATTAGGGAATATTTTCTTCTTAGAACTCTCTCAAAATCTTGGTAACGTTAAAAGGACAATTTTTACTTTTTTTACTTAAACTTGATAATCCAACAAAAGATATAGCTACAATCACAGCAGTCTTGCCAGCTGTTCTTTTGGTGCCCAGTGCAATGATCACATCCTTTGGTTTCACAGACTCCTCTTTGCACTATTCATTGACCCAGCAGATGACACTTTTATTGTTTAGCTACATAACTGTCTGACACTCGGTGTCTTCTTCAAGGTCCCTTTTTTTGACCCTTTGACCTTCACACTTGTCCTTGTTATTTTTTCTGTTGTCTCCCCGTAATTATATGAGTCCCAGGCTCAGTGGATCCTCCCAATAGGCTGGGGGAGGGTCCTTTAGCTAACCTACCCAGAACCCAACAGGACTGAGGAATGGTCCCTGGCTTATGCCTTTGCTGTGTAGACACATTATGAAGATCATATCTCAATGACAAATACACCAATGCTGCATCATTTATTTTATATACCAACAACACCGATCAATAAAACTCATCCTTTGCATCTTTACAGGTGTCAAATGGGTGTGCACTTTTACCATACTTTACACACCAGTAATCAACCCCTCACTGGATTTAAAGAAGTCCAGTCATACAAACCCACTCCAGCTGTTCTTCTTCGAGTAGGTGCAGCCATGTATTCTATTTTGTGTGTGTGCGCGCGCACCCAGTGCATCAGAGCCAGAGAATTTTGCCTAGCAGTATCCATAAGAGCAGCGCTTGCAGCTCATGGCCAGAGCCCCCCACTAGCTCTATGAGGTGGTGCTGCCCTGGCTGGAATCATTCTAGGCTGACCACCGAGGAGGGAGGGCACTTGGTGGAGCCTCCAGCCCAGGAGCCGCTTCAGCACTTGACTGTGGGAACCAGAGATCCCAAAACACTGACCTGTGAGAGACACGGTTGATGTATGTGTTCGTGGAATGAAAATGACTGTTCTTTCCCTGTATTTATAAAGTTTCATTCAGTTATAAATATGTCTGTTTGCTTGGGTTTGGAATAAAAATTTAGTTATGGAAACTGAATTCATCGTTATTATTTCACAGTATATGCTGGGTGGCTCTCACATCATTCAGAGATAATAGCAATAGGTGCATGTGCAATGTTATATTACTACACACACGGCACTCATTACAAAGTTCATACTGGAGTGCAAAAAACACTGCCAGGGAGAACACACTACAGCAATACATATTACTGTGGCTCACTATTAAAATTGTCTTTCGATGCCTCCCTGAGCTGTATAGCTTACTGCTGAGCTCTTCTTATAGCCCTGGTATCTACTAGGCCGAGGTGCTAAAATCTGGTCTTGTAAATGAGCATAGATCTGAACTTTTGACACATGTAACACTTAGTAGCATCCAAGGAAGGAACTGAAGGGGAGGACTAAAATCATATATGCTTCTGCTCTGATTACTGATATAACCTAGAGCGAAAAAATGTAAGCCAAGGACTAATTTCTGCCAGAAAAGCCATCCCTGCCTTTTGACTTTTCAAGAATTTTCCATATGGTTGGACACAGTAGGAAACAAGCTGAGCAAGTTTCGCACAGCAAACTGTGAGAGCTTCGAAGTTAAACACGATGCTGCACGGGAGGCAGAACAACATCCTAGCCAAAACATTAGTCATAAAGAAGACCAGACTAATGAGTTCTCAGAATTGACATAGGTTTCTTCCTCCCCAACAAAGTACAAAAATGCAAACAAAAAATATAACCTATCGTTGGCTCTACAATAATAATGGTTATCTACTTACTTGCACAGAAGTGGGAAAATTTAGGGTACAACACAATGCCTATGACTTTTTTGACTATATGTCCATCAGTTTTGTCCTGTATATCATGACCAGCTCCTTTGGGATACTGTAACCCCTGTTTTACGTAAAGGATACTTAGCACATTCCTAAGATATTAATGTAAAAATAGCTATCATGTGGACTGTTTTGTCATGTAAGTTTTCATGAAGAGGCAGGGGATGGTCATGATGCTGAAACCTAACACACTCCATCTTTATATGTCTTATGTATTTTGATTAACAAACTTCCTACTACCCTTGATCACTGAGGGAAAAAGGTCAATCATAACTCAGTGGAAAGTCATGTCTGATTCTAGCCACACAGGCACCCTAATCTGTGTGCCTTCAGCAGCCAGTAGTAAGAGTGGAAAGTATTATGTGGAAATGTACACAGCATGCTTTTCTTTTCCAAATGCCCAGTTTCTCATCTTACCGCTAATGATGCTGCAAATGATCAGAAATCCACTGATACAAATATTTACTGCAATACACAAATTACTTATCTTAAACCTAGCATACTTCTTAAAACAATAAGTAAATCAGAAAGTGTATTGTACTTACCAGATTCTAATCCTCCATATTCATAAGGATACTGCACAGAAAGGCACAGCTGCAAACTAATCTGAGTCTTCCCAGCAGAGCTCTCACCAGCAAGTTCTGTGATCCCCACCACAGGAATGCCACCTCTTAATAAGCCATCTAGTAGTGAGCAACCCAGGCTTAGTTTCTGGTGTTGTGATGTGCTGTGATCTTTGTCTTTGTACAGCTGAAGTGCTGGAGGATATTTTTTAAAAGAAAGAATTCTATTTAGCATTTTCTTAATAAGGGACAATATAACATAGCTGCCACAGTCTAGATAGCTCTATGATTGACATTTTTTTCAAGATGTAAGCATGATTCAGCCTGTTTTCCCCACAACTAACACAATCTACCAACTGAGAAGTCTGCTTGTAAATTGGTACAGCTTGCATTTATGCTGATCTCCTCCATGCTCTGGAACTCTCCCCTCTTCCTGTCCTTTAAGGAGACTTTGGGGGACAGCTCCAGCAAGGAAAATCTTGTCTGCATGACTTCAATGAAGCAGATATGACCAGGAAGTGGAAACAGAGTTGCCATCTTTCTAATAGCTGGTGACCAGACTCCTGAGGCAACGCCCCCTGCTCCGCCTCTTCCCCCCCAAGACCCCGCCCCTGTCACTCACACCCCACACTTCCCCCTCCAGCTGGGCTCCCTCTGCTCCAGGACTGAAATGAGAGCTGCTGCAGCCTGACAAGGAGCTTAACTGCAGGTAGAAGGTGGCCCCGGCTGAGCAGCGCTGGCACAGGTTAATGACCCCATTCCTCCCCCTGCCCCGCGGTAACCGGACTTTTAGTGTCGGATCAGTACAGCTGACTGGATGCTGCCAGGTCCCCTTTTCGACTGGACTTTCTGGTCGAAAATCGGACACCCGACAACCCTAAGTGGAAGAGAGCTGCTAAGGGTCAGGAAGCAGTGTGAAAACATAGAAGGCTCTGTACTTCTGGATGAGCTTTAAAGATCCACACAGATAACAAGAAATGGGGGGGGTCAATTGCTCAACTCCTAGCCCATTCCGTTAGAGGAGGGCAACCCCTGCCCTATGAAATATTCTGGTGGAAATTCTAAGAAGGGAATCTTGCAGTGTCCTGTCCCCCAGCCAAGATTTCCATGTAGGGGAATTATTTGACCCTAGAAGGCTGAGTAGAATCCACTTCTATTTACATTCAGCACTTCACAGGATCAGGCCCTTTCAGACTATAAAAGCATCTACTAAAGAGTAACAGGAATTTACAGCTTTTTATTTCCTGAACAATTGACTTAACTTTGAGAAATAGTTTATCAATAATTTATCGATACTATTACCTGCTATAAAAAAATGGTGTATTCTACTTCAACAATAGATCTTTAAGCGATAAATGTAAACCTTTAATTATAGCTCAAAAGTCTAGAATGTTTTTTAATTATGTAAATTATCTGTATTGACAGTATTACCTGTAAGCACACAGCTTTTCCTCAGTGTACCAGAGACTGTTTTCAGTAAGCACTGTACATCCATACTGGACAGTTTTGTCAGCCTTTGCAAGTCTGCTCCAGAAAGATTCAAAATCTCTTTTATTGATTTTATATTAGCTGAAATTAGAGAAATTCTCATAAATGCTTTTGGATTGACTATAACCTTACAAAAGAAAAGGACTTCCACTTATGGTTAATTTACTGAGAGTACTGGTTAAAAAAAAGTTACAAGTTTTGTTTATATTATCATGATCATCAGTGATTTTGAATGGAAAGGGACTTTAATGTTTTTTGGAAGGCTTTAAAGCATTATCTTCTTTAACATCAGATGGAAGTGGTGCTTGAGAGAAGGCTCTGATAGAGAAGCAATTTCACTATAATGTTCTTCTGGTGCACCAAAATGGAGTTACTTGTATGTAAACTCTGTGGCTGCTTTTGATTTTTAACTTCTTCTTGAAGAAGACAACAGAAATTAAATGCACATTGCAAATAAAATTGACAAGACTAGAAAAGGATAGCCTGTGTCCATTCATTTCTTTCCTAATAGAACAAACTCCAGTATTCCAACCTCTTCCTGACTGCTTGGAAGCCAGGACACTACTCTTGACAAGCTTTCGACATGGAAGGCAGCATGCATTTGGGGTTTATCAAAAACAGATTATAAACTGTTTGGAAAGATCACCATTGGATCATTGGGAGAAGAGGGTATCACTTGCAAATACACACTGTCTCACCAAGTATTTATATTACATTTCCAGTATGGATATGATTATGTACAGATAGATACTATGGTAATAGCAAATCAGGAATGTACATATAGGTGGATTAAATTACCTTTCTTAACAGCAGCTATCACTTTGGGGTTCATGTCAAACTGGTCCCAATCCATGTCTTGATACAGTACTGTACTGAGTACAGAGCCTGCTGATTTCCTGTAAATTGAAGTCTTATCAAACATACATGAAATACAGAACATAAGTATTTATTTCATTTGACCAACTCTGTGGAAAAATGGACATTCAAATACTATTAATTCCTAAAAATATATTTGTCTTTAATCTATAGCCCAGAATGTAATTAGCCATTCACATGATGGAAATTCTCCTCAGATGGCTCTTTGTCTACACCTTACTGGAGACAGATTACAGTAACACTGATGAAGGGAACAGTTGGTAATTATTTCAATTGCCTGTAGATGAGTTACAGCTGTACACCTCCCTAGCTTTTCATTTTCAAAGAGAAATAAAATCATACAAATGTAATATAAAATAATCCATGACTGTTAATATTTCTGTTACTCAGAACTGTTTTGATTTATTAAAACATGGGGTGACTAAATACTACAGCATAATGCAATCCAATTGTTTTTGAAACTTTGATCTAAAAAAGAAAAGCCGAGTCATGTGCTATAACTATATAACAAAGTAGCATTATAAGGCTTGTTACTATTTATATAATGGATTGTGCAATATAATGGCAGACAAGTATCAAACATATTTACCAGACTTAGTTCCCCAGTTAATCTGCTTTTTAAAAACAAGGGTCCAATTATTTGGGTACATATACATAATATATGGAAATGGGTCCTGAGAGCAGGATTAATATATAAAAAAGGCAGTGATTTAAACATTATTTCATTAAAAATTAAGACCTATTTAAAAGAAACTTATGAGGGCTAAACTTAATATAATTAAAGATGGGCACAGTGCCCTTAGACCGAAAGGATCCCAAAGCACTTTACAAACTTTGCATTTCAATGATGCTGTATAGGTAGCCACCGCATCATACAAGTGCGAAGGGAAGGGAAATTTTGAGCAAGACATGAGGACAAACATGTCTGCTTACGAAGTGCTTTAGGATCTTTAATATTCACATGGAGTAGAAAGGATCTTGGCTTTTAAAATCTAATTCACATGCACTAAACTACATGGTATGGAATGCACCATCAGAGAAGGATGAAGAGGAGAACCAGCTCAGAAGGTATTTGAATTTATGGTCCTGGGGAGTTCAGATATTAAACTGGATACTTAAACCACTGAGCTAGAGAGACCAGGTCTTCAAAGTGAAAAACCTGAATACTTGCCAAGGAAGGATGTGGGCACACAGGAGGTGGTTTTGGTCAGCAGTAGAGAACTGTGTGTGGAAGAAAGAGAAATAAATGGATTTCCTTTCCTTTCCTCTCCTCCTTGGAACCCTGACCAATCTTCTGAAGCACTGTTTTGCATTTGGTGGGTCTGACCCTGCTTGAAGGGCATGTCACGAAAGACAACTGATGAAATGCAAGGCATTGAAAATGTTATTGCAATACAAAGCAAAACAAATAGACACAAAAAACTCCACACTTCCCCCCATTCCCTGCCTATCCTTACCCTTCAAGGACAAGTATTGTCTGTCAACCTCAAAACATCCACACAAATAAGTTATACAGGATAATTGTTATCAGCACTACTCTCTTACTGTTCCATTTATTCTAAAAGTAAGGGGCGTGTGAAAATCTTGGACTTCAAATAAGAGATTGAAAAATTTAAGAGATTAAGAAACCCTATCCTATGCCAAACAACCCTGCTGCAGCTGTCTCCTGGGACTCCAGGGGTGGGACAGACATGGCAAACCTGTGAGAAAAAAATGCAGAAATTGCACTTGTTTTTGCCTTAATTGGCTTGTGAGTTGCTTGTTGGCTAGTTTTGGCTTGCAACTAGTTGCTTCTTTTTTTGACTGGCTCCTGGCAAGCAGGGGAGAGAGTCAGGGGTGCACAGCGGGCCCACCAGAGTCCCAGACTGCCCACCAGAGTCCCAGACTGCACACTGGGACAATCTAGTCACATACAGGGATAGCGTTCTTAGGGATTGGCTTGTTTTGAAATGGGATTAGCTCCATTTTTGGTTTATTGTGAAAGTCGGGTGCTTATTCACCATGTGAAGGTTGGCATCTGTGGGCTGGGGCTGTCCCCATGAATGAAACACACGAAAGCTTATGCTCTAATGTCAAGGTTCCTCCCCCACTCTGAACTCTAGGGTACAGATGTGGGGATCTGCATGAAAACCTCCTAAGCTTACTTTTACCAGCTTAGGTTAAAACTTCCCCAAGACATAAATTAATTTTATCCTTTGTCCTTGGAATATCCACTGCCGCCACCACCAAACTCTAACTGGGTTTACTGGGAAACGTAGTTTAGACACATTTTTCCCACCAAAATCCTCCCAACCCTTGCACCCCACTTCCTGAGAAAGGTTTGGTAAAAATCCTCACCAATTTGCAAAGGTGACCACAGTCCCAAACCCTTGGATCTGAGAACAATGAAAAAGCATTCAGTTTTCTTACAAGAGGACTTTTAATAGAAATAGAAGTAAAGGAATCACCTCTGTAAAATCAGGATGGTAGATACCTTACAGGGTAATTAGATTCAAAACATAGAGAATCCCTGTAGGCAAAACCTTAAGTTACAAAAAAGACACACAGACAGAAATAGTCATTCTAGTCAGCAAGTTCTTTTCTCAGCCATTTAAAGAAATCATAATCTAACGCCTACCTAGCTAGATTACTTACTAAAAGTTCTAAGACTCCATTCCTGGTCTATCCCCAGCAAAAGCAGCATACAGACAGACACAGACCCTTTGTTTCTCTCCCTCCTCCCAGCTTTTGAAAGTATCTTGTCTCCTCATTGGTCATTTTGGTCAGGTGCCAGCGAGGTTACCTTTAGCTTCTTAACCCTTTACAGGTGAGAGGATTTTTCTTTTGGCCAGGAGGGATTTTAAAGGGGTTTACCCTTCCCTTTATATTTATGACATCTAATAAATTGGTTAGTCTCTAAGGTCCCACAAGTACTCCTGTTCTTTTTGCGGCTACAGACTAACACGGCTGCTACTCGGACACCTCTGAGGAAAGCCCACTTCATAGGAGACAGTGCCACACAGGGCCCCGCAGTGCAGCTGTCATCCGTGGAGCAAGAAGGGGCGACACCGAGCCTGGTCTACCCATGGGACTTGCCCCCCTTCAGCCACCAGCACGGACCCCCAAGTCGCAGCACAAACCAGAGCAGCCGGGGGCACCCCCTGACACCCCAACTCGGGGGCAGCAGTGCCTCCCTCCCAGCAGGGCGAGATGCCCCCCCCCGGGGAATTACAAAGCCCTGGGTGAGGCCCTAGGCCCGCCACGCCCCTGCCGGTGTCGTTCAAGGAGGGCCCGGCTCGCCCCACAGCGCAGGTAGGACAGCGCTCCGCCAGCGCCACTTCGGACGCGGGGCGGGGAAGGGAAAATTTCCCTGCCCCCCGCCCCCACCCCCACCCGGCCCCGCCTCCAAAGTGAAGCCCCGCCCATTATTTTCCAGACGCTTCCTTAGTACTCCACCCTCCATCTCTCCCCCCAGGGGGAAGCCTCGCGACTGGCGCTCCCGGACCACACGCCGCGCACCTAACGCCGAGTCCACAGCAAGGGCGCTAGGGCTAGCCAATCGGGGAGTGACTTGCCTGGCTCTTCGCACGGCCGCGGCCAACACCCTGGGCCTGAGCCCACGCAGCTTGCCAACCAATCAGAGGGCACCACGCCCAAGAAGGCTAACGGGAATTGGCGCCTTAGAAGTTACAGATGGCCGCTAAGCCGAGGACAGTTTGTCTGAACCCGCGCCAGGCGCACACCAATCAGAGTGGGTCTGAGGCTAGCCAATCCCAGGGAGAGCGTTCGGAGTCGTGGCCTTGCCGATGTACCAACCCTTGGTTCCACCCCGCGCACATTCCGATTCGCTCATTGGTTACAAGGATGTATCCGGGTACAGACACTGGGGTGCGAGTGAGACCCTCCTTTCTCGGGGTTACCGCCTGGTTTTTGGAGCTGCGCATGCGCCTTAACTGCGGTTCTACATTGCGATAGGGGATTGGCTGAGAGTTTGTGGAGGCCACATTCCATTGGGTGAACGTAGTAGTGGGCGGGTCACTAGCCGGAGAGTTTCATTGGCAGAGAGAGGCGTCAGTTTCAGGGAAGTAACGGGAGATTGGGTGGCGCGCTGCTGCTCCTTGCTTGGGCTGGTAGCGGTGGCGCTGCGGGGAAGATGTCGGGCGGGGAGGCCTGCGACGGAAAGAAGCTGGTTCGCTCGTCCAGCGGTCTCCGCATGGTGCCCGAGCACCACGCCGCCCGCAGCCCTTTCGGCCTGGACGAGCCGCCTTGGGTGCCTGATAAGGACGTAAGTGGAGGAGAGCGGACCCTTCTCCCGGCCCGCCAGCGGGACCCCCCCGTCCGCTCTGACCCTCCTTCTCTCCGCCAGCGGGACACCTTCTCTCTCCCCCTCCCCGCCCTTTCTGCTCTGACCCTTCTGCCCCCCCGCCAGCGGGACGTCTCCCGCCACCCCCCTTTCTGCTCTGACGTTCCTTCCCACCCCGCCTTTGCCCCTCCCCCCCATTCTCGACACCCCTTCACCACCGGCCCTCGCCTGTGGGTCCGTCTTCCCCTTCACTCCTGGTTCCAACAGCCCCTGACCCGCCTGGGTGAGCCCCTTTCCCCTGCGTCACTCCTTGCATTGAGCTGCTTGGACTCTGACTTCAGCTACCCAGCTGCACCTGTGGTGAAATCTTTTCTAAGGTGCCTGTGGGGATCCCAAGGCCTTGACCCACCCCGGGGCGTTCGGTTCATTACGGTGGAGCTCAGTATTTCCCCTTGTGTTGGGCTCTGCAGAGACCCTTCCCTGGAGCGCTTACAGTCCCATGGGCAAAGGAGCCTGCCCCTCCACACTACCCTCAAAAACCCACTTCACTTATGTGCCTGTGCTCTGGCGTCTCTCTCTCCCTCTTGTATAGGGCACAGCAAAGCAGCCTCAGTGGCCTGGGATGGAAGGCTGTTGGGGTTTTATTCTCCCCTTTTTATTTTATCTTATCACTCCTATCTTGAGGCTGGCTATGTCTCTTGTCCCATCTTGTCAATACATGGTTCCCATATTTGCCAGCAGGAAATGCCCTTTTATCTGAGGTGAAGTAGTTATAGGCAAAACCTCATGTAAGTGCAGACAGCTGTCTTGCTGGAGAAATGGCTAAGGAGAGGGTTCTGTTGGGTTGACTTAAAAAATATGAGCAAATCTGCTCCCTAAACAGTTGTGGGGGAAGGCAAGTGAAGTTAAAGTCCCTTTTTGCTGCTGTTTGATTTTGTTAGAGTTCACAACTCGTTCTGCTATGTTTATCTCCAGAGTAATGTGCTGAAAACCTGGCTTAGCCCATGTTTTAAAAACTGACAAGCCCGCAGATTCATCTCATTTATCTGGCTGTGCGTAGAGTGTATTTCCTTTCTGTTGTAAACAATGCACAGTATTTCACTTAGCTTTGAGGTGGCTTGGGTAGTCACGGCAGGGCCCTGGGAGAGAGCTTTCCCAGTGTTCAAAAAAAAAACCCACCTCCACAAGAGGCATAGCTACCAGCCCTGGGAGCGTGGCCGCCAGCCCTGGCGCACTGTTTACACTGGCGCTTTACAGCACTGAAACTTGGTGCACTCAGAGTTGTTGGGTTTTTTTTCACACCCCTGAGTGAGAAAGTTGCAGAGCTGTAAAGTGCCAGTGTAGACAAGCCCCACAGGATCGTGGATCGGCAGTGACATTGGAAAATTTAATGTTCCTCTGCAGCATGAGATGTGGGTCACTTGTCAGGATTATATGGCTGCATCTCACTTAATCGTTTCTCTGCTATTGCAGAGGCCTCAGGCATTCGTGCACCTCAGACCCTCCTGTTCTCTTCCTGTGGCACATAATAGTTTAGTCTCCTGTGGGCTATTGTACTTTGGTCTAATTTTGGTTGTTGGCTTTAGTATGCGGGTGGTATTGGTGGCCTGTGATATACAGGAGATCAGACCAGATGATTTGGTGGTGGTCCCTTCTGGTTTTTAAACACTGACTATAAAAAGGATAGGGAGAGTTATTTTCCAGGGTCGTCATATTCTAGGGATTCCACCACAAAAGTAACTGAGGTTCCTGATGAGATTAAAATGCTGTGAACTAAGAAGCCTGATGCGCTTAATGAAAATACTTTTTATTCTTAAATGCATTTAAAAAATAAAACTAATTTCTAAGATTGAGGCCTCTTATCCTTGAAATAAACTTTTGCTTACTAAGATTGAAAAAGAAAATGGTTATGAATGTATTTATTTAATATGGATGAGTACAAATACCTATCTAGAATAAGTAGTCAGTGGGGAACTCTCTGGTTTGGTAAAATACCCAGCCATGCTAGGATGTCAAGATAGGGTCAAACGCTGTCAGAAAAATGCATCCACTTCTTCTTCTTCTTTTGATGGTGATAAATATTACTTAGCTTGACACATCTTGCACATAGATGCTAGCAAAGATAACACACATAATAGTAGCCTGTTGCAATAGAGATAAGTGTAATCAGTATTTTATAGTGTCTTTTGTTACCATTGCTTTATGAGTGGATATGTGCTAATACCAGTGTTAAAAGAATGACCACTTTAGATAGGCCTACTAATCCAATTGTTTAACTTCCAGCACTAGATGCTGATTTTGGTATATTTTGTATGAAAATTCTTGTTCTTGAATGAAGTGTCTGAGGTCTGGTCTATACTTAAAAAATTTTTACTTGCACAGCTACATTAGCTAGGAGTGTGAAAAAATCAGATGCTTAACCAACATCGGTGTGCCAGCAAAAGCCCCAACGTCAATGTCATTATACCAGCAAATAAGTAATCTTGCTGGAATAACTTGTTTTGTGTAAGGAACTGATACAGGCTATACCAGTAGAAGAGTAGGTATTGTATACCTACACCAGTACAGTGCTCCTCGTGTAGACATGGCCTGACACATTCAATCTGTAAATTGACTCCTGGTTTGTTTGTTTTTTTTGAGCCAGGATCAAAGCATTACAGTATTTGAACATAATTCTTCTGTATTTAATATACTGTGGCCATTACTGTTGTGAAGATGAAAAAGTGAATTTGTTTATAACATGTTATTGCATTCATGTCCATGATACTTAATGCAAAAGTAAAATATTCAGTTAGGAAAACCTCGTTCTGTGATGTTTAACACCAGGGGCTCTTCTCTAATATCAGGCATGCTAATGATGGCAAGGGGGCATTTTTTCTTTTCTTTTTTTGAATGGAGGTCGTGACTGTGAAATAAAGAATGTACAGTTACTCCTTATTGGAGAGTAAGGTGCACTTTTCATCCAAGCTGTGCAGTTAGCATAATACAATAATACCTAACTCTTTTTTATATAACATTTTTCATCCATTGACCTCAAAAGTGGTTTAAAGAAGGTTAGTATCATTGTCCCCATTTTACAGGTAAGGAAACTGAAGCATGGGGAAGGCAAGTGACTTGCCCATTTTCAACCAGCAAGCCAGTTTAAGAGCTGGAAATTGAAGCCAGGTCTCCTGAGTCTCACTCCAGTGCCCTATTCACTAAGCCATACTTGCTAAATGTGATTTCTGTAATAACCTCCTGCTCTTGTGGTATTTTCCATTGTTTTATATTCCATTTTTTCCACTTTCTGCTTTTAAAAGCTCTGCACTGAGGGGAAAATATCAGGGAAGTAACTATAATTTGTTCTTGAAATTGCTCGTTAAAGTGTGTGATCTATTGCTCCATCTTAAACAGTACAAATTGAATTAAAGGGTTTAATGCATTAAACTAATAATTCAGTGAAGGTAAAATGTGCATTTCTGAAGCCATTATGACAGGGGTTTGATAAGTACATCTTTTGAAAGAACTTTCATCATTTGAGAACAGTTCTGATCATCTGGTTTTTAGGAAGCTTTTAGAAATTTATTGGTTCTTGTACCATTTTTTAATTTGAACAGTTGAGCAATCTTTTTAATTGGAACTGGCTAGTTGCAGATTAAGTGCAGGTACTTGAATTTGCCAAATTTCATAAGTGATTTAACGCATCAAGCTGTAGTTAAAAGTAGGTGGCTTAGGAATTTGAGGTTTGTATATTAGCTGATGTGGCATTTCTTGGGTAGTATTTGCTATTGAACTTTGATACTGATCTGGAACCTGCTGAAATATCTAGAACTTTCTGAAATAGATCACGAAAGTTCTAGTTACGTTAAAGAACTTTAAAAAGTAAGGAGTTAAATACTGGGAGCATGGTAACAACAGGCAAATAGCAGCTCTTGTATGCTCAGCAGTTAGCTCATTCTCAACCTTGAACATTACAACCTGCTAGGGTGACCAGATGTCCCGATTTTATAAGGACAGTCCCAATTTTTGGGTCTTTTTCTTATATAGGCTTCTATTACCCCCCCATCACCTGTCTCTATTTTTCACACTTGCTGTCTGATCACTCTACAACCTGCTTTATTTTAAATTCTGATACTCTGTTTTGGAGCCTGTTGAAAGGGGATATTAACTGAGGCACAGTGTCTTATCGCACAATTTTTAAAATGGTCCATGAGATATTTCACCTGAATGATGACTGAAGGCAAGAGAGATCTTGGCTTAATATATCTGAAAGACAGCACTCCTAACTGCAGTATTCTCTTGCCCCTCTCCACCATTTGCCCCTTCACCTCCCAACCCATTGCCTTGTGCTCTCAATTTTAGATACTTTTATATGTATTGCACTGGCATCTAGGGGTCTCAGACAGGGATTAGGCCCCCATTGTGCTAGGCATGGCACAAACATAAGATGATGATGGGCTCTGGTCTAAAGAGCTTATAGTCTACAACCTGTCCCAGATGTTCAAACACAACATTGCATTAATAGCCTAGCAGATAAACCTGATACTATCCAAGGCTTTGTAACTGAAAAATTATCTGGTATTATGTGTTGGATTGAAACAATGTAGAAATGTGTGTCTTGCAGAAGATGCCAGTGATGTAAAATAGTGCTGTAGATCAGCATGTTAGTGGGTGGGTTTTGTTAGTATCTGCATAGAAAATGCCATGATAATGACCACATCTAATACTTATTGAATAAAGTTTCTCTCAAGCACTGTTACCAATTTAGACGACAAAGCCCAGAGCAGGTGGCTCTTATCAAATGTTTAATGAGAGGGGGAAAAGAAATTAAAGTTACTTCATATATATATATATATAATTTTCTTTCACCAAGCTCTTTCTAGGAAAAAGTTCTAAACTATCAAGTGAAATTTTGCCGATATCGATTTAGCCTTCATGGTTGCAGCAGGGAGGAGGGAACAGTACTTCCAAGATAAATATGCTATTTTTCAGATATTTTAACTATTGATAATGTTGTTAAAGTGCATAAACTAACAACACTTGTGAATTAAAAATATGTAACAGTATAATAAATGAATAACTTGTATTGTATTCTATGTACGCTATACAAATTTGGAACACAGAAGTGGCCACATAGCCTAATGGACTATGCAGGAGATTGGAACTCCTGAGTTGTAATCCTGACTGTTACTGGTTTACTTTGTGCCTAGGGAAAATCAGTTTTTTTTGCTCTTTCTTCTCTGTAAAATGTGGATAGTACTTGCCTACCACACACATGTTCAGAAGATTAAGATAAGTGAGAAACAAGCATTACTTAGATACTGTATGGAAATTCATTAGCTATTTAACTTCCTAGAAATTACTCTAATATGTTTAGTCTTGTGCATTGTATCTGGATAAAGATGTAGATAAATCTTGTACTCTTTACTGTTTTCTAGTGTCCAAGATGTATGCAGTGTGAAACTAAGTTTGATTTCATAACCAGAAAGGTAAGAGAGAGCAACAAAACATAATAGCCTAAATACATTACATTGTGGAACTTTTTTTGTGAACTCTTGTTTTGAAATGTGTTGAAACCTGTGTTTCAAAAGGATGCTGTCAAGTACTTTACACCCAAAATTTCACATGCCTTAAAAATAGCTTTTGTTCCCCCCCCAGGAATATGTCTTCATTCTTTTTAATCTATTATTCTGCTGTGAAATTTAAAATAAATGCCTGTTTTTAGGACTAAAATACTTTGCTAGTTTTGAGGCAACATGTAAGTAACACTTCTCAAAATATGCTGTTGTCAGTAATGCTGGCAAGTAAACAACAAACGTTCATTTCAGTACACTCAGATTGCATAAAAAATTAGTTATGTGAGTGAAAGAGTCTAATATTAGGAAAACTTATTTTCAGGGCTTGGATTCTAGGGAGAGCCTGTTTATAAAGTAATTGGACAAAATGTGCAAAACAAATAATGGGTGAAGATGTTGGCAAAAGATGCAATTGCTATAAGTAAAATTTAGTTCTTTTGTTGAATTATGAACAGTAATTCATTGAAATTAATGAGGTGGGCTGCATTGGGCATGTAATTCAGTCCATCCATATAGAAGTATTTTTATTAACTTTTATGTTGTCTTCTGTTGCATGAACTTTTACTAGCAAGCAGCATAGAGAAGATGCTGTCTTACTGGGAACTACCGTCAGAGGAGACGGAGCATTTTGCTGAAGGAGGGGAGGCAGAATTGTTTTAGATAGCTAGAATGATTGTCCTGCTGACTTTTGCACAAACTAGCAATGAATAACATTCCTTGCATAACTACCTAATTACACAGACATTTTGCTAGCATACACTGATGGAAAGGAAGAAAGATGGATGTAAGATGCATCTTGGGTTGAAACTCTTGTTTTGCAATTTGTTGTTTGGAATATAAAACCCAACAGATACAGTGTAACGAAATGGAAAATACATCTAATTAAATATGGGATACTGGGAATCTTCAGGACTTAGTATTAGACTGGTAACTATGGTAAGTAAATGTGGCTGATCAATGAGGAGAATGGGCATATTGGAGAGGTTTATTGGTGGTTCTCCGCACATAAGTTTTGCTCCCTAATTAAAGAAATATTCAGAAACTCAAGCTATTGTTTGTTCACATCAGTGGTTGAAACTTACTTTGATCCATAAGTTGGTTGCTTGATATGCTCCATCTCCCACGGGGAGTTTTACTTAATTTTCTCTGTGATCTCAAACCAGAAATAACTATTGTGCCTGTCATCGTTTCCAGTGGAAATAGTGATTTGGGGTCCCACTAGAAGCTGAGAAATTGAAGCTTTTGCACGAGTGCTATTCCACCAGCTTTGAGGACCTCCATGGGGATGCCATCTGGGCCTGGGACCTTGTTGTTTCAAGTCTGAGTGATGGCATCCAAACTTCCTCAGGAGATGGAGGGTCAGCAAGAGGTTCTATTACTGAATGCTGAGGAATGGACTGGGTGGTGGCAGCTGAGACTTCAGATTAGCAGTTCAATAGCGTCTCAAAATGCTTCTTCCAGCATTGCTTGAGGGTTACATTGCCCTTAAGAAGGGAGGAGCTGTCCTGAGATTGCAGAGGGGTTGTGTCCTTTGAATGTGGCCTGTAAGTGGCTTTTGTCGGTTGAAAAAAGCTTCTCATGTCATGTGGATCAGTGAAGCTCTGGATCTCCATGGCCTTTGCTTGCCACCACTGATTCTTGATGTCATGCAGCCCCCTTTGAACTACAACTTTAAGCTGATAAGTGTCTCTCTTTGCTGGTTAGAGGGTTCATTTTACCAAGTGCAAAATGTGCTTCTCTTCTGATGAATAAGTGTTAGGATTTCCTTGTTTTCATCATATCCAATACGGTGAGTGGAGTATATGCCTTGTGAATTCAGCATATGCCTTGTGAATAATGGTCTTGAACTCCTCCCAATGTATTTGGATGTCATTGACGTTGTCAGGTAGGTCAGAGAACCTCTCAATGAGGCATTGTGAAGAGTCTCGCAACTGGCACGATTCTGAAGTTCATGAGAAAATTCTACCCAACGTAAGGAGTGACTTGTCCCGTTTCTTAAAAATGGTCACAATATTGGCAATGTGAGGGAATTATTGAGGCATTGCTCTCTTCTCCATTGCGGGGAAGATCCTTGTTCAAAAGGATGCGAGCAATCTCCTGCCTCTTACCAAAGACATCCTTCCGGAATCCCAAGGTGGTCAAATTGTCATTCTATGTCGGGGCAACACCGACATAGAATCATAGAATATCAGGGTTGGAAGGGACCTCAAGAGGTCATCTAGTCCAACCCCCTGCTCAAAGCAGGACCAATCCCCAATTAAGTCATCCCAGCCAGGGCTTTGTCAAGCCTGACCTTAAAAACTTCTAAGGAAGGAGATTCCACCACCTCCGTAGGTAACGCATTCCAGTGTTTCACCACCCTCCTAGTGAAAAAGTTTTTCCTAATATCCAACCTAAATCTCCCCCACTGCAACTTAAGACCATTACTCCTTGTTCTGTCATCTGCTACCACTGAGAACAGTCTAGCGCGATCCTCTTTGGAACTCCCTTTCAGGTAGTTGAAAGCAGCTATCAAATCCCCCCCTCATTCTTCTCTTCCGTAGACTAAACATCCCCAGTTCCCTCAGCCTCTCCTCATAACTCATGTGTTCCAGTCCCCTAATCATTTTTGTTGCCCTCCGCTGGACTCTTTCCAATTTTTCCACATCCTTCTTGTAGTGTGGGGCCCAAAACTGGACACAGTACTCCAGATAAGGGATCACCAATGTCGAATAGAGGGGAACGATCACGTCCCTCGATCTGCTGGCAATGCCCCTACTTACACATCCCAAAATGCCATTGGCCTTCTTGGCAACAAGGGCACACTGTTGACTCATATTTTGTTGCACAAAAAAATCCAAGAGAAGTGTATAGAACAACACCAGCCACTGTTCATGGCATTTAGTGACCTAACTTAGGTCTTGGATTCCCTCCTTTGTGAACTGTTATGGAAGGTCTAGGTTTGGCTGTCCGTTGAAATTCATTCACGTTCTCAGGTTACTTCATGGTGGGTTGACCGGCACTGTCATCTTTAATGGGTTAGAGATGGACCCTTTCACTGCCTAGACTGATGTCAAGCAGGGCTGCGTTATTGCCCCAACCCTTTTTTCCCATCTACGTTGCTGTGATCTTGATTCTTATTTGTGACTGCCTTACTCAAGCCCAATTCTTGAAGAATCACATGGATGGCCAGCTCTTCAACCTGTGGCATCTTCATTCTAAAACAAAGGTCATTAGAACTGTTATTATAGACCTTCAGTATGTTGACTGTGCTATCCCCATGCACACCGAGGCTGACTTGCAATCCACCCTAGATTTTTTTTCTGTGGTGCTATCATAGCCTGGGACTTTCCCAGAACATTGGGAAGACTAAGATGCTCCATCAGCCTGTCCCAGGATAAGTTGCCCCCCTTCTCCCACAAATTGTCATCTGTGGTTAAAGCCTGAAAAATGTTGAGCATTTCCCTTACCTTCGTAGTTATCTCTCCCAGACAGCCAATCTTGATGTGGAGATCAAACATAGGACTTGTTGTGCCAACACATCCTTTGGAAAGTTGCTCTGTCATGTCTTTATTGAGAGAGAGAGCTGCGAATGGAAGCTAAGATCCTCACTTCCCCTTATGGGTGCGAGACCTAGGTGACATACCAAAGCCATCTTAAGCATCTCGAGTGGCACCTACAGTGCTGCCTTAGGAAGACTCTCTCTATATCAGATGGGAAGACCGTTGCACCAGTGCCAGCATTCTCTCTGCAACTAACCTCACCAGTGTTGAGGCGAAGGTTATGAAACATCAGCTTCGCTGGGCTGGTCATTGTGTGTAGATGGCCAATACTTGTGTTCCAAAGCAAATCCTCTTTTCTGAATTTAGTCATGGTAAGAGGACCCACAGGGGCAAAAAATGCTACAAGGACTCACTGGAAAGTATATTTTAAGAAGGGAGGTGTTGACCCCACGAATTGGGAAGAGCTGGCTGGCAATAGACTGCAATGGCATCGCATCATACATCAAGCCTCAACCATTTTAAAGAGAATTGCTTTGCTCATGAGGCTGAGAAACAGCACAGGTAGAAGGAAAATGTACATCATCCCGGCCAGCAGTTGTGCTCTCTCCAAGCAACCCCCTGTCATGTATGTGGAAAAACCTGTAGAGCACAGATTGGACTTGTCAGCTATCTTAAGTTTCTTCCTCCTGGCAGGTAACATCCTTGTATTGAGGGATAGCCGCCACTGCTGACTTGCTGAGAACTTAGAATTGCTGTGACATAGGCCTTATCACACTGGCAAATGATTTGCCATTATCTCAACTTCACTGGACGCTTGTAGGATTTTTCTTGTTCTACTAACTGTTATTTCTGATTTAATGATTTTTATTTTTAATCCTGTCTCTAAAACCTTGAATTGGTTGTGTCACTGTTTAGACATGGAATTAAATATTTGGAGAGAGAGGCATGGGCTAAAGATGGAACCCAGTGGAAAGTGAAGAGGACATGCAAACCACCATTATATTTTGCAGTCTTTTTGACAGTGAGGACAAGGATTTAATGGTCCATGGAGACTCCTTTTCATCCTTTTTCACTCTGGTCAGACCTGAAGCACAGGGCTCGGGTATCTGGAGAAGCTTGCACTGCTATTGCTCATGCTAGACCGTCTTTAGTGTTCCAGTCTCCAGAGATGTCATTTTAGCACTTCTTACTATCTCTAGAATCACATGACACTTAATTAGCCATATCTAGTATCTTTTTTTCCCCTCTGTGTATCTTGGTATTACTTGCACAAGAGAAACTAGGCAAGCATGCCAATGCTTTAGGAGTACTAGTGTTCTTGATGTGGTAACATTATCAGCTCTGTATTAATTGCATCTTTTGTAATATTAGTATTTTTATTTTATTTTATTTTATTTTTTGCCTAGCACCACTGCCGGAGATGTGGGAAGTGCTTTTGTGACAAGTGCTGCAGTAAAAAAGTGCCTCTGTCTCGTATGTGCTTTGTAGATCCTGTGCGTCAGTGTGCTGAATGTGCTCTCATCTCTCAGAAAGAAACGGAATTTTATGACAAGCAGCTTAAAGTGCTTATGAATGGTAAGTACTGCATGCACAACTGTTGTTTTGATCTTGTACATAGTTATTCTAGTGAGTGTCAAATGAGATAAATAGCAGATCTAATTCCCTTGTGTTGTCAAGTAAGGCGCTATGTTGCAGTCTCTAGAAATCTCCTTTGAAATACTTTCCCGCTGTCATTTTTTTTTGTTTGCCCATTATTTTGTTATCCAGCCAGATCTGTTCTTTGGAGATGAGATTTTTATTTTTATATATTTTTAAAGTTCTGCTCCTACAGTCAAAGGAACTCTGCCTCTTATTAGCTGATGAATGTATGAGGTCATGATAATAGCTCTCTTGTAATATTGCACTTTATTAAATCACAATGTGGATCAAATACACACTTAACAGTAAAAAGAACAATTTTGAATTCTTCTAATGAGAGAGAATACATGCTTCAAACTTCATTTCAGCCTCTGATCTCTTCTTCCTCCCTAGACTGTGTAGGTGGCTCTGATTGTCACTGAACTGTCAATTGTAAATAGATTTAAAGAGTAGTATGAAATATAACTGGAGCCCTGATTGCACTGTTTTTAAAAATGAAGAATCTGATGTCTTAAATTTTAAAAATATTCTGTGAGTATTTATAATTGGGAACATGCCTTTCAAGGGATGCTGAATGTGACTTTACTAGGTATTTTCAGTAGTTAGGCAAAAGCACAGCTCCTAATTAGAATGCATGTTCCACGTGAGATGTCCTACAGCTCCATGAGCTTAGGAAGGAATGTACCAATTTCTATAGAACACTTACATTTTAATTTTAACACTTTGATCTCTTTGGTTTGTGAAAGACTGAACCAAAATTAGTGCTCCTAATGGGGAGGGAAACATGAACTCCGAACACATCTACACATGGATTACGAATAATATAATGCACTGGTTATTCTATAATGTGCTCTGGGGGTGAGGCACATACGGCTTTTAAACAAACTATTTGTAAGAGGATTATTATTTTTCTCATGTACAGCAGTATAACTTCATTGACTTTGATGGAGTTCTGACTTACACTGGTGTAACTAAGAAAATCTGAGCATGGGACAGTCCTGAATTGAACGGCTACCTGCCAATAAAATCTTTCTTTCTGTATATTCTGTACACTTCTTTAAAAAGTTTCTATAATATTTTTACTAACTGCAATATTTGATTACAAAAAATGGTCCAGTGTAGCTGCAGGAAACTGTCCAACAATCATTGGATACTGTCCTTTGCCTCTTGCTTTGAGGTTGAGGGTGTGCCTTAAATCCAGTAAACATACAACAATCTACACACATTACTCCTAGGGGAATTCTGGGCCAAAAAATTAAAAATTCTGCGCACAGTATTTTAATCTGCAAAATTCTGCATGTTTTGTCTAAACACAGTATCACACCAGTTTCAATTATTTTTGGTCATTTATTTCAAAATACCTGTCGGCAAGTATGTCTGTAACAATACAGACAACAATAAAGATTCAGGAAATCTTCTGACAAATAGATTCTTACTAGGCATATTGATACACAACTCTCAGTAATTCATATAAACTACAGTACAGAACCTTATTTCCTGCACCCCTCAGAAGCAGTGCAAATGCTTGTGGGAGTCGGGGGTAATGGAGGAGCTGAGGGAGAGGGAAGTAAACTGCTGGGAAGGAGCCTTTGTGTGAACTTGGAGGGTTGTTGGGTATGAGTGGGAAAAGTATGTACAACAGGTTTTTGGGGGGGGGGGTTGGGAGGGATGGTTAAAGAGCATCCCCCATGCAGACCCTGGCTGACACCTAGCCTCTCTCATTCAGTCAGGCACATCTGCCCCTGTCCCCAGGTCTTCCTGCATCCCCATGTGGCCCTGCACCCCCCTCTCCCAATGTCTCTGTACCCCCATTCAGCCACCCGCTGTCCCTATGTTGCCCTGCATCTCCCTCCCCCATCACCATGTGGCCCTGCACCACCCTTGGCCCCGTGCCCCAACTCCCATTCAGTCCCTGCCCCAGTCTGTCCTCCCCAGCAACCCCATGCTATCTGTTTCCCCATTGCCCCTGTTTCCTGGGCCAGGCCGGGCAAAAGACAGGCTCATTTTCTTCCCTCGCTGGCTGGGAGCTGCTGCTGTGTTCCTGTGCCACAGTGCCCTCTGGTGGGCAAAAGGTGGAACTGCATCAGCATTTCAGCAGAAGCTTTTTTTCTGCGCACACAAAAACTGTGCGCAGCTTATTATGTGCGCGCGCAGTAGCACAGAATTCCTCCAGGAGTGACACACTGGAGAAGAAATATTAACTGATCGCAGGATGTTTAGTTACAACTGCACCATTTTGCTATTGATGGTGACAGTGAACTCTTTTGATGTGTTTTTCAGGATTAGACTTTTTAAATAGATTGGGTAAAATGGAGAGCATAACGCAGCTTAAGGTGTTCAAGCCATTAGGATAGGTGCATGAAGTGCAAAAGTTTATAAAAGTTCTTGATACACTAACTTTGCTTCTTTCTTAAATTACAAATTTAGCATTTGAATAACTGAATAAATTTTTGGGAAATTTTTTCTACTAAGGTGCTACATTCTCTGTTGCTCGGGGAACATCAGAAAAATCTGAGATGATGGTTTGTCGACTTTCCAACAACCAGAGGTGAGAAATGAGAATGGAAACTGCACTTGTTAAATCTGGTTAGGTTTTAAAATTTTTATTTAATCTCCCCATCCCCGCTCTTCGTGAGGTCTTGTGTGTTGCCTCTACAGCATTCCTGCCGGTTTGTGCTCTAAAATGTTTCCAGAATCAGCAAGTGAGTACATGGTATGAGTAGGGCCCTACCAAATTCACCGTCCATTTTAATCAATTTCATGGCCGGAGAGTTTTAAAATTAGTCAATTTCACGTTTTCTGCTGTTTACATCTGAAATTTCATGATGTTGTAACCGTGGGGGTCCCAACCCAAAAGGTACCCAGAAGTGCCTGCCTGCCTCCCCCCTCTGAGCTGCCATGCAAGGGAAGGACAAGTCATCTCTCCCCCGAGCCCAGCAGGGACTCACAGCTAAGAGCTCCCTGGCTGGGGTGCTCCCAGGAGCAGGAGTATATCCAACTGCCTCCACAAATCTCCTCTAGCTGCAGGAACCCTTAGGGCTGGAGCTTTCTGGAGGAGGGGGGAGGCAAGCAGGCACTCGGTGGTGGGTCTGATCTCCACCAAGAGCTGCTATATAAGGGAAGGACAAGTCCTGTCCTAAGTTCTCTGTAAGCTGCGCAGCCATGCATCAGCCTATTTAGTGCCACACAGGTGCTCAGGGAACCCACCCGGGAACCGGCCATAGCTCCTTCCATGGCTTTAACCTAGCCTGGCTCCCAACCTCCCGCGGCGGCCCTCCACTGGCCCCAACTCTGCTGCGGCCCAGCCTCAGGCACGACCGGGGCAGCCCGGACCTGACCTGCTGGGGAAGGGGCGCCTATCCTGCAGCCCCAGCCCTGGAGCTGCCATGGTGGAGAGAGGCACCTCTCGCACACAGCCCAGTTGCTGCTGTGGCGGGAGAGAGCTGGGGGGAGTCCTCTCTCCCCACCATAGTCCCAGAACACCCTTCTGCCCCCCAAACCGCTCGTCCTCAGTCCCACCCCTGAGTCTGCACCCCCCCCCAGCCAGAGTCCTCACACCCCTGCACCTAACCCTCTGCCCCAGCCCTGAGCCCCTTCCCACACTCCGAACTAGTCGGCCCCACCCCCACCACATGAATTTTTGTTATGTGCACCAATATGGAGGTGATGTGTCATATTGGTGCATATAACAAAATTAATTCCGCACATGGGTGGAAAAAACTAGAGGGAACACTGGTCCTGTCCCTCCCTAGCCCAGCAAGGACTCACAGCTTAGAGCTCCCTGGCTGGGGTGCTCCCAAGAGCAGGGGGATATCTGACCCACCTTCACAAGTCTTCTCTAGCTGCAGGAACCTCCGGGGCTGGAGCTTCCTGCAGTGGGGTGAGGCAGGTACTCCGAGGTGGGTCTGATCTCCCTCTGAGAGCGACAGTGGCTGTGCATGGAAAAGACAAGTCCTCTCCCTCCCCGGTCTAGCCAGGACTTGCAGCCAGGAGCCCCCTGACTGGGGCACTCCCAGCAACAAGTGGGAGATCAGATTTCATGGGGAAGGGCTTATTTCAGAGTCAGTGACACACTGCCCTGAAATGGTAGGGCCCTAGGGATTAGCAGAGGGTAAACCCTTTTGGGCTTATTGTCATATGATGCATCATCAGTCTGGTTGTTTTTTGGTTGTTTTTTTTGTTTTGTTCATGAAACCTTGCTGATCACAGCAAAAATTTACACTAAAAGTATGTCTACATTGCAAAAAATGACCCATGGCAGTGAATGTGAGCCTGGGTCAGTTGACTCAGGCTCATGCTACAGGGTTAAAAATAGCAGTGTAGATGTTCCTGCTTGAGCTGGAGTCTGGGCTCTGAGATCAGCCACCCTTGTCAGGTTTCAGCCAGGCCTACAGCAGGAGTGGGAATGCCTACGCTGCTATTTTTGGCCCTGTAGAGCAAGCCTTAGTCAGTTGACCTGGGCGCTGAGACTCACTGCTTCAGTTGTGTGCGTGTGGCGGGGTGGGGTGTGTGTGTGTTTTTTTTGTTCTGTTTTCTGTTTTGCAATGTAGACATACCCTAAGAAGCTTGGATGGCTCCAGACATTAATGTTGGAATATTATGAAGCACTTTGCATGTAAGTCATTAATTTGAATCTGGCTAGGCAGGTAGTGACAGACTGTTGCTGTCTGCTAGCTGGTTGTCTAGAAGAAATGAGTTCTGTATACTGTGCCTACTGTACAGTCCACGTGACTAGTCTCATTTTTATTTGTGTACTGGTAGCTTCCAAAACCATTAGATGTACACACAAAGGAAGATTGTCCTTAACCCCCCTCTGAGCTGTTAATCTGCAAAAACTTGCATCAGATGAATGTGGGGAATAAAGAGGTACAATATACAAGCAGAATCCTCAGGATGATGACAGGTACATGTCTTGCAGAGTTAAACTGGGAGAGGACCAGCGTGTGGACTAGGAGTTTGGTAATGGATACTGAAAAAAGGGTGAATTTTAGAGTTCTTCGGAAAGAAGAAAGCCTGGCTCTGGAGGAGGAGAGGAGAATCTGCTGACCCCAAGGTTGTGGGGTTTGGTAGGAAGAATGGAGGGGCAGTGTAGGGCCCCTCGCCTCAGTGGGGGATGGAAGTCATTGGTAGTGGACACCTGGTGTGCAAAAGACTAGGTGAGTGTCCTGTCCATTTCTTTGTGGGAGATGAAACGGCCAGGGGGGTACCTTCAGATAATTTTGGCAGGTTCTTAATTTAAACTCCTACAGCCAGAGGGAGGTGGAGTATTCCCCTATTGGAGGTGAACAGAATAGAGGGTGGGTTGGTTGGTTGATTGTGAATAACAGTGGAAAGAAATTGAGTGTAATCTTAAACTGCCTACTGTCTAGTATCAGGGGGGTAGCTGTGTTAGTCTGTATCCACAAAAACAACAAGGAGTCTGGTGGCACCTTAAAGATGAACAAATTTATTTGGGCATAAGCTTTCATGGAAGAAGTGGGTTTTTATCCATGAAAGCTTATGCCCAAATAAATTTGTTTATCTTTAAGGTGCCACCAGACTGCTTGCTTGCTTTGTTTTTTTGCCTACTGTCTGTAGTTTTTGTTCATTTTTTGTTTTAACCACGTTGGGGTAGGTGCAGTCTTCTGTTGTATGTTTGTATAGTGCCTAGTACAGTGGGATCTCAACCTTAGATGACTTGTAAGTGCTATTGGAATATAAATAATGTGTTGCCAACAGTAATGGGAAGGGTACTGGTTGAGAGGGCATGAGGAAAAATTTAACCATTGAAAAAATTGTTTCAAAATGTTTGTTTTAAAAACTGAACTCATGCATAAGGTTCCAGCCTCCACAGAGCTGAGTGTGATCCTCAGGCTATAGATGGTTAGACAATCTCTTTCAAAATGCCTCAGTCGCTTTTCCTCTTGAGGATGCTCTGCAGGAAGTTTTGCAAGAGGCACCTGGCAGTCTGGCCCATAGCTTTCAACTGGCTTTAACTGAAGATCAGAAGGTTGGTGGAAGGCGGTGTTTCTTTGGTTGGTTGTTTTTTGTGTTAAAAGCTTTTCTTCCTATCTTTACAGCTTGTGATTGTCTGTAGGAATTAATTCCTGTGAGGTTTGTGTTAAAGTACATAAACTGCCAGGATACTGTTGGTAGAACCTGTTGTTTCTCTTGAATCAGACTTAATTTTCAAGTTCACAAAATGACACATTTGTAAGAAGCAATGTTTTCTTCTGTTGTGTAGATATCTGTTTCTGGATGGAGACAGCCATTATGAAATTGAAATTGCACAGATTTCGACTGTCCAGATTCTTACCGAGGGATTTACTCCTGGAGGTAAATCTTGCAATGAATCTAAACTAATGGTCATAAGTTACAAATTTGCAACGCTTTTCCTTAACCTAATAAAACAATACACCTTCTTTTGCACTGACAACTCAGATATGGGTGCTTCATTTCACTCGGAGTACAACAGCAGCATTTGGAAGCCTATCCTTGTGGCTGCTGACAGTAGCATTTTAGAAAAAACTCAAGAATTCAGAATTGATTTCTGACCTTTTGATCCTCATCCAGTAGAACTTTGTATCTTGAAGGAAGTGACGGTGGGCATCTGCCCTGCTGCCACTTCCCACTGCCTGAACCATAGAGATGCATTCTTGATTGAGTACGGGTAGTGGTGGAGAAGAACTTTAGTCGTCAGAATGGAAAGTATCAGGACCCAGCTGTGGCCTGCTTTTGCTTGAAGCCAGCATTATAAGGGACAGACTCCGGAGTTAATGGGAGTGCAGTGTCAGAACCACAGATTGGGACCAATTAGTATTATCAAATTAAACTGTTAACTACATCTAACTGGTATGTGGCTAACCAAACAATTATGCAGAGTTTTACTTTTCACCTGACCCCTGATTGTGGCCAACCAAAATCTGAATGGGGTAACTAACTTTTACCCAAGTCCTACAAAATATGCTCATCAGGCGCAAACCCAGTATTAGAGTACAGTAAATAAAAAATGGGAACAAGGATTTCGAAAGTGATTCTTTACCATTAATAATTTTGTCAAGTACTACTGGACTTCCATTGTAAATCTCACATCTGTGGAATGTGGGACCGGTGTAGTCAATCAAATGTGTGAATGTATCTTAATGCTCCTTCAATTTCCTTATTCACTGCTCTTCTGACTAATTTTTCTTCTCACTGCTTGCCTACCTTCTTGATGTAGAAAAAGATATTCACACTTATACCAGCCTTCTGGAGAGCCAACATATTACTGAAGGTCAGCAATGTTGTTGTGAACTTGATTCACCTGAGCATGCTGTTATGATGCCCTTTTCAGTGCTGCTTTCTTCCTCTCCTCTTTGCCATCTGTAGATCTTACTAAAATTAATTTTGGGCAACCTGTGTTTAAAAGTGTTAGATTTTAAACAACATGTATTTTGTGTGATGCCCTTAGAAAGAATAGGAACACAGATTATCAATCTAAATTCTAAAGTGGAGAACATTTTGACTATTGGAGGATGACTTAAAATACTTCTGCCTTGATCAGGGCTCCCTTAAATCATATACTTGTGGCTATTCTCCTTGCTGACAGGCACTATGCATAGCTCACTTCCTGTTGTACAAATGGGTGAGCACTAGAGTGTTCACTTCCTGAAGTGACCAAAGTACTGCTGCTCAAGATGGGAGGATGGGTAGAGGAAGAAACGTGTGGATGTGTTGAATGTTAGTTATAGAATAAATGAGGAAGCAGAGGGAATGAATGAATAAAGGGGTAAATGGAAGGAATAAGTGGTGGAAATGGAAACGGAAGAAGTGACCGGTATTTAGTATCGCTTTGGAGTTGTAGGTCTATAACTAAGACAGTTCAGTTTCTTCCACTTATGTCTCATGAAGAGAATATATTGGTGCTTCAAACAGTGTGCTATTGGGTCAGTTTCTAGACCAAAGCAGTAGTGAAATCACAATAGTGAGCACAAGTTGGAAGCTTTGTTCCAGTCCTCATAATGAAATATTGTAAATAAATTGATTTTCTTTAAGTATCTTTGATAACAAATACATGGGCAAGTGTGCATATTCAACATGGATTATCATCTTGCTATTATGCTTCAGTATATGATCTTAACGATCATCTTGTGTAGCTGGGTATGTAGAGTATATGTACTTGAAATGTACTGCAAATGTAATTAGCACGTCATGAGATTTTAAAAATGGATATTCATAAAAATCTTAATTTTGGATAGTCAGTACATTTGGCATGACTTTATTCTTAAGCTAAGGATTGTCTGCCCTTTTGAGGGAGGGGAGAAGCTATTTATTTTATGCCCAAGTGGTGTGGGAGGCTTTTTTTGGGTGGAAAGATGGGTTTGTGACTAAGTAAATCATAAAGAGAAAATACAGGTCACTATATTTGTTTTTCTCCTGTCTTGCTGTGTGCTGTATCGTTTATGTAACCTACTACTGACTTTTGCTTACTGGTAGATCAGTGTCATGTAATCACATTTGCAACAGTCTGAATTTGGTCAAGGTCTCAGTACATTGAAAGTTAGGTACTCAGTTTTATAATCCAACTAGGTAAATTGGAGAGGGCAGAGGAATCCAGTTGCTCCTTTTGCAAAGAGATTGAAAAACATGTTAACTCATAACATGGTGCTTCAGAAGCTTAGTGCAAGATTATCTTTGTGCCTGGATTTCTCTTGGATGGTGCCATAAGGACACTGACCCCTTAGGGCCCTACCCCATCTGAAGATAATCTTTTCATTGAAATAAATGAGGCCTTTGTCTACATAAGGCACATTGGATCAGGCAGGTGAGGTGACCTGCAAGAGGATTGGTTTTTGAAGGTTCTGGTGACTTAGTTAATCCTAGAATAGTGTACTAAATGCCCCAAACAATAAGGTGCAAAATGTTACAGTACGTGTTTATTCCATAAGAATCTTTCTTGACTTTTAGGCTAACCTGATTCCAATGTGCGTTCTTCACTTCCCTCCTTGTTTTCACTGGGTGGCCTATTAAGAACAACACATCTTAAAATCACAGCTAGAATATAAATTATATAAGGTGGTGTACTCTCCCACACACTTCCTTGAGTGAAGCCATCCTCTGTGGTGGACACACCCCATATGCTGATACTTTCAGGAGTTATTTGGCCTCATAGTAGGTTTCCACCATGAGGCCACCTGTCCTCCCATCTATCTGGTGGAGACCAGGAAGCTTTCAGACTTCCTATCAAGAAAGAACCCTTCTTCTTTTTTTTTTTTAAATCTGACAAGAATAACAACTTCCATTTCTTTGCAAACTGCAAGATACTGTGGTGAATTACCATGAATTTTATTTTTAAGACTTCTAACACTTAGAAAAATACGAAGCTAGAAAGGTGTTCTTGCAATGTCAGTATATAAATAGCTTTGTTTCCAGCAATAATTCCCTTTGCTGCTAGCTTCCCTGAGTGATCTTCTGACCGTGCATTCTTGGCTTTGGGTTGTGGTAACACATTGTGGTTCATGCTCACACAGTAGCATACAATAGCAGCAGCTGTTAATGCAAGACATTTAAAGCATTTAAATGGTGTTGGGAATGAGTTATATTGGTGATTTATGGACAGAGCATCCTCTTCTTTTGTTTCTTAGGTGGCTAAATACTTTGCTCTCCTACTGCTTGTTCAGGACTCTACTTTAATTTTCCCTTTTCAGGGGGCAATACTCGTGCCACAGGTATGCTCCTGCAGTATAAGGTACCAGGGTCAGAGGAGCTCACACAGATGAAATTTACTGCCAGTGAAGACTTCAATTCCAACAAGAAGCTGTCAGCAGCCTGGCTAGCAGCTATGCATAAGGTAACTTGTATAAAATACATTTAATGTTTAAAATTGATCACCTTAAGTTTGGTCACCATTTGTGTACAAAACAATTAGTTGTGACTGTACTATAAATATAATAGGGCCAGAACCCATTTTATACTAGATAGACCATACTCTGACTACAGCACTGGCTTCTGCTGAGGTCTAGAAAACATGCTGGTTTGGCATCTAAATGGGTGGGGGGAAACTGAGTGGTTACAGCAAGCAAGGGAAACTCTCTTTACTCTGGGGCTTTAATATTTGGTGGTACATGGATTTCCAGATGCCATAGATTGATTGATACTCAGCATTTGACAAGATTACAAACTAGAGCCTTCGCTTCCATGGGTTTCATCTTGTATGCCCACTAGACAGACACAGACACACACCCTGAATTAGGTTTCCATTAGTTATTATGTAATAATCCTGGAATCCAATGTAGTTCACTTTCGTAACCCAAAAAACTGTAATATCAATGGGTAAGAACAGTGCACTGTGTGTTCAGACCTAAATAACTGGGGGAGTGCGATAATATATAAAATATATCAAACAGCAGCAGACAGGGCATGTTGTTAGTACGCTAACAGAACACCAGCTGCAGGGGAAGAACATAATCTTGCTAAACCTTAACGTCTACATTGTGAAACAGTTATAAATCAGTGAAACTAGACCAGATGGCCATATCTTTCATACTGTAACTTTTTTTTTAAAAGTTCCAAAGTTATCTTTATTCTTAATACTCAATTAATAGAGGGACCTTGGAATACTTCATAGATTTTAAGAACAGAAGAGACCATTGTGATCATTTAGTCTAACTTCCTATATTATGCAGGCCACAGGACTTTCCTGAAATAATTCCTAGAGCAGATCTTTTAGATAAACATCCAATCTTGATTTAAAAATTGCACAATATTCCAGCAGCAGTTTCACAAGTGTCAAATACAGAGGTAAAATAACATACTACTCCTAATTGGGATTCCTCTGTTTATGCATCTGAGGAATTCAGTAGCCCTTTTGTCCACAGTATTGCACTGGGAGCTCATATTCAGCTGATTATCCACCATGAGCCTCAAATCATTCAGTCATTGCTTCCTGTACTGCAAACTTGGCCTACATTATTTGCTCATAGCTGTATACGTTCACAGTTGGTTGTATCAGTGACCTGTCCTCTTCATTATTTATCACTCCCTCAACCTTTTTGTGTCATCTGCAAAGTTTATCCGTTGATTTGGTTTTCTTCCAGGTCTTCAATAAAAATGTGAATCTGTTTTGCATTAACTAGAATTAGTAGTTGGGTACAGTTAATCCTGGGGTATAATGAACTATACAGGGTGAATTGACAAGTAAGGAGAATAAACATCTGCCTAACTTGCAAAAATCTGTATCGTTCATAACTGCTCTGAAACACTGAATCCTCTATAAGATCTGTTTCCTGATTCCTGGGTTTTTAGAACTTTTGATTCCCAGCTAAGATGTTTGGTTTGTTTTTTGTTTTGTTATCCAGCACAATGGGACCCCAATCCTGATTGGGACTGCTGGGGGCTACCATGATATATATGCTGCTCCAAATAGTTAAATTTATTTCACAAATCAGCCCGAACCTTAAGGAAATCCCAAATAAAATTTTAGTTTTGGAAACAGGTATTAAAAACAGCCATAACACATTCTGAAAGGATTTTGGATTAAAGGTTAGATTAATGTTGGAAAGCAGAGTGGATTGATTTAAATCAAAGTGACATAAATCAGGTTTAAATAATTTAAATCAGCAAGCGGAAAACTTTGATTTAAATCTATTTTAATCTTATTTTGCATTTGTCCTTATTTTCCTAATAAAAAGTTTGATTCTTACTGGTTGGTAACCATTAAAACATGTTGACTGGCAAGTAACTTCAGCCTTTACACTAAATATGGTGGTACTTTTTGCTGAGGATACATTATCTGTACAGTGTAAGCTACATAGTTGCAATTATTCAGATTATTAACTTTTACATTTGTTAAAATGATGACTGATACATTTACTAGACTTGGGTAAAGCTCCATTTGGATGAAAATTAGAATTCAATTAAAAATGCACAAACATCACTTTTTAATTTTTATATTAAATCAAACTACCTTAAATGAGCTGGATACATAAGAAACGGGATTTCCAATACAGTTTTGATATACAAAACTAAGTGACTTATTTAACAAAAGTATTATATGTTGCTAGTGAGTTGAACTGATTGTTTCTAGTCACTATGTCCTTCAAGATCTTAGAACTATAGACCAAATCCTCTCTCACCTCACTTTAATTCATTGATTGAAAGAGGGGAAAACAAGCTTTACTACTTTTAATTCCAGGCCTGTTTCTTAACTTTGAACTAGTAGAACAAGCTGAAAAGAAAATATTTCCTCTGCACCTGCAGAAGAGGCTACTGCTGTCAAAAGCTAGTTTAGCACTTCACCGAACCAAAGTTCCAAGTGCTTAACCAGTGATTTCCACCAACCAGTTCAGTAGCTTTTCTCCCCCGCCCCTTTTAAAACTATGTCAGCAAAAATGTACTCTGTTAGAGAAGAAACTATATACTATCATGTGAGTGGGGTTTTTTGTTGTTTTTTTTTAATTAAACTGCCTTAATAATTAAAGGCTAGATCCTCCCTCCTGCTTTCCAAGTGTGGGTCAGTGAGCACTGCCCATGACTGACTCACTCCTCCACACTCCAGCAAAATGTCAGAGCGACTTTTTCACATCTGCCCTGATCAGCCAGGTAACAGTCTCTTTATCCTAGATGAGCCTGAGATTGCCTCCACATCTGATATATGAACGAGGCAGGTTCTTAAGATGCATTAATTGTCTAACATGTCAATCACGAAAGCCAAGAGCATACTACTGTAACAGTTTCTTTCAGGTGGCAGTGTGGCTTCTCCAAAAGGAAGGGGAAAGCTGCAGAGTGAGTTATCATTATTGTAATGACTAGATGGGTGTGTTACATTTATTTTAAGCTGCACAGCCTGATATATTCAACTTTAATATTCCCCAGCCACCTTCCTTAAGAGTATTTCAAGAAAATCAGAAGTCAAGTTCCCATCCATCTAAAACTTGACTTCCTCGGTGTCCTGAAATCATATTGAAAGCTTCCACATTTTCATTTAAGAAATTCTCTCCCACAAAATCAGTCAGTTGCTACTATGGAAACTTCCATTTCTGTGCCATTATTAAAGCTGTTAAGTGGGAGGGAAGAGTCACTCCATGTCTATTCTTCCTCTGCTTCCCTTTTCCTGAACTCTAGAACAGTTAGTAAAAAATCTAAGACTCACTGATTTGAACAAATATTTTAAAGTTCAGCTTGAGAGTATTCCTAAGCAGGAAAATAATAAAATTCCAGTAGGGAGCCTCATCTTAAATCTTAATAGAATGAGGGACTAGAGCAGTGATACTCAGACTGAGGCTCTCAAGCCACCAGTGCCTCTTTAATGTGTCTCCTATGGCTCTTTGCAGCACATGATATTAAAATGCTGGCTGATTTAATTATTAACCACTCACAATGCTTTTACTACATTAACCAATTGTAGTTGATAAAATAATACTTTGGTCAGTCATTTGTGGAGGAGGGTGTACATACGTACACACACAGTAACTCCTCACTTAGTCGTCCCGGTTAACGTTGTTTCATTGTTACATTGCTGATCAATTAGGGAACATGCTCATTTAAAGTTGCGCAATGCTCCCTTATAACGTTGCTTTGTCCACTGCTTGCAGGAAGAGCAGCCTGTTGGAGCTGGCTTGGAACTAGGGTCGACCGGCAGCCCCCCTATCAGCTCCCCACTCCCCTAAGTTTCCTGTGCGGCAGCTGCACAGCAAGCTATCAATTGCTGGCGGTTCAGCTGTCCCTCCCCCCACTGCCATGTGCTGCTCCTGCCATCTGCCTTGGAGCTGCTTCCTGAGCCTCCTGCTTGTTGGGGTGGGGGCTAATGTCAGGGTGTCTCTCCCCCTCCCCCCTGCGCCTGCACCCTACTTACCCCTTCTCCATAGAGTGGGGGGTGGGGACACAACAGGACTCAGGATGGAGGGAGCTTGCTGGCTGCAGCTGCTGTCTCAACTTCCTGATCTACTTAAAAGGGCAGTGTACTTAAGAGTGGTGTCAGCCTACTTAAAGGAGCAATGCGCATCTCTCTCTCTCTCACACAGGGTGTGTCTCTCTGCCACGTTGTCTCCCCTCCCTCCATTCGTGCTGCCTTGTAGAGTGTGAAGCTACATTAACAATGTGTTAACCCTTGAGGGCTCAGCTGAATGCCAGTTCATCATTTAGCAGTAAGGCATTCCCTGGGAACTATCCTACCCTCTTCCACCCTCTAACTTCACCACCTCAACCAAGCTTCACAATCATCATTGCTGTGTATAGTATTAAATTGTTTAATATATAGTTTCTTGTCTGGTGAAAAAAATTTCCCTGGAACCTAACCCCCCCCCCCCCCCATTTACATTAATTCTTATGGGGAAATTGGATTAGTTTCACTTAGTCACATTTTTCAGGAACATAACTACAATGTTAAGCGGGGAGTTACTGTATATAATAAAAATAGTAAATAAAACAATGAATTCACACTATTATCTTTTGGATAATGTTGATTGCTGATTTGGCTCCTGAACCACTGAGGTCTGAGTATCGCTGGGCTAGAGTGTCAAAACTGCCAAATCCAAGCTCTGCATGATGGGGTACTGGCAGTGAACGTTCAGCTCAGCCATTACCACCTCTTACAAGGGGGCAGACAATCTAATTTTCATCTGTTCCTCTATTTGATATAAATGTGCTTAAGTTACCGCAGTTAGCAGTTGATCTGGGATGCAATCAGTAAAGAATTAAAGCACAATAACATAATACCGATCACATGGTTTTATGGAAGAAGTCTTGTCAGACTTTTTTTGGAGATTACAGTTTGGTTGACAAAAGTAACTGGCGTACTTCTGTAAGGCATTTGATTTAATACTTTATTTTATGTGCTGCAGATTCTGTTTTGTGCTATATCACAAACTAGCTAGCTCTCTAAGTAAGTGGGAATCATAGTCCATTGGGAGGGTTTCCAGTGCAAGCTGTTCAATATCTTATCAGTGATCTGGAAGTGGTCAGTCAGTCTTGGTAAAGCTTGCAGATGGTGCAAAATTGGAATGGTAAATAACTGGTCAGTTCCACAGAGTGATCTAAGCTGGGCTCACTTGAATAACGTGGTTTTATACAGCTTAAGGCAAAGTTCTACATCTAGGAACCAAGAAAGTAGGATGGGGGAAAAAGTATTTTTAAAAGCAGTGATTGGGAAAAGGACTTAGGGGTCATGGGAGATCACCAGCTGAACTTAAGTTCACCGTATGATGTTGGGCTAAGAGCAAATGCAATCATTAGATGAATAGGGAGTGTAATGGATGTATGGGACATATGTCTTGACTAATTGTTCCTTTTGGCTCTCAAATTAGAAAAGCTATCTACCTCTGTTTATCTCAAAATAGGATCCACCTATGAGGACAATAAGAAAATGGTTCACATCATGTGACAATAAGGACCCACAGATCAGCCAAGGTTGAGTGTTCCCCTCTCCAGCTACAGAACTTAAAATAGCTAAATAAGTATAATCACCTAGGCAAGAATCTCTCCTAATATGAATATGTATAAACCTCTTTCTCTCTCCCTAGTTAAAAAGAATTCCAAGTTTCCAAACAAAAGTGGCTTGTTGCACATTGCGTGGGTCAAGAAGTGACGGGTGGGGAAGCTGCAAGTTGAACAACTAAGAACTGTGGCTATAAAATTGAACGTTAAATTGGGCTGTTACCCCAAGAAATCCAAGCCCCATGTTTTCATCCCAAATTATAAACTGTACATTGTTTCCTTGTAAATCAAATTTATTGTGAATAATCTTTCACCCAAAATTAGAAATAGCACATTTGTTTGCATTGTGAGTCAGATCTATATCTTATATGTGGAAAATGACACTTGTTCAGTTGTAAGTCCTAAATAATGTGAAATGCATATTGTAATCACATTTGCACAGCTACAGACTAGGGACCGAATGGCTAGGCAGCAGTTCTGCGGAAAAGGACCTAGGGGTGACAGTGGACGAGAAGCTGGATATGAGTCAGCAGTGTGCCCTTGTTGCCAAGAAGGCCAATGGCATTTTGGGATGTATAAGTAGGGGCATAGCGAGCAGATCGAGGGACGTGATCGTTCCCCTCTATTCAACATTGGTGAGGCCTCATCTGGAGTACTGTGTCCAGTTTTGGGCCCCACACTTCAAGAAGGATGTGGATAAATTGGAGAGAGTCCAGCGAAGGGCAACAAAAATGATTAGGGGTCTGGAACATATGAGTTATGAGGAGAGGCTGAGGGAGCTGGGATTGTTTAGCCTGCAGAAGAGAAGAATGAGGGGGGATTTGATAGCTGTTTTCAACTACCTGAAAGGGGGTTCCAAAGAGGATGGCTCTAGACTGTTCTCAATGGTATCAGATGACAGAACGAGGAGTAATGGTCTCAAGCTGCAGTGGGGGAGGTTTAGATTGGATATTAGGAAAAACTTTTTCACTATGAGGGTGGTGAAACACTGGAATGCGTTACCTAGGGAGGTGGTAGAATCTCCTTCCTTAGAGGTTTTTAAGGTCAGGCTTGACAAAGCCCTGGCTGGGATGATTTAGCTGGGAATTGGTCCTGCTTTGAGCAGGGGGTTGGACTAGATGACCTTCTGGGGTCCCTTCCAACCCTTATATTCTATGATTCTATGATCAAAGAATGTATGGAGTATGTTGTCCACATTTAGAAGATTACAGTAAAACCAACAAAATCCTTTCAAATTGTTGAGCTCTTAAAGTAATAGGAAATGACTGGCAGAAGGAAGGAGAAATGTAAAGATATACAGCAGGGTAAAACTTTGGGATATTAAGAGAAATTGCTCAGAGTGGGGGATCCCAAGTGGTTGTACAGGCAAATAAGTTTTTTAATTGATTCAAACTTAAAGCCTCTGCTAAGAAGGATGAGGGGAATTTTGTTATACACCAACAACCATGTACTAGATACCAATAGAAGCAGCAGAGAAACAAACCCGAGCACCTTTTTGTTAGGTCTCCTATAGGAATTGGAGGGTGGCCCTCTCCAATAGGCACTGAAACTAGGGTGTATAAAACTTAGGTTCTGTCAACTCTGAGTACATAGTGACCTAACACAAGGAGCTGCAGAATCCTAAATGCAACCAATACCCATTTCAGTCGTCACGTGGAAAGAACTGTCCCTCATCCCGAGGTTAAGAGGATAAGCAGAGGTGGTGAAATTTAATTTCAAAGATTGTAATTCCCCTTCCATTCTTTAATATAAATAACTGTAGGTTAGCTTGCTGAATCTACACTCTTCAGTTAGTGTCTCAAGTAATCATATTTTAGATCAATTTGTTTGGATTTCTAAAGGAATTAGAGATTGAAAAGAATTGTTTTAAGCAATTACTTTTAATATTCTAAATTAGTCCCTTTTGGACTCGTCTAATAGAGGATTGTGGTTAGTGCCTTTAAAACAAGTGCACCTTTGGAAATGTGATGTTTTAGGTACTAAAGAATTGAGAATTGTTGATAAGTAAATGTAATAAGAAATATTGGTAATTTGACTGGTCTTTGATATAACAACTGAGCCTCAATTCTAGTCTGTGATAATTGCTTGCAAGACTATTGTGTATATGTGTGGTACACACAGTTGATTGTGTCTGTTTGAGTAGTGAGCTGTTGATTATATACTGATGTGGTTCTCGGTAATTTAATCAGTTCTTGGTTAAGAATAAGCAAGTGTCCCGATATGAGAAATACTGTTCAAATTAAAAATTGACATGACAAGACCTCAGTGTTCAACTAGTAAACTAACACTTTCTGTACTTTGAGATTATCCCATTAAATCAGGGGAGGGCAAACTATCTGGCCTGTTAGGGCTTTCAGTCCAGCCTGCAGGATTGCCACCCCCATGGTGCAGCGAGGTTAAGGCAGGCTCCCTGCCTGCTCCCGGAAGTGGCTGGCATCATGTCCCTGCGGCCCCTGGGAGGGAAGGGGGGGGGGCAGAGGGCTCTGTGTGCCAGGAATGGGGAACCGCAACCAATGGGAGCTTTGGGAGTGGTACCCGCAGGTGAGGGCAGCCCACGGTGGAGCTGCCTGCCCCACCACACCCCCAGGAGCCACTGCTGGACATGCTGGATGTTTCTGGGAGCGGCACAGGGCCAGGGCAGGCAGGGAGCCTGCCTTAGCCCTGCTGCCACCCTGGAACCGCTTGAGGGAAGCAGCACTGGGATGGAGCCTGCACCCCTGTTGCACTCCAACCCCTTGTCCTGAGCCCTTTCCTGCACACCACACCCCCTCCCACAGCCTGCACTCCCTTCTGCACCCCAACCCCCTGCCCCAGCCCTACATTCATGGCCCTGCATACAATTTCCCCACCCTGATGTGGCCCTCAGGCCAAAAAGTTTGTCTACTCCTGTATTAGATCCAGTTCTATATTGGCAAACCTAGGTTTAGATTTCAGTTTTAAAATCTAAGTAGCACCCTGGCAAATTGATAAATTGACCCTCCCCTCCCCACTTTCTTGGGATGCCCTCGTAGAACTAGGGAAGTGATATCAGCCCTCTGGCATTAGTGAGATCATTACTGGAACAATATCAAGTTGGTGTCCCAAATTTGAGAAGGATTTAGAAAAGAGCTAGACAGGTTTGAGCTCTGGAAAACCTACCTTATACTGAGACTAAAGCTGCTCCATCTGTTTAGCTTAACTTTCCATTTTCACAAGTGACTTGATCAGAGTTTAAGGGTATGTCTACACTACGGAATAAGGTCGAATTTATAGAAGTCGGTTTTTAGAAATCGGTTTTATATATTCGAGTGTGTGTGTCCTGACAGAAAATGCTCTAAGTGCATTAACTCGGCGGAGTGCTTCCACAGTACCGAGGCTAGAGTAGACTTCCGGAGCATTGCACTGTGGATAGCTATCCCACAGTTCCTGCAGTCTCCGCTGCCCATTGGAATTCTGGGTTGAGATCCCAATGCCTGATGGGGCTAAAACATTGTCGCGGGTGGTTCTGGGTACATATTGTCAGGCCCCCCTTCCCTCCCTCCCTCCGTGAAAGCAAGGGCAGACAATCGTTTTGTGCCTTTTTTCCTGAGTTACCTGTGCAGATGCCATACCACGGCAAGCATGGAGCCCACTCAGGTAACCGTCACTGTATGTCTCCTGGGTGCTGGCAGACGTGGTATGGCATTGCTCTACAGTAGCAGCAACCCATTGCCTTCTGGCAGCAGACAGTACAGTATGACTGGTAGCTGTCCTCGTCAAGTGCCAAGGTGCTCCTGGTCACGTCGGCTGGGAGCACCTGGGCAGACATGGGTGCAGGGACTAAATTTGGAGTGACTTGACCAGGTCATTCTCTTTAGTCCTGCAGTCAGTCCTATTGAACTGTCTTACGGTGAGCAGGCAGGCGATACAGATTGCTAGCAGTCCTACTGCACCATCTTCTGCTGAGCAGCTATGAGATGTGGATGGCATGCAGTCCTTCTGCACCGTCTGCTGCCAGCCAAAGATGTAAAAGATAGATGGAGTGGATCAAAACAAGAAATAGACCAGATTTTGTTTTGTACTCATTTGCCTCCTCCCCCGTCTAGGGGACTCATTCCTCTAGGTCACACTGCAGTCACTCACAGAGAAGGTGCAGCGAGGTAAATCTAGCCATGTATCAATCAGAGGCCAGACCAACCTGCTTGTTCAAATAAGAACAATAACTTAGGTGCACCATTTCTTATTGGAACCCTCCGTGAAGTCCTGCCTGAAATACTCCTTGATGTAAAGCCACCCCCTTTGTTGATTTTAGCTCCCTGAAGCCAGCCCTGTAAGCCGTGTCGTCAGTCGCCCCTCCCTCAGTCAGAGCAACAGCAGACAATCGTTCCATGCCTTTTTTCTGTGCGGACGCCATACCAAGGCAAGCATGGAGGTGGCTCAGCTCACTTTGGCAATTAGGAGCACATTAAATACCACACGCATTATCCAGCAGTATATACAGCACCAGAACCTGGCAAAGCGATACCAGGTGAGGAGGTGATGTCAGCCTGGTCACGTGAGTGATCAGGACATGGATACAGATTTCTCTGAAAGCATGCATTGGCAGGGCCCATGCATCATGGGGCAGGTTCATGCTGTGGAATGCTGATTCTGGGCTTGGGAAACAAGCACAGACTGGGGGGACTGCATAGTGTTGCAGGTCTGGGACGATTCCCAGTGGCTGCAAAACTTTTGCATGCATAAGGGCACTTTCATGGAACTTTGTGACTTGCTTTCCCTTGCCCTGAGGCGCATGAATACCAAGATGAGAGCAGCCCTCACAGTTGAGAAGCGAGTGGCGATAGCCCTGTGGAAGCTTGCAACGCCAGACAGCTACTGGTCAGTTGGGAATCAATTTGGAGTGGGCAAATCTACTGTTGGGGCTGCTGTGATGCAAGTAGCCCATGCAATCAAAGATCTGCTGATATCAAGGGTAGTGACCCTGGGAAATGTGCAGGTCATAACAGATAGCTTTACTGCAATGGGATTCCCTAACTGGGGTGGGGCCATAGATGGAACCCATATCCCTATTTTGGCACTGGAGCACCAAGCTGCCAAGTACATAAACCGCAAGGGGTACTTCTCAATAGTGCTGCAAGCTCTGGTGGATCACAAGGGACATTTCACTAACATCGTGGGATAGCCAGGAAAGGTACATGATGCTCGCATCTTCAGGAACTCTGGTCTGTTTCAAAAGCTGCAGGCAGGGACTTTATTCCCAGACCAGAAAATAACTGTTGGGGATGTTGAAATGCCTATATGTATCCTTGGGGACCCAGCCTACACGTTAATGCCATGGCTCATGAAGCCGTACACAGGCAGTAGGCAGGAGCTGTTCAATTACAGGCTGAGCAAGTGCAGAATGGTGGTAGAATGTGCATTTGGATGTTTAAAGGCACGCTGGCACAGTTTACTGACTCGCTTAGACCTCAGCAAAACAAATATTCCCACTGCTATTACTGCTTGCTGTGTGCTCCACAATATCTGTGAGAGTAAGGGGGAGATGTTTATGGCAGGGTGGGAAGTTGAGGCAAATCGCCTGGCTGCTGGTTACGTGCAGCCAGACACCAGGGCGGTTAGAAGAGCACAGGAGGGCGCAGTATGCATCAGAGAAGCTTTGAAAACCAGTTTCATGACTGGCCAGGCTACAGTGTGAAAGTTCTGTTTGTTTCTCCTTGATGAAACCCCCTGCCCCTTGGTTCACTCTACTTCCCTGTAAGCTAACCACCCTCCCCTCCTCCCTTTGATCACCGCTTGCGGAGGCAATAAAGACAGGTTTCAGAGTAACAGCCGTGTTAGTCTGTATTCGCAAAAAGAAAAGGAGTACTTGTGGCACCTTAGAGACTAACCAATTTATTTGAGCATGAGCTTTCGTGAGCTACAGCTCACTTCATCAGATGCATACCATGGAAACTGCAGCAGACATTATATACACACAGAGATCATGAAACAATACCTCCTCCCACCCCACTGTCCTGCTGGTAATAGCTTATCTAAAAAGTGATCATCAAGTTGGGCCACTTCCAGCACAAATCCAGGTTTTCTCACCCTCCACTCCCCCCCCACACAAACTCACTCTCCTGCTGGTAATAGCCCGTCCAAAGTGACAACTCTCTTCACAATGTGTATGATAATCAAGGTGGGCCATTTCCTGCACAAATCCAGGTTCTTTCTCACCCCCCTCCAAACACCACACACACAAACTCACTCTCCTGCTGGTAATAGCTTATCCAAAGTGACCACTCTCCCTACAATGTGCAAGTTTGTGTGGGTGGTTTTTGGAGGGGGGTGAGAAAACCTGGATTTGTGCTGGAAATGGTCCAACTTGATGATCACTTTAGATAAGCTATTACCAGCAGGACAGTGGGGTGGGAGGAGGTATTGTTTCATGATCTCTGTGTGTATATAATGTCTGCTGCAGTTTCCATGGTATGCATCTGATGAAGTGAGCTGTAGCTCACGAAAGCTCATGCTCAAATAAATTGGTTAGTCTCTAAGGTGCCACAAGTACTCCTTTTCTTCGAGAGGCAATAAAGTCATTGTTGCGTCACATTCATGCATTCTTTCTTCATTCATCACACAAAGAGGGGGATGACTACCAAGGTAGCCGAGGAGGGAAGGAAAATGTCACACAGCACTTTAAAAGTTACATTAAAATTTATTGAATGCCAGCCTTCTTTTTTTTGGGCAATCCTCTGTGGTGGAGTGGCTGGTTGGCCGGTGGCCCCCCCACCGCATTCTTGGGCCTCTGGGTGTGGAGGCTATGGAAATTGGTTACACAGGGGCTGTAGTGGCAGTCTGTGCTCCAGCTGTTGAGCTGCAGCAAAGGCCATACACTGGAGCATACTGGTTTGGTCCTCCAGCAGCCTCAGCCTTGAATCCTGCCTCCTTTCATCAAGCTGCTGCCACATTTGAGCTTCAGCCCTGTCTTCAGCCCACCACCTCTCCTCCCGGTCATTTTGTGCTTTCCTGCACTCTGACATTATTTGCCTCTACGCATTCGTCTGTGCTCTGTCAGTGTGGGAGGACAGCATGAGCTCAGAGAACATTTCATCACAAGTGTGTTTTTTTTTTCTTTCTAAGCTTCACTAGCCTCTGGGAAGGAGAAGATCCTGTGATCATTGAAACACATGCAGCTAGTGGAGAAAAAAAAGGGACAGCGGTATTTGAAGAGACACATTTTATAAAACAGTGGCTACACTCTTTCAGGGTAAACCTTGCTGTTAACATTACATACATAGCACATGTGCTTTCGTTACAAGGTCGCATTTTGCCTCCCCCCACCACATGGCTACCCCCTCAACCTTCCCCCCTCCCTGTGGCTAACAGCGGGGAACATTTCTGTTTAGCCACAGGCAAACAGCCCAGCAGGAACGGGCTCCTCTGAGTGTCCCCTGAAGAAAAGCACTCTATTTCAACCAGGTGACCATGAATTATATCTCACTCTCCTGAGGATAACACAGAGAGATAAAGAACGGATGTTGTTTGAACACCAGCAAACATACACTGCAATGCTTTGTTGTACAATGATTCCCGAGTACGTGTTACTGGCCTGGAGTGGTAAAGTGTCCTACCATGAAGGACGCAATAAGGCTGCCCTCCCCAGAAACCTTTTGCAAAGGCTTTGGGAGTACATCTAGGAGAGCCGCAAATGCCAGGGCAAAGTAATCCTTTCACATGCTTGCTTTTAAACCATGTACAGTATTTTAAAAGGTACACTCACCAGAGGTCCCTTCTCCGCCTGCTGGGTCCAGGAGGCAGCCTCGGGTGGGTTCGGGGGGTACTGGCTCCAGGTCCAGGGTGAGAAACAGTTCCTGGCTGTTGGGAAAACCGGTTTCTCCGCTTGCTTGCTGTGAGCTATCATCATAGTCTTCGTCCCCAAAACCTGCTTCCGTATTGCCTCCATCTCCATTGAAGGAGTCAAACAACACGGCTGGGGTAGTGGTGGCTGAACCCCCTAAAATGGCATGCAGCTCATCATAGAAGCAGCATGTTTGGGGCTCTGACCCGGAGTGGCCGTTCGCCTCTCTGGTTTTCTGGTAGGCTTGCCTCAGCTCCTTCAGTTTCACGCGGCACTGCTTCGGGTCCCTGTTATGGTCTCTGTCCTTCATGCTCTGGGAGATTTTGACAAAGGTTTTGGCATTTCGAAAACTGGAACGGAGTTCTGATAGCACGGATTCCTCTCCCCATACAGCGATCAGATCCCGTACCTCCCGTTCGGTCCATGCTGGAGCTCTTTTGCGATTCTGGGACTTGATCATGGTCACCTCTGCTGATGAGCTCTGCATGGTCACCTGAAGCTTGCCACGCTGGCCAAACAGGAAATGAGATTCAAAAGTTCACGGTTCTTTTCCTGTCTACCTGGCCAGTGCATCTGAGTTGAGAGTGCTGTCCAGAGCGGTCACAATGGAGCACTCTGGGATAGCTCCCGGAGGCCAATACCGTCGAATTGTGTCCACAGTACCCCAAATTCGAGCCGGCAAGGCCGATTTAAGCGCTAATCCACTTGTCGGGGTGGAGTAAGGAAATCGATTTTAAGAGCCCTTTAAGTCGAAATAAAGGGCTTCATCGTGTGGACGGGTGCAGGTTTACATCGATTTAATGCTGCTAAATTCGACCTAAGTACCAGGGCTAAGTACCAACAGGAGTTGATGAAAGGCATAACAAGATGTAAGGGCTGAAACTGAAGCTAGATTACACTAGAAAAGGGTGCACATTTTTTAAGAGAGGGTAAAAATGGAATAATTTATCTAAGGGCTAGTCTCCACTAGAAGTGCTACAGTAGTGCAAGACTGGTGAAGATGCTCTGTACTGACTGGAGGGAGGTGGTTTTATAATGCTGATGGGAGAGCTTTGCGAGAGCTGCTTCTGCTGACAGCACTGTCCACACCGGTTTTTAGGCTAGTGTAATACACATCACTTGTGGAGGTGGCTTATTCGCACTCCTAAGTGACAAATTATAATGACATAAGTAGTAGTGCATACAAGCCCTAAGAATGTGGTGAATTCTCCATCACTTAAACAAGATTGGATGTCTTTTTTTTTAGATTTTCTTGGTCAAATAGAATTTATGGGCTTGTTGTAGGAACCAGTAAGGTGAAATTCTTACCTAAATTATGCAAATTAGACCTCAGAATAGTCCCTCTGGCCTCAGTTTTTTTTACTACCTAAACTTCATACAGTTGGGACATATTAATGTCCTTTGCTCGTCTCTCAAAAAGCTTCTTCCTACACCTATTTTTACTGTGCAGTTAATTTCCATGTTGCTTCATTTGTGTTTCTGAGGTGGTCCCTTACTCCATGAAACTCCTTTCTTGGGAGAGGACAAGATTAAGGAGTTTGCTTCTTCCTTTAACATCTCTCCCAGAAGGCCCAGCTTATACTGACTTCTGCTTTTTGCAAGGCACAGCTGTCTAATAGACTTTTTACTACCCTAAACAAGCATGGCTGTTAACTACTTTTTCCAGGCTGACTTCAGGCACTCTCTGGGCTATGTTTTTATTAATCCTGGTTTAGATGGGGGTACAAGAAACAGTATATAGTACCTCAAACTTAATCAAGAAATCAGAGTTGAGAATTTCTGGCAATCCTCCCAGACTTTGTAAACCATCTTGAAATCATGTAAGAAGCTTTCTATAATCATATAAATCAACATTTCTTATGGCAGTGAACACCAGGCTTATGAAAAATGAGTTGCTTAAAAAGAAAATACATTGAATTATTTCACATGGAAACTGGCCAGATCACTCATGTTGTAGAAAGGCCATTTAAAAGGTTTTTTACCACTGTACTCACTGTTTAATAGAATACCCCTTTACCCCCTCCCTCCAACAGATAGCCTTGGTATTAGCACTGAAAAAAGCACTGATATATTATTCCTCAGAAATATTTCTTGAAATACAAATGACAAATAAGATAAGCAACTTGGTTAGAAAGCTGTTACCTAGCCAACATCACTAAACTGATAATTTCTTTTTGAGAAGTCATTATCTGGCAGTTCTATCATGACACACTGTTCTAAAGATTGCAACATCTTTTTATGAAATTCTGAAGTTTTACCCCTTGAGAATCCGATTAAAATCCTGATGGATGTGCCCTAACAGTAAGCTCTAGAATATGATTTAGTCTCTCTCCCATGTAAGAAAACTATACATACGTAGAAGAGCCAGGATTTGATAACAAGTTACAGCTTTTGGCTTTACAGTAGTTTCTAGGGGAAGATAAGAGACCTTAAGTTTGTTGTTTATCACTAAGGTGCCTATATAGCAAACTGCAATGATGTATCTCGTTTTTTGTAATCATAGGCAGCAAAACTCCTTTATGAATCCCGGGACCAATAACAGCAGCAAGTTGTCTGAGCTCTGACGGAAGAGACCAGCTCTATGAAAAACCGCTTCTCACTTTTTGCTAGTTACTTTGATCCATGGTAATTGGTATTATGAACCCCTCTACCCCAAATGTGGTTCATTATGTAAGCACTGGCAAATGCAATGTGAGTATTTTGGAACCATGAGTATTCACTTATCTAGTGTGCAATATGTATACAATTAATGCTTTAAACATAGCCTCATGTATAAGACTTCATTATTTTGTTAAATCTTATTGGCACTTAATATGGAAAACGAAAGTATGACCTGCACTACAGCTAAAATGTATAGCACAATTTTTGTAGTACCAATTATGTATACTATATGTATTTAATTTGTTGGCTACAAACAGCAAACAAATGTATTTGTAAGTCTCTTCTACAGAGATCTCAGGTGTTTTTCTTATCCAAATGTTGAAGATCAATGTACAATGAAATCTGCCTTAGATACCCTTTTATAGAAATAATCATTTTGGGTTCTTATCATGTGATCAAACACTTAGATAAGTTTCACCAAATACCACAAACTGGGTTGTATGAACATGACCTCTTGGAGCCACCCGTATGTAGGAAAATACAAGCTTCCAGAAAATGATTTTGAAGTTTTGTATTCATTTTACTTGTTGTAATGACCTTTTGCTAATTAATCTGATTATTGTAACTAATGTTTGGACATACTGTATACAGTATTTTAAATGTACAAGTCTTATGGATCAGATGAATTCATACTTATTGAAAATAAGCAAAATGCTCAAGATAGCATTTACTTTAACTTGCTAAGCAACTTAAGCTAACTTTCAACCTTAAAGACTTCAATATTCTTGGTTTGAGTGGAGGAGAGAATAAAAGGCTATTTACAATACCCAAAAATGTCCTGTGCCTCCTGTCCAAATGGTACACTCTGTTCAAGCACTCTAGCATGAACTAGAAAATCTCATATATTCAGCTGTTCTAAGAAAACCAACTAGGAGTTTGCTGGCTGCACTTGGTAGTGAATGAAGTTCAAACATTCAGACTGTCCTTGAAGAATAGAAGCTAGCAGTTTAAGGTGAAAAATTGTTTTTAAGTGAGAAAGCCTACCTAGTCACAGAGCAACACCTCTTGGGCGTGTGCAGCACCTTCAGCCTTTTCTTCTTTGTATTGCCAAGCTAGCCTCTTAGTACTATGCACACCCAATTGTGACTAAATTATCCTCATTCAGTGTGGATTAGTTTTGCAGGTTAGGTGGACAAAGGTTACAGTACTTTGCCATTGCCTAACATTAGTTTAAAATAAACACTTCAAAATGCAGCCATGCCTTAGCAGTATTTTATTATACACTAATCCAGAGAACATGAAAATGTGCATCATAGGCTCTTGAAATTGTCACATTCATGTACCAAATGTTCTTTAATATCCTTTCACGTTTCATCACCACAGTATATACAATTAATGTTAAATGGTGGTAAAAGCAAATTACAGCGCTGCATAAATGCTATATAAATTATACACAAGACTTGTACATGAGTTAAGCCAACTGGCCTACACTTTAATGGAAGAAAAAAATGCAAAACACATGGCTACAACTTATGAGAAATTCAAAATATATTTCTGGTATATAAAACCATGTACAATTAACTCCAGTGAAGTGCTTTGCGCTTTTTTTTTTTTGCTTGAAACTACAATGTAGTGGAAAAGTTATTGCATAACTCACCCTGGCAATAGGTGTAGGGCTGCCAAGAACCACAGAAACTGTCCTTACCAAAATAGCAAATTATTGCCATTCTCAAATCCTTCTCGAACTCCTTGTTTCTCCTTCCTGTCATTGACTCTCAATATTAGTACAACTAGCTCTCCACTTTTTAGTCCTTCAACTACTCAGGCAGACTTCAAGTTAGTGTACCTCTTAGCTTATCAGACTCTTACCCTTCTCAACTATTGCACTTTCATCCATGCAAACATACAAATCCTTTAATCTGACTGCAAATCCACTGTTATCTGTTCTTTTGTTCCAAACAGACAAGTTCACAGGTTAGTGGGAGTGGGACCTGTAACTTAAATTAGTAGAGGTAAAACTCGTGTAATAAGCTGAATACCAAGAAAATGAACAAGTTAATTAGTGTAGGGATTTTGAGAAGTATACAAACACTAGTTTTGATTCTTTTAGCTTGTCATTTAAATGCAAACAAAATCTAGATCCTAGCATCTCTAAAGCTTCTGTTTGAGCTTTGTAAAGGGTATCTTTACACTGCAGCTGTGCTGCTGTAGCATGATGCTTCCTCCAGTGAGGGAAGGGGTTTTTCCATTGCTGTAGGTAAACTACCTCATGCAATAGCTGCATGTATGGTAGGGGTCAGGTCAATCTAACTGTCATACAGGATGTAAAATTGTTCACAGCCCTGAGCAATGTAGCTAGGTTGACTTAAGTCTTATGTGTAGAGCAGGCCTTAGACTAGGACTTAAAGATATGTTAACTAATGTTCTATTTCTAAATCCTAGAATGTGTGTGTGTGTGTGTATATATATATAGAGAGAGAGAGAGAGCGCGCGCGCCTTGGTTACTGCTTATGCACTTAGCATGTGAAAGTCTTCTCTGTAGCACACAGTCAGTAATGAGTAAACAACATTCAATGGTGTCAAAATATATCCAAAATCTTGACACATGGGACAGTTATTGTAGGACTAGAACAGACTGGACAGCACATCTGCAATTTGGAAATGACATTTGTGAATATTTAACACAAACCTCCACCTGTGGACTCTTCTATAAGAATATTTTTGGTATTTAGAGTAGAGTTGACAAAATACTGTAGACTGCAAGTACCTCTCCCAGTCAGTGATTGGTTACATGGAATTATCTTCATTTACAAACTGCAGATTTTTAAATCCTTGACTGCTGTCCACTAACAAGAGAGAGCACCATTTAAAAACAAAGATTATAATTTTATTTCTCCAGTTGAAATGTGATAGAAAAGGATGACTCCAGTGTGGGTTTAAGCTTCCAGTTACCAGCCACGTATTACACTGCCAAACAACTGAATTCAAGCAAGGGTTCGCTGCCTAGGCTTTATTCTTGGATATAGCTGCAAAACAAAATCAAAAGTAAATACCCAAGCTTTAGATGTGATAACTAGAAAATCAAGTCTATAATTAACATATAACCTGCTTACAGCCAAAAGGCTATTTCTGATTACACATGAATGGATTGTACAGCAAAGGGTAAGACGTCATTAACATGTTGTCCACTGGACATATTTAGTACATTTCTTTAGATTACAAAGTGACATGCAAGTCTGAACAATTCAAGAGGAAACTCAAACCTTTAACAGTCTCCTAACCTAATTAACTAATGCTATTAACTATTTTTATTTTCGTCCTTCAGCAGGTGGCAGTAAATAGGTATAACTTTCCATCATTTTATGCAGTCAAAGTGAAAGTTTACCAGTTGCATAATTCCAATCTGCATTTTAGCCACATCTACCTTCTTGGCAGGTAAATAGAACAAACTCCCACCAGGAGTGATCCATGCCACAAACTTGTTACATCCCAATTATTTAAATATCTTCGTGTGAGCAACCCTGATATTTGGCACAACAGCCACCATACTATACTTAGGGAGACAGTTTGATCTCATGGAAAATACCACTATTTAATATGCTAAAGATCAATTAAAAAGTTATAACCTAAAAAAACTTAAGGCAGCCTAATGATTACTATTCTTTTTACTGTCCTGGGTTAAATTCCTAACTACAATCTGTCTTTCTTCTACAGCAATAATAATGCTCAGAGAAGGTGCACTCAAGCCCCGGGACAGAAGGATTGCTTTCTTTGTGTCACTCTGCAGCAATGATTTACCTAGATGTTGCATTGATAAATTCTAGAGGAAGTTTCCTCTAATCTCCCACCTAAGGAAAAGTGTAACAATAGGTCAAGTTCAAGGGAGAAGGAAGGAAGGAAGAAGTTTAAAGTAACTTACCCCCAAAAGATTTTTAGGCACATAGCCTTCTTTATCATTGAGTCGAGCCCACCACCATTCTGTTTCATTATCATCCTTGCGTCTCAGGATAGTAATGGCATCTCCTTCATGGAATGACAACTCATCATTATTCTGGGCTTCATAATCCCACAGAGCATACACTACTCCTTTGTTCATGACTCCCAACTTCTCCTGTACTCCTGTTACCAAGAAACAAAAGGTAAACGAACATTACAGATGGTAGAGTACTTTGACTTTATCCACTTGGGATTTTGGGTCCTCCTCTCCAGTGGGAAATCCTGAGAGACTTTCATTCTGCTGCAATTTAAGATTCAGTGTTTCCATTATACTTTTTTTTTTCCCTCCCCCTCAGGAACTTAACTGAAGATTAAAACCTGATATGGCATAAAACTTGTCATAGAAGTTGGGAATATGTTTTCATTGCACGGTGTATTTGAAAATTAGTTGCCCTTACTTTAGGTGAAAATTAGGGCTCTCAAGTGATTTTAAAAAACTGTAATTAATCATGCAATTAACAAATTAATCACAATTAATGATGCTGTTAATAATAGAATACCATTTAAATATTTTTGTATGTTGTCTACATATTCAAATATATTGATTTCAATTACAACACAGAATACAAAGTGTACAGTGCTCACTTTATATTTTATTACAAATATTTGCACTGTAAAAAATAGTATTTTTCAATTCACCTAATACAAGTACCTTAGTGCAATCTCTTTATCATGAAAGTTGAACTTACAAATGTAGAATTACGTACAAAAAAATAACTGCATTCAAAAATAAAACAATGTAAAACTTTAGAGCCTACAAGTCCACTCAGTCCTCCTTCAGCCAATCGCTTAGACAAAAGTTTGGTTACAATTTGCAGGAGATAATGCTGCCCGCTTCTTGTTCACATCACCTGAAAGTGAGAACAGGCATTCGCATGGCACTGTTGTAGCTGGCGTCACAAGATATTTACGTGCCAGATGCGCTAAAGAGTCATATGTCCCTCCATGCTTCAACCACTATTCCAGAGGACACATGCTGATGATGGGTTCTGCTTGATAGCGATCCAAAGCAGAGCAGACAGACATGTTCATTTTCATCATCCTAGACAGATGCCACCAGCAGAAGGTTGATTCTCTTTTTTGATGGGTCAGGTTCTGTAGTTTCCACATCTGAGTGTTGCTCTTTTAAGACTTCTGAAAGCATGTGCCACACTTCATCCCTCTCAGATTTTGGAAGGCACTTCAGATTCCTAAACCTTGGGTTGAGTGCTGTAGCTATTTTTAGAAATCTCACATTGGTACCTTCTTCGCATTTTGTCAAATCTGCTGTAAAAGTGTTCTTAAAATAAACATGTGCTGATCATCATCCAAGACTGCTATAATATGAAATATATGGCAGAATGCTGGTAAAACAGAACAGGAGACCTACAATTCTCCCCCAAGGAGTTCAGTCACAAGTTTAATTAACACATTGTTCTTTTTACAAGCATCATCAGCATGGAAACCTATCCTCTGGAATGGTGGCTGAAGCATGAAGGGGCATAGAAATGTTTAGCATATCTGGCATGTAAAATACCTTGCAACGCTGGCTACAAAAGTGCCATGCAAATGCCTGTTCTCACTTTCAGGTGACACTGTAAAAAGAAGCAGGCAGCAGTATCTCCCCTAAATGTAAACAAACTTGTTTGTCTTAGCAACTGGCTGAACAAGAAATAGGACTGAGTGGATTTATAGGCTCTAAAGTTTTATATTTTGTTTTTGAGTGCAATTATGGAACAAAAAAAAAATCTACATTTGTAAGTTACACTTTCATGATAAAGAGATTGCACTACACTACTTGTACGAGGTGAATTGAAAAATACTCTACAAATATTTGCACTGTAAAAATGATAGTCAAAATATATAAATATATAAAATATATATAATATAAAGTGAGCACTGTACACTTTATTCTGTGTTGCAATAGAAATCAATATATTTGAAAATAGAAAAGCATCCAAAATTATTTAATAAATTTCAACTGGTATTAACAGTCTGATTAATCATGATTAATTTTTTTAATCACGATTAATTTGAGTGAATAGCCGGAGTTAACTGCAATTAATCGACAGCCCTAGTCTCATACATATACTAGTCTCATACACATTCTCTAGCACAACAGGTTTAGAGTTCTTCTTGCTCAGCCTAGTTATTGCAGCATTTGCTGTATATCTCATCACACTGCAAATCTGCCTTAAGGGGTATATTAAAACCCTAATGAAGTCTTTATACTCTCTTTGGTGTAAGTTAGAATCTTAATTTTATTTAATTGCTGCTTCTGGAAAGATGCTTCTCTTGTGATATATGCACTGAACTTAAAAGCTATAAGTCATCTGTCTCATTAATTCAGTGAACAAAACATGAATAACTACTCATAATAAGGAATTCAAGTAAGTTTAGATCTTCAGCCTCCTGGTGTGGTCTGCTAGAAGTTTGGGATATCCTTACAAAATTCCATGTGAAATTTACATGGCAACACCCTTCTAACTCCAAAACCCTATCATCATCAGAACCCTTTCCTAGAAAGGAAGGAAGAGATGTTTAAAAATCATGCACAATGCCACAGTGAGCTGACTTGAAGAGGGAGGGATGACATGGCCAAAGAAACGGCCAAGAAAATATTCTGGCAGTATTCTGAATGGACGAGAGTGGGGGCAAGGGCAATGCTAATTTCAAAGACCTATGTAGAGGATACAGAACTTAGACTAGCAACTTGGCAGTCAGAACAGAGAAGAAAGGTTGAATTTCAGAGAAGTGATAAAGGTCTGTAAAGGGAATTATCAAGCATATACACTTGGCAACCTACCGTACAAGAACTGGGAACACTGAATATAACCCTCCTCCATCTCCTCACACTTGTCTGCAGCAGTTTCTATATCACTTATAGTTGAAGCAAAAATTGCTGCTCCGGATTCTACAAGTAGTTTACAGAGATGAACACTATTGCAAGAAGCTGCACAATGCAAAGGCGTCCTGAAACAAAGCCAACATTTAGACATCAAAACAGGCCAGGAATCCTACAAATCCAACCTGGAACAAAGGGTTCAGTCATCCTTTAGAAGTTACTTTTGAAAGAAAATTAACTTTTATGTGGAGAATGTTTGTGGCACAAGTAAAAACGTAAATAAATAACCTACCTAAAATTCTGACCGCACTGAAGCCAAATGGGGCAAACAGATTTTAATGAGAAGGGTAAGTTTTCATGACATTTTGCAAGGCTGCAGTACGTTAGTTTTAAAGGGCAGAGGGCAAGGCAAGAAGGGTGAGAAATAGCTCAGCAAGGCCAGCTCTCTAAATTCCTCACATACCACTACAGAAGTGCTGCAGGACAAGGAAATGTTACTCACCATGTAGTAACTGGAGTTCTCCGAGGTGGGTTCTCCAAATGTGTCATGCACTTCAGGTTTGCATGTGCACTTCATGTTCCCAGGACCAAAGATTTTTCCCTAGCAGTGTCCATTTGCTCTATGCATGCACTCATGCTCTGCCGTGAAGCTATAAAGGGGGCTGCCAGGCTGCCACCGTTTTAGTTCCTTCTCTACCGCTAGGCCCCACTTAGGGAAATTGAGGTAGTGGGGAAGGAGGTGGGTAGTAGACATAAAGACACTTGTCCCTATGTGTCATGCCCCACTTCAGGTGATTCAGAAGCAGTCTCTCTCTCTAGGAGGTGGGTACCCACAGTTCAATGTGTCAACAGAATGCAAAACTGCTCTACCCAGGGAGGCATCCGAAGCAGCTGCTTGTACCAGTGCATAATGTCTTGCAAAGATATGCACAGAACCCCATGTTGCTGCTTTGCAGGTGTCAATAATAGATACACCCTTGAGGGAGGCTACTGAGGCTGCTTGGACTCTTGTTGAATGTGCTCTCACACTCCTCTCAAGAGGGACATTATTCAGCTCGTAGCAAAGTATGATGCATCCTGAGATCTATTTTGACAGCTTCTGGGTAGAAGTGGCCTCTCCTTTCATCCTTCCCACAAATGATACAAAATGTCTAGGATATTTCCTAAATGACTTCATCTTCTGTAGGTAAAAGGTAAGGGTCCCATGCACATCCAAGAAGTGCCACATTACCTCTTCCCTATTGGTGTGTGGTTTATAGTAGAACACAGGAAATGGATGTTTTGGTTAATGTGAGAGTCTGACACTATCTTAAGGATGCACTTCAGATGCAGTCTCAGGAATACCTTATTCTTGTGGGAAACTACTGGAGGGGGACAGAGGAGGTCTGCCATGACTGCTCCTAACTCCCCATCTCTTTTGGCCAGTGATTGCGACTAAAAATGCTACCTTCGTTGAGAATTGCAGTAAAGAGTAGGGTACCAGAAGCTCAAACAGTGCTTTTGTCAGAGTTGCTAAAACCAGGTTCAGGTCCCAGACTGGTGTAGGTTTTGCCATGGGAGGGAAAAATAACCTAACTTTTCAGGAATCAAGATGTGACTGAGTGTGAAAACACAGAGTAAGTGTCCACTTGCCTGTCTCTACCTACTATGTCTGGTGGCTCCTGACACTAGCTGAGAGTTGGGAGGCAGATGACAGAATTGGTATTCCAACCCTTTCACAGGTACAGAATACATCTTTTCAGCCTGCTTATCTAGTGGTGGAACTGTGGTAGGTATCTGCCGAAAGTGTCTTTGTAGGTTTGGTGATGGCTTTGGTGAGCACCATTCCACTCTGTCCTCAGCCATGAAGAATGTCTAGCAGTGCATAGAATGTGTAATGCCTCTGCCACCAGTTTAACGAAGTCGTGGAAGACCTTAGAATCATCAGGGTATGGCAGGGAGGCAGGAATCACTGCTTCGTTGGGAGACAAGGACAACAAGATCAGCAGCATGATGGCATCTTGTTCCTGTTGGGCCTCTCCTCCAGATTGTTGTTGTGACTTCTGAGGCTGAGGGTGCTCTTCCTCTACCCTGAGAGCCAGACATCTTTGCAAAAAGAAAAGGAGTACTTGTGGCACCTTAGAGACCAACAAATTTATTTGAGCATAAGCTTTCATGAGCTACAGCTCATTTCATCGGATGCATGCAGCGGAAAATACAGTGGGGAGATTTTATATACAGAGAGAACATGAAACAATGGGTGTTACCATACGCACTGTAACGAGAGTGATCAGGTAAGGTGAGCTATTACCAGCAGGAGAGAAAAAAAGCCTTTTGTAGTGATAATCAAGGTGGGCCATTTCCAGCAGTTAACAAGAAAGTGTTAGGAACGCGCGGGGTGGGGGGAGGAGGAATAAACATGGGGAAATAGTTTTAATTTGTGTAATGACACATCCACTCCCAGTCTTTATTCAAGCCTAATTTAATAGTGTCCAGTTTGCAAATTAATTCCAATTCAGCAGTCTCTCGTTAAGAGTTGGTTTTTGAAGTTTTTTTATTGAAGAATTGCGACTTTTAGGTCTGTAATCGAGTAACCAGAGAGACTGAAGTGTTCTCCGACTGATTTTTGAATATTATAATTTTTGACGTCTGATTTGTGTCCATTTATTTTTACTTGGAGACTGTCCGGTTTGGCCAATGTACATTGCTGGCACATGATGGCATATATCCTCTGTCCCATAACATGGGTATGTCAGGTGATCGTGACCTCATATCCCCTCGGAGCAAAGCCCCAGGGTGATAGATACCAATATGTATAGGGAGTGTTCTTAATTGCACAGGAGTACTGAGAAACTCTGGACAATACAGATACCCTCTCTGAGCTCAACCCCTGCTAGACACCCTCTGGGAAGTAATCCGGGATGGGTATCCACTATATTCTTCTGACTCCAATCCCAAATTCAGCAGGAGAGCTCTTGGTCCTAGAGGAGGCAGTGATGGCCTCCCTCTACGATACTGGCAACGGTATAGCTTGACTGCAGAGATATCTGTACTGAATGATATCTTGGTACTGGACATGGGACTCCAGAGAGTATCACAGTGACTCTAGTTCCATAAATACAATTAAGTCACCCACTGCTGAGAAACGGGCTGGAGCGGAGAGAGTAGTTTCTGTAATTCAGCCCATTGGTGCAGAAGAAGCCAGAGCTGGCAGTGCGGATGCAGCAGCTGTTGATGGTGCCAAAGTACCACTCTTGGTTCTGGAACGTGGTGTGGCCTTACCTTCTGATGAAGTCCCAGTATCAGATGGCCCCACTCTGAAGCACGAGGTGTCTCCTGACTTGGTGCAGGACGGAGACTTTTGCCTCTTCTTAGAGAACTTGGATGTGGAAGGACAAGAGGGAAGATTATGGGAGACTTTTTGTCTCCCTTCCGTTTGCCTTCACTCTCCTCACCCGAATTTGTCGGAGCTGGTGGGCGGTGCCTTGGAACCAGCCAGAGCCACTATAAGGAATGTTCCTACCATCTTAAGACATTTGGGAGGGGGATCTCCCCAGTCAGAGCCTGTGACCGCTCTCATAGAGCTCTCCATGAGGAATCTTTTAGGTTAGAACTCCCTTGACTGTTTTGTCATCCTTGGAAATGACCTGCAGATACCGCACCTAGAAGGGACACGGGTTTTCCCAGGCAGTCCAAGCAAGTGTTGTGATAATATGTAACCAGAAATTACTTCTGGCAGTCTATGCAATTTTTGAAGCCAGGGATCCTTGGCCTACTCTCCACACTGCCGTTGGAAGAACTAGAGGGTGGTAAGAGTAGGTGATGGTCTGGCAGCTCAGGGTGAGCATGAGGAGAATGGGGGCTCATGTGAGGACCAAACAGACACTGGGGAAAAATCTTCAGTCTTACGCAGATGGAGCACATGCACAAACCTGAAATGGATTACACATAGGGACAAACACTCAAAGAACTATGGACTATATATTATATTCCTGGGGGAATTCTGTGCAGAAATTAACGTTGTGCACGCAGAATTTCCTTTCCCACACAGAAATGGGCTGCAGTACTGCTAGCCGGCATTAGGAGCCACTGGACTCAGCAGAGCCCAGCTTGCTTGTAGAAGACACTGCTGGGGGAGGGAGAAGGAGCTAGGTTCCTGGCAGCTGCAGTTCCCAGTATGCCCTGAGGGAAGGAGAGGGTGGCGCACAGGAAACGCTTGCTCAGTCCCAGGCTTGCACAGAATCAGGCTGTTTCTCCCTCTGGATTCCTGGGATCTTGGGGGACATGGGGACGGGTGTCTGGGCAAGAGGGCAGGCCCAGTGGTGAGCTGGAGCCGGTTCGCACCGGTTCGCTGGAACCAGTTAAATTTAGAAGCCCTTTTAGAACCGGTTGTCCCGCAAGGCAACCGGCCAAACGTGGCACCTTAGGCGCCAACTCCATGGGTGCTCTGGGGCTGGAGCACCCACAGGGAAAATTTGGTGGGTGTCCGGCCCGCACCCAGCTCACCTCCACTCCGCCTTCTCCCCTGAACGCCCTGCTCTGCTTCTCCACCCCCCGCCCCTCCCCAGGCTTCCCGCAGGAGGCAGAGCGGAGGTGAGCTGGGGGGAGGAGGGGGGACGGGACACGAGGAGGGCCGTCCATGCCAGAACAGGTAACCTGGGGTGGGGGGGGGAGCAGCAGAACCACTCCCCACTCCACCTCACCTCCACTCCGCCACCGCCTCCCTGGGCCTGAGTGCGAAGCCGCCGCTTGCTTCTCAGCCCTCCCAGGCTTCCTGCGCGAACAGTTGATTCGCAGGACGCCGGCAGCGCGGGAGCGGAGAAGCAGAGCAGGGCAGCGTGTTCAGGGGAGGAGGCAGAGCAGAGCTGGGCTGGGAGCTGCCAGTGGGTGCTCCGCACCCACCAAATTTTCCCCCTGAGTGCTCCAGCCCCGGAGCACCCACAGAGTCGGCGCCTAAGGCGCCACTTTTGATGTGATCAGTGGGGGGGGGGCAGCCGCTCCCCCTGCTCCCTGCTAGCTACACTACCCTGCCCCAGGAGCCAGAGGGACCTGCCGGATGCTTCCCAGGAGCCATCCCAGGTAAGCACCGCCAGGACTCCCCACCTCACACCCCCCCGCAGGTCCCTCTAGCTCTTAGAGGCAGGGTGGGGCGGGCACCCACTATGGTGGCCCACGAGACCCTCCTGCCCGGTTCTGGGAGCAGTCAGGGGATAGGGGAGGGAGGTGGATGGGGCAGGGGCCCTGGGGCGGGAGGCATCAAGGAACACAGGGGGTTGGATGGGGCAGGAGTGGGCCACGACCCCCTTGCAGGGTGACGAGGGAACTGGTTAAGATTTTGGCAGCTCATCACTGGGCAGGCCCCACAGCTGGGCTTGGGGGGGGGGGGGGGGGGTTGGGAGGTTCTGCAGGTATCTGGGCCAGGGAGGCCCCATGGCTGGGATGATGGGATGTGGGTATCTGGGCTGGGGGGGCCCTGCAGTTGGGCTCTGGGGATGAGGGGGTTTGGGTGTATTGGCTGTGGGGAGTACAGGTGGGCCCCGCAGGGGAGGGGTTGTGGGTGTTTGGCCCCCCAGCTGGTCTCTGGGGACGGTGGGGAAGGGGACAGAGAAATAGGAACTGGGTTGTCATAGGGGTTTCTTTAACTCTCTACTCCTGGGGGAATTTTTGTGCGTGTCTGTATTGTTACAGACATACTTGTTGACAGGTATTTTTAAATAAATTACCAAAATAATTGAAACTGGCATGATTATATAGTGTTTCTTGACAAATAAAATTTGCAGAATTTTGCAGATTTTAAAATATTGTGTGCCGAATTTTTAATTTTGGGGCATAGAATGTCCCCATGAGTAATATTAGGATCAACTTTTTAAAAAACTTTCCTTTTTAAAATCAATGGAAAGTTTTAAAAAATTGAGGACACAAAAAAGACCTTATAGAAAAATATATATATTCATGTATTTTTTAATAAAGTAGTTCATTACTAATACTGCGAAATTATAACAATCCACGGACAAAGGTTCCAAGAAGGTAAACCCACTTTTAGATAAAAATGGGGAAGGCTGTGTATTTCAAGTCAAAATTATTAAACATATGGGACACAAATTAGAACTATACAGTTAAATATAAACAATACACAATAGCATTTACTTATTATTTGGAAGAGTTTGTACATTACACTTAGGTGAACGTTTAGTAAAGTCATGCATTTCAATACCTCAATCATTAAATCTATATCTACACTAGAGACCTTACAGTGATACAGCTCTACTGATGTAGCCACACCACTGTAAGATCATGCTGCTCCATGCCAACAGGAGAGAACTCTCCTGTCAACATAATTAAAGCATCCCCAATGAGTGGCAGTAGCTATGTCGGCAGCAGAGTCTCCTGCCGACATAGTATTGTCCACACTGGCACTTCTGTCGGTGTAACTTAGATCAGTTGGGATGTGTGTGTGTGTTTTTTTTCATATTCCTGAGCGACATAAGGTTTACTGACAAAAGTGCTAGTGTAGACATACCCTTAGAGTTTACAAAAAACTCTATATATTTACCAAAGAGTCATTTAGTAAATATATAATAATCTGATCCCTAGATAGCTCTCCACTAAATTTCATTATTTCAAAACTGACTGAATTGGGACTTTGAAGTTAAAAGTGCTAGCACACTTACCATCCATCACTGTCTGCTGCATTCACATTAACACCAAAATCAAGCAGGAACTTTACAATGTGGTGATGACCAGCACACACTGCATTATGCAAAGGGGTAATTCCTTCATCATTGGGTTTGCTGGGATCATCAACCTATGCGAAAAAATTGAAATACTTAAGCCCAAATCATTTCCTTCACTGAAAAAACGTGGAAGAGACAGACTACATTTAGAAAAGTTCACCTCATAAATGATCCTCTGTACCAGATCAAATTCTCCCTCCAAAGAAGCATCAAGCAGGAGAGCTAAAGGGTTGAACTTTACCCTCAAACCGTGACCAGTTCGTTCAGAGTTAGGTTTCTTCAGGTTGGTACGTTTAGTCTGAGTGAAAGAAAAAGTAGATGTCATTCCAAGTTGCATAAATAGCATAAAATATTCAGCTTGTTTTAACCAAACAAGCATTACTGTGCCCCCAAAGTGCTGATTAAGATTTGTCAGCATTTCCATTATAAAACCACAGTAGCAGATATGAAGCCCTGAAAATACTAATTTTATCATGTGGAAATCTGACAGTCATTCCAACACAACAATAAATTACTGTTTAAAAAAATGGTTAGAAGGTACAGTAGGTTAATTCTTAGTTCATCCCACATTTCTGAATATAATAGTTTTAAATCTCATCTGACATCACAAATGAAAGCAAGTCTGGTGGGCTCATCCTAGTCTCTAGCAAGACTTTGGTCTCATTACAAATTAAATGATTCAGCATGACTGGCAGTCTCTGCTCGGGAAAATCTCAGGTTTGAGCTAGCAGGAGTGTTCATTACAGGTTAGGACTGAGATGCATTAATTTGCTACGCTGTTTGCGGTGAGGAAGGAAAGCTTGCACAGCACTAGACTATTTTATGTGTTTTTCTAGCCAGTAGTTCCAGAAGAAACATGTTCACAAAAACTGAACCATTTTAAAATTTGTTTTGTTAAACAGCATTTTACACCACTCATGCATTTTTCCCTGGCTCCAGCAAAATGTTTTAGCAATTTATGCTTTATGTGGACTACAAGCTGAAGGGTTTTGAAATGTGTGTTTTAAATTTCTGTTATACTTAAGTTTGGGGAAAAAAGATTATCTCCCCCTTCTCCCCAAAATCACTTTCACCTGTTCCCATAGGGGATACATGCAAGGCCGTGTGTACTCCGTGGCCAAGCTGGACCTAAATTCTTCAGCAAGGTCCTTGGATTCTATGACAGCTTTAGATAAATGAAAAAGTAGATGTGCTCACTGTATTCAATATGAAAGTGAAAATACAGTCATTGTAGCGGAGTAATATTTTTATATTAAATCCAATTTATTTTATGCTGTCCCCACATTTTCAATTCTCTACATAGTGCAGATTTTGACAAGACAAACAGTGTTGTAGACGTGCCAAGCTGAAACTGGAGGTTTTGGCAGCTGGAAGGGGGGCAGTTGGGGGCCGTGGCACCTGGGGAAACATGGAGGGTAATTTGGATTGTGGGATAAGCACATTAGATGGATGTTTCTGCTAAAATAAATCAGCAATGTTGACATTTATGTTGTCATTTTTAGGGTGTCGAGGTAATTTCCCATTGAGGGGGAATATGGGTAGTTCACACCACCCAGAGCTGTTTTTTCAGACTGCCTGCAGAACTAGAAAAGCATCAGCGCAGCAGTTTCTACTCAGGTTCATGTTTACAGTTATCTTTGCAACCCTGAGGTCTGAAAGCATTTTTTAAATTTAAGTCTGATTCTGGAATTCAGTTCTTGGCAAGGGGTAATTTCAGATAAAGTTCTTCAGAAAGATGATACACAGGACCCTGAACATGCAGGATCATCTACAAAGTATGTGCATCATTTCCTTACTATCTAACCAGAGTTGCATATGAAGTAATATTAGTACAGAAACAGCATTTTTGTCAACTTATCCATAGGAATCTTCCATGGTGCTATGTTCATTTTCCCTTTATTCCTTTGATACCATAAACCTTATGCTATTTAGATTATTTAGCATAATCCCATTGTCTTCCAGTCACTGCAGGAATAATTGACTGTATAGCAACTTCCAAAGGCCAAGAGTAATACGCAATATAACTGTATTTCTGCCATCACTTACTGGAGGAAGTGGAGGAGGAACAGCTGGTGGCACAGGAACTTCATCTTCTATTGGGGAGCTGACCTCAGGTATGGGACTGGGTGACTGTTCAGTGGAAGGGACTACAGCAGGATTGTTATTATTGTCTTCAGTTGTCTCAGAGGTTTGGTTAGTGGTTTCAATGCTAATCAGTTCCTCAGTGGCAGGAGAAGGTAATTCATTATCATTGGCATCTGATGAAGGAGGAGGTTCATCAGGAAGAGCAACCGTGGGTTGCACAGAAATAGGTTCTTCAACATTGCCATTGGTGCTAGTGTTTCCATTATCAACATCTGCTAAGCTGCCTATAAAGTCCTGTGGGTTGCTTGGTTGATAAAAAGGAGCACTTTCTATTCCTCCAGCAAGTGTATTAAAGCGCTGATATAACAGCTTCTGTATATTTGGTCCACTGGGCCCTTCAGGTTCAGTGATAGAGCTACGCTTCTTTAATGGCCTAGGAGCATTGGCTAATTTTCTTCTAAGAGCTTCAAGATCAGCATCACTTTGATATCGTAGGGGTGAATGCACAATAGGTGTAAGCTTAGTAGGACTGAGAGGGCGAGGAATGTTTTCCACATTGCTATTTTCACCTGATGGTGGAATGTTTTCCAGCTCTTGATCTTTTTCAGTGAACTCAATCTGAGGCTGAGATTGTGGCTGTGATGTGTGGGCGGGCAAAGATCCATGAAGGAATGGTAAAGGTGATGGAGAAGTTGAACCAGACTGTAGAACAGGTTTTCCATAAACTGAAGAGGAGAAAATGAAAGTGAGGGACTGTTCTGAATTTATATCAAAAAGGTCATGCAATAAGCTGCTGGATGCGCATGCTGCTGTTTGTTCATAAATCAATATAGAAGAAAAATATGTCAATAGCTAGGTTATGTCATAACCTATCACCCAGTTGGCTGATCAAACTAGGATATCAATACTCATCTGTTAGCGATGGAGATACTTCTGATAGTTATAAACTATTCATTGACAAATGGTAAGAGAAGGGTTGTTGTAAAGAAAACCCTGCCAGAAACTATTTTTTAATCAATCTCTGTAAAAGTATCTGGAATACAATGTATTACATCTAATATAATCCATATTGTTCCAATAGTTAGTTAGTATGTTTTAAAATAAAGATGTCTCACAGCACATGCCTATTTGCCACCTCAAAAACTACAAATGGGGTTAAATTAAATTGTGGTGCCATACTGTTTGAATAAGAAAAAGCAAAATCCTCCTCCTTTCCTCTAAATTTAGACAAGCTATTCAAACAAAATAATGCTTTTAAGGTAACTGTATTTACATTAATCTCAATTAAATTATTATTTATTACAAACAGATCAAAAAGCAAGTCTACTGAGTAGGTCTGAGGTAATAGTAGCCTATTTCAAAGGGAAAGGCAATAAATATATATATTCTACCTGCTTTTACTGATTTATTTAGGGTATTGTATACAGCCTGTTGATAGTTCTTTGGTGGTGTTGCTTGCTGAAGATACATTGAGTAGATGGAACTGGAGTTCACTGTTTGAGGTCCTTTTCTTGGAGACTGAGGCCTTGATCCTTTATCAGCTAGAAAAGGCCTGATAGCCACAGTTAAAGGGAGCTCAGGCCTGCCATCTCCGCCAGGAAATAAGGAGGGACCAGAAGGTTGATAAGAAGGGCTAGGAGGTACAGAAATTCTCTGTTGTATCTGTTGTGAGGAACTAGGCTGATGTATATTGCTCGATGGTGGTAATGGAATAGGTCTTTGCCGATTTGTTATACTGGAGCCAGGTCTTGGTAGGCTGCCATCCTTCCGCCTTTCCAGTGAATTTGTAGAACCTGTTCCTAAAGGAACAGAGCTTGGATAGGTTCCATAGTTTTGAGGCAACTGCTTACTTACACCAGGGATAGTAGGTGGCACTTTCCCCATATCAAGGCCCTAAATAAGAACAATACAAGTATTGTATGAAAAACTGGGCAGACTGCACCATCTCACAAATAAAATAAAAATAACCACGAGCAAAAACATGCACATCTTAACTAGTCAGATTCATAGTCCTGAAGGACAAGGAATAAATTATATGTATTTACATATATACACACAATTATAAAGCATGTTTTATAAAATTGTATTAGACATTATGCTTTCAAGAGAATTTTCCACAGAAGACTCAAAGATCAAGAGAACCAATATGTATCAGAGCGAAAGAGTATGCACACATCTTACAAGCCCATTGTAAGATATCTCCAATTGCAATATGTAAATATGAATCAAAACAATATTTGCATCATCAAGGGCTCAATTTTCAAACTTAAGCGCATATCTTTAGGCACCTAAGTTTGCAAGTTTGACCCCAAAATCCATTTGGTAATAAAGTGCAGTAAATCTACATGGCATTTCAAGAAAAGAAATTAAGACAAGGTCGTCACTTGTCGGAGCTTACAGTCTAAGAAAATACAAACCACTGGGCAATGGTGCAAACACCAGAGGACACAAAAAAGACAACACTGGCAGGCTCAGTGTATGATGGATTTGAAGATTATTTTTTTAAAAAGGATTTTGAAGGAAAAGAAGAGGGAGGGTGATTAGTGGAAAAATGGGAAGTTATGCCAAGCAGCAGCAAGTGGCAACATGAAAGGTGTGAAACTGAGAAGGGAGGAGGAGACAAAACATGTAAAGGGAGAGAATTAGGAGTAGGAAAGGGCTTGAGGGGGAGAGTCGGAAAAAGTGAAAGCAGAGATGTACATGAATGACAATACACAGGACCCTGAAGGTGAGGGACAGGAGTTGAAACTTGATGTGATAAGAGACAGGAAGACAGTGAAAGAATTTGAAGAAGGGAGATGAAGAGGATTTTATTAGCGACATTTTTGATAAATGGAAGGGAAAAATTGAGATGAGCAGAGACCTGAGGCAAGCCCTGCTAGAGAGGCCAAAGCCATAGTCAAAAGTTTTAGCAAAAAAGATTTATAAAAATACTACACAATTTTGGTAGACATTATGAGTTTACTGGTTTTTATATGCTGCAAAACAAAAGAGCACCACATACGAAACCCACCAGCTTATCAGTACTTCCTAATACTGAAGATGGCAAAGGTTGACTGGATACAGTTCCTTGTTTTAAAGCAGTATCCATGCTTGATTCCTTCCAGTCTGCATTGGAGATTTGAGGTGGTTTTACCACAGGGGTTGAACTCTGTTTAAGCGTTGGCCAGTTTCCATCATTAGCTTGAAATAGAGGGAAAATGTGATATTTATGGTTACCAATGTCGATCACTGTAAACAAACAAAACATTTGAAGTGGAATCCATTATTCAGATTAGTTTAATCACAATGGGATTAATATGATGCCAAAAATCAGATAAGCTCTCATTAATGTTAGTGTCTGATCCAGAAGAGCAGAATAAAAGCTTAACAACCAGGAACAACAAGCTATTCGTTACCCTTTGACATGCAAATTAATTGTATTAAAATCAGCTCTAATGACAGATAGTGAATATTTGGGTACTAACTGCAATTTCAGTTATATTCCAAAATTAAACTTTTTTTAAAAAAAGTTCATCTATACATAGAAATACGCCATTAGCATTCAATATTTGATAATTTTTGGTGAACTACCAAGATACAAGGCTAAATTCTGCAACGTATCATTTATACCAATGTATATCATGAGTAACTGCATTACTTCAGTGGAGTTTTTCCAAATTTGCACCTGTAGAACTGAACACAATTTGGCCCAGAGTCATTGATATGCAGTCAGTTGTAAGTAAAGACCTGTTGTAGCTACATTAATTCCAGAAAACAAAAATCTCCCGAAGTGTACATTAATGTCTTTCTCCTCTTCCCACTACCTTCAGTAATTATAATAGTGTCTCCCTGTTAAAGATTTAATTTTTCAGAAATTCATCTTAAATCAGTTGAAAATTTCAAGCCACAGGCATATTTATTCATTGCATGCAAAAATATTATGCACAATTGCATGTAAATTGAAGTAGCTAGAACTTGACTGAGTCCTTAATGCTTTAGTGTACAATTTTAGTAACTGGAGGAAACAATTCACTTTCTATTTTCCCAACTAGGATAAAAGTTTTAAAACTATCTGAAAGTTAGACCTATGCTGTTACACTGTAAAACAGTTTTGAATTAGTGCTTTGTTCTCCTGTTTAAAAGATCATATTTCAGTTGCTAGACTCACTCTTGCTCTATGAAGTGGATACGGTTGTTTTCATTCTCCCACTGTTCTATAGTGACCACAGCAAAACAATTTAATAGTAGTATTGATGGCCTGTGAAAGAGGCACATACAGCCTTACTTTACCAGAGGACGGTAACTGAAATGCCAAGTCTTATGTGGAGAAAAGGGAATTTATTGGGATTCCTGGAACCTCACTGAGAGAAGACCAAATGAAGGTCAGCAATACTCAGTGACAAAGCCTTCCACTTCATCTCAACTTTACAGAGAAATTTTATCTAGGCCTCTCACTGATCCTTTTTTCCATTTCCAGATTTGTTACCATACTCTATCTTGTACAGTTTTTTTCAAAAACTATTTGACTGCTACCCCACAAATAGGCCACATAAGGGTGTGATAGATACAACACAGTTTACACCACTCATTTTAGGGCTTATGAACCTGAGCCACTTTTATTTAACATCCAATTTCTAAAGAAGTTAGACTCTGGAGACTGTTCAGCAACCCATATTTCCACCATGCCAGCCCACATTCAGAGTTTAATCAGCTCGTGAATCTGTCTTTATCCTAGCCCACATGATTGTGATCTATTTTCTATCCTTTACTCATTTGCAAGTTACACTCTCTGCAAGTGAACTGCCCTAGTAATTATCTTTTAAATTACCTTTTCTAAATGTTCCACACTAAAAAGTTATAACAACATTTTAATTTCAAGTCAATCTTGGTTGAATTCTGAGAGATAATTATGTTGGGATAAGAATGCTTTTCTGATTGTTAATTTAATACAGTTAAGACCATTGTAGATTTTTTTGCCCAAAGCACTTTGTGTAACATACAGTCCAGAAACTGCTTTTCAGAGTTTGTAGAATGCCAGGAAGTGCTGTAGTCAGGGCCGACATCAAGATCTGACACTGTCCATAAACTGTGCACCTTGTTTTTATTATCATCATCTAAGTGACAAGAGTAAGACCAAAAAAAGACAAAAGTAAAAAATACGTGCCTCTAAGTAAGGGTAATTTTTCTAAATGTGAACAGTGCATTGGATTAATATTTACTATACGATATACCTAAGATGTTTTTTAATTCTAGCATGTTTATTATGGTTACAGTTCATAGTTCAATTCCAGCAGTTCCTATATCCTATTTACACTAAACAAAGGAATGAAGATTTAGATTTAGTAGTTTAGATTTAGATTTAGTAGGTAAGAATGAAAAGAAGGAAGCACTAAACTTATTTAAGGGGTAAGAAATAGCAAGACATCATAAAACATATTTCACTCTTATAAATACACATGCACATAGGTTTAAAAAGAATGCTCAAAGAGCTAGACATGCATGGAGACTGCCTCTCACATTACCACCTAAACTGCGTGTCACACATTCAGCTAAACTGCAGTAACAGCCTACAATTACAGCTCTGGCCGCTAGAAGCTGCTGTGGAGAGGTGCTAAGCTGCTGCTGTCTGCAGCTCCCTCTGGTGCATCTGACCAGAGAAGGGCCAGCTGTTAGGAACAAGCAAACCCTGACAGTGGCAGCGAGGGTTGCCAACCTTCCAGGTTTGTACTGGAGTCTCCAGGAATTAAAGATTAATCTTTAATTAAAGATATGTGACGAAACCTCCAGGAATTCATCCAACTAAAGTTGCCAAACCTTGGGCAGCAACAGCAGCAGCAGCAAGCGGAGGCAAAGGCAAGGTCAGAAGGTGAGAAGATGCAGTACTGGCCCTAGGCTCCCCTATTCAGCAACCAGCCAGTCTCCTAACTTGGACTCCACCATTCACCAAGCTGACCTGCTCCCCTGACAGGTCCCTGCTACCCCCTGCTCCTACCCAGCCCTCAGTCACCCCACCCAGTTGCCCATAATTCCCTTAGGTATCACAAGCCACTTCCAGCTACATCTTTCCCCAAGACACCTCCACCAACGCAGCGGTCCCCTGCTTCCTCCAAACTATCAAGTTATCCCCCTGGATCCTCCTAAAAGTCTAACTATCCAGCTGCCCCCAACACCCTTTGTAACCCCAGCCATCTTCAAATCCTTCCCCTCCACCCAGGCCTCCATCTTCCCTCAGCCTCTGAGCTTCCCCCATCTTTCCCTACCCAGACGCTCCCACAAACCCAGCTTCCCTTAGCTAGTCCCTCCTCCAGCACTCCCAACACTTCTGTTGCCTTCATCTTCTGCCCATGCACCCCCAAAAATCCAACTTCCCTTCAGTATCTGAGCCACTCCCGCTAACGCTATTGCCCAACTTCTCTCTCTCTCTCACACACACACAATTTCATCTAATTTGGTCATTTTACTAGTATATTCTAACAGTAACCATATACTGTAAACCAACAATCTGAAGATTCTTGATTTCACTATTACTATTATATTTGGGCCTTTTATAGAACTTTGTATTCATAGATTTCAGACCACTTGATAAACAGGAGATAATACTTATTCCATTTTATTTACCCACAGTCATGTAGAAAGTGAATTGCAAAAGCAAGGGTGAAATCCTAGTCCCACTGAAGTCAATGGGAGTTTGCCATTGACTTCAATGGGGCTGAGATTTCACCCAGGACCAGAAATCAGATCTCCCAATTCCCAGCACAGCAGACTATATAAACCCTCATAGCCTCACACATAATCCTATCTCCAAAGTAAGCCTACATATGCCAAGTCTCCCCAACTTTGTGAATCCACCCTAATTTATAGGTTGATGACCAATACAAAGTTTCTAGTAAGTTTTTGTAACTATTCTTTCAGTATCTTTTTAGACCTAAACACTCAATGGGGCAAACTCATCTGGCAATACTCAAGGGATGAATTAGCCCCAAATCCATTTATTTCCTTTTAATCCCCAATTTAGCCTCCTAGAAAGTTTACATTACAATAGTGTATCTACTGCATACCAGGACACAGCACAATTTCTAAAATTGCTGTTTAATATGCATCTGTATGCATGAGCTCAGATCACCATATTAAAAACTGGCATTCTTAGCTAGCCAGCTATCATCTACACACTCACAGTGCAGGGTGTCAGACAGAGTAGGTGCCAGGAGGATGACACTTTGAACAGCAGACTGAAGAGAGGAAGTGGGAGGTGACAGAATAGGATCCACTATTATGTCTAAATCAGAAATCTTCCAGGTTCCTGGAGATTTTTTCACACACCCATAATCTGTCTCTACAGGACAGACAGATTCAGTCACACAAAAAAAGAAAGAAAAAAAGTGGTGGAAAAATTACAATATAATGGCAATGCAGAAATTAGAACAGGAAAACTCAGAAATGCAGAAACAAACACGACACTTGAAATAAAAAAAATCTCAAATTTCATTTTTTTTCCTAGCACTGGACAGACAATATTTTCATATACAGCTCTTTTGAAAAATTTGCTTTAAATACTTTACGTTTATGATTGTAATTGTAAGAACCAGTCTACACTACAAAGTCTCAGAGAGAACAATCTCTCTTTTACAGTCTGAAAAGGTCTAATGCAGAATAACCCCTCTGGTAGAATACAGCAGCTTTAGAAGTACATATGCAATTATCCAAAAAATACAGTGAGATTTACAAATACCAAAATGGTGTTTGCATATAAACTGCAACTTATGAATTGACCGTTTCCACATGATAAGAGACTTACATGCAACAAAATAGAAGCCAACACAAAGGAGTTGCTAATCTGTCATTTCATTCCACATTTAAATCACCATAAATATCTGATTTAAATTTTCCTCAAGGACAGGATATGCACACCCCATCATTGATTAAGTGAGGAAGAGTCTAGAAGATTTTGTACCAACTTCCGGAAAGTGAACAAAGTGTCCATATTTGATGTCAAACCTATGCCCAGGTTGGAATGAGCTACTAGATATAGTAGGAAAAACAAAATACCTTAACACCCTTGATATCACAAAAGGATATTCATAGATCACTCTAATACTACAGCTGAAGAGCAAGGTTTATGGCCAATCCATCTAAACATAGTTTGCATTCATCCAAAAGCAAGTACTTAGGGTATGTCCTATGGACTGGTTCAACTCCCAACCCAGGGAGCAAGGTCCAAGCTTTGAGTGGGTATTCAATTCCAACCATCAAAACATAGGTGAAAAGAAAAGGAGTACTTGTGGCGCCTTAGAGGCTAACCAATTTATTTGAGCATAAGCTTTCGTGAGCTACAGCTCACTTCATCGATGCATCCGATGAAGTGAGCTGTAGCTCACGAAAGCTTATGCTCAAATAAATTGGTTAGTCTCTAAGGTGTCACAAGTACTCCTTTTCTTTTTGTGAATACAGACTAACACGGCTGTTACTCTAAAACATAGGTGCAGTACTGCCTAGCTATTACAGATGATTGGCTCAAATGTCTCCTCCCACCCATTTTTGGATCTCACTTGAAAGGTGACCACAGTACGTGGATTGGTGCATTTCTCAGTCTTAAGTCTTTGTTACCAACCCATTCTTCAGAGTTTTGACTTTACTAAGACAAACTGCCAGTGCAGAGAGTTCTAGGAGAATGTGAGCCAATAGGCTCAAGCACCCATGGCATAGATGACATGGGTGCTTTCCTACACCAGGCCCCATATGAGAAGGAGTATTACAATATGGACAGAATTGTTAATTATGGGATACCTGGAGGCTATAGTGTTGAAGAACATATTATAGCTATGACTGCAGAGAAGCTCCTTCATTAGCCGCAGTCAGGAAGGAGCTGGCAGTTGGAATACTAAAGGACATTCCACTGCAGAAGTAGCACAAGACAGACACACCCCAGAGCCAGAACCAACCAACCATTTTCAAACTTATTTTGGCAAGCTCTCCTCTTTCTGGGGAAACAGACCTGAGAATAGAAATCTATTACAACTTCATTTTTTGCGAAGTAGTGTATTTTGCCCAATTAAATACTACTTAAATTAAAAAAAATTAAGACAAAGCAGAATACTTTTTTAAACAGATGAAAACAAAACGCTGCAAAAATTAGTTGTATTATATTTACAGATTAAATTGGAGTTACATACTGGATTTTAAAATACAAACGGATTTAAAATCCATTATTTAGAAGCAAACACTCGTAGAGCAGAATTATTCATGGTCATATTTCTGACAATTGCACTTCCTCTTTTGTAGGTGCCCTATTCAGTTCATTAGCCATGTAAAAGACTGGAAAAGCCATGGAGACAACATACACTCAGCCTCTTAGGAAGAAGAGTGAGAAGAGACAAAAATACCTCAGATCTGTCTTGAATGACTAATATGCCCAATTCACAGAACAGCACTGAGAAGCCTAGCTCACTTTGACCAGAGAAGATTGTCAAGACTTGCAATCTCCAAGGACCACTCCTTTGCCTCCTCCTACCCCAAATATTTTAATAACCATTACACTTAAATACTTACCAGATTTTGATCTCCCATGAGTCGCAGTGGAAGCGATGGTGAGAGACTGTGGTTTCACTGGGTCTACTGGTACAGCATAACTGCCAGCACTAGGAACTTGGATGTAAGGCCCCACTGCTGCTACTCTTCCTGAAGCACTCAGAGATGATTGGGGCGATGATGTTCCATTAATACGATTTAACTAAAATAGACAAATCAAAAATTATGTAAATGTCTATTTATCTAGGTATTTCTAGTGTGTTAAGAAAAAGTATAGTTGAACAATCTAAAATTATGCACTGTAGACAAGTCACCTCAAATTTGTTAATCAAATTTGAACCGGAAAAGCAGATTTCTACTCCACAAAACAGACTTCGTCCACCTGAAACTATACAGAGTTCTCAACCACAGCTATATTTTCCACAAGAAAAATATTTTCCTTCTGTTTAAGGGCTTGCTTCACCTCCAGACATTATAAGGTTGGGGCCCTAATAGGGCACTGAAAACCAAAAGTGAATCTAACTGTAATGGCCCCCTCCATCTGGGCCTTTACCTGGTCATCCAGAGGTATATACCATCAGAAAACAAATGTACAGTTAGGGTGAACAGACAGCAAGTGTGAAAAATCGATTTGGGGTTGAAGGGGGTAATAGTTGCCTACATAAGACAAAGCCCCTAATATTGGGATTTCTGGTCACCCTACATACAGTATCCAGCATGCAGTTGACCACCGTGCTTAATTTGTAACAAAAGAGGTGCCGGGGCTCAAGCAATTTTTTTACATTTATAACTGATACAGCAAGCCCAGAAGTGACAGGGCTACGAACTGCCAAGCCTAGAAGTGCCGGGGCTCAGCCTTGCAAGCCCTGGCACAAATTAAGCACTGGTTGTCCAGGTTATTGAACTACGGGCAGATCATCAAACCACTTAAATAAAAGTCACCTTTCTGCTCCATCCTTGGAGGTGGTGATTTTCATATTTGGGAACAAATATTTTACCAATTATCCAAACCTAACAAATGCCATGATGGAAAGCCAAAAATTAAGCCCTCATTTCTGAAATATTGTTACTGTTGCAATTTTTAAACAATATCCTAGTTCCTAACATAAAAATAAAAGGAAACACACTGCAATCTAAGCTTTTCCTAATGTCAGTGGAAAGAATGACAAAATTCTGGATTTCTAAAGGTTACTATTTTCAAAAGAAGTGTTTTTGTAATTGTGGTTTTTCAGCTGGAGAAAAAAGTTACATTTTATGTTGTTAGGTTGTTGAAACCACTAAAATGTGGCCCTTTTAATAGTTTATCTTACAGGAATGTTTTCTTTTTGACGTGCCTCAACTTTTTTCTTGTATAGTCGCTCACGCAGCTCATTTATACGCTTGTCCATCATAGCCACCTCCATGTTACGTTTGTTTAAAAGTTCTTTCTGCTGCTGAAGCTTGGAGTTCTGCTCCTGGTTAAGCCTATTACGAATCTTTAAAAATGCAATTGTTATAATTAAAGTAGATAATTTGACAGCAGGTGAAATAAAGTATTTTATAAGATATCCAAAGACATGAAGTAATGTAGATTAAGTTCTTGGCTCTAAGTCTACAGTTCTACATAGCCTGTAACATTTGCATTGAAAGACAATTCTTTAGAATAAGAAGAAGAAAATATATCATAGGAAGCAATTGTACATTCATGAGCATATGATGAATCATCTAATTTATGGCAACTCCAAGCATCTAAGCATAAACATGTTTCATAAAGGAACACTGATGAGATAAAAACCCAAATCATATATAAAATGTCATAGTAAGCTCATCTTTTTAAACCTTCTTAAAGTCAGTCAATTTTTAACTACCTGGATGGTAAAAAAATATATATATATATATTTAAAGAAAATGTCAGTTTCAACAACAGAAGCTATGCTACTGATTCTGCTTCCAATTCCAAATGAAACCTCTTGATACATGAATGGGATTCTAACTGAAATGCTGGTGCATAGGCTAGACACTGATTTTCCTTTCTATGTGGGAATTAAGGTGAAACCTTCATTTGAAGGCTTCTAAAGGTTAAGGGGGTGGGTTACCTCTACAGTTTAAAATAAATCATTGCATCCTTCATAATTATTTTTCTTGTCTCCCCATTGGCTCTCTTTGGCACCTTCAATAATTCTGATAGTTTGTCCCAGTTCTCCACTTCCCATGTTGATTTTACATGCAAAGATTTTACATGAGGCAAATTTAAATCTTGATAAATATGTTGGGGGTCAAACTGACAACGAGCAACAATACAGACCGCAGCAATCTGTTAAGCATCTTTGCACTTAGAATTGCTCCAGAGATAGAGATGCACCTAGTGTAAGTGATGGGGGAAAAAAGCTACTTCTTTTTCAATTAAATAAAAATGAAAGAAAGATTAGATTAAGCTTCAAATTGTGCAACCTGGTATCATACTTTAAATGAAGTTTCCCTCCACTTCAGAGAAAAAAATTATATTATATTTTAGGTTTCAGAGTAACAGCTGTGTTAGTCTGTATTCGCAAAAAGAAAAGGAGTACTTGTGGCACCTTAGAGACTAACCAATTTATTTGAGCATAAGCTTTCGTGAGCTACAGCTCACTTCATCGGATGCATACTGTGGAAACTGCAGAAGACATTATATACACAGAGACCATGAAACAATACCTCCTCCCACCCCACTCTCCTGCTGGTAATAGCTTATCTAAAGTGATCACTCTCCTTACAATGTGTATGATAATCAAGTTGGGCCATTTCCAGCACAAATCCAGGTTTTCTCACGCTCCGCCGCGTGCCCCCCCCCCCACCCACACACACACAAACTCACTCTCCTGCTGGTAATAGCCCATCCAAAGTGACCACTCTCTTTACAATGTGTATGATAATCAAGGTGGGCCATTTCCAGCACAAATCCAGGTTCTCTCACCCCACCCCTTTCCAAAAACCACACACACACAAACTCACTCTCCTGCTGGTAATAGCTTATCCAAAGTGACCACGCTCCTTACAATGTGTATGATAATCAAGGTGGGCCATTTCCAGCACAAATCACGGTCTCTGTGTATATAATGTCTTCTGCAGTTTCCACAGTATGCATCCGATGAAGTGAGCTGTAGCTCACGAAAGCTTATGCTCAAATAAATTGGTTAGTCTCTAAGGTGCCACAAGTACTCCTTTCCTTTTCTTATTATATTTTAGTGATTGTTAAAGAGCATATCCCAATTACATGAAATCATCATACAAGAGAATGTCCCCATTTAAAAAAAAAATCACGTCAATCTATACTCAAAGGTTCAGAGCCTAAGGATAAAAGAAATACATGCATGTCAAGAAAGTGAGACTTGTTGAAAAGCATTACTTGTATTTCACATTTTTAAACTAATACATGGTAGAGCTCACATCTCAACCACAAAACACGATAAGCAAATTATAAAATCGATGAAGTTCTGGCAAAATGGCATGTAGTTAAATATTTGTAATTTCATACATATAAACCAGAAACCATAGCAATGTAAACAAAATACTTTACCTTCTAAATTAGTAAGAGCTACACTATAGCTATAAAGGTATACTTAGAGAAATAAGGTAGAGAGTAATTGCAAATTTTTCTTGTTTTTGCAGTTTATATTTTACTTCTGGTGATTCTGTTAAAATATAATCAGGACGGGCTTGTTATTTAGCCCCTACACATTTTAACTATATCATATATTCACTATTATGTTTTCATACTGCATTTTACAATGGATATTTTCACTGCTTAATCATACTTTCTAGCTATGAAAGAAGCTTACACAAGGTTTGCTATACCTACTACCGCACAAAAGAGAAACGATTAAGATCTGAAATTAGTCTGAGATCATAAATTTTAGAAAAAAGGAAAACCGAAACAAGCACTAGTTTTACATGCAGAGTTCAATTTTTGCATATACATTCTCTTCACTGCTGAGTAATCCTCTTCAAATCATTTATACAGGTTATTATATTATTTACAAATTATAACAAAGTGGTGATAAAAAAGTGGTTTTGAAAATTAATGAAGTTCCCTTACCTGAAGTTTATTCAGTTAATGTGCCCTTACAAAATTAACACACACATTCTATCATACTGGTTAATGGGGTTTCCCAAAACCAAGTACAACATGAGTTGCAACACTAGGTGGGGGAAGTAAGTATTATTTTTGTTAATCTATAGATATTGTGAAAAATGTCTCAGTTAAAGGTTTACCTGTAGTTCTTGGTACAACTTTTTTAATTCTACAGCAGCAGGTCCTGTCATCTGTCCATTATAAGACTGGAATCCATTCAATTTCCCTTTCCTTAAGTCCTCCAATTGCTGAGTTAACTGATCCACTTTTAACACTGCTGCTTGTAACTCCTGCTGCTTCTCCTGGAACATGGCACTGATATGCTCAATTTCAGTAGCTATGATTTACAAAAAAAAACACACCACAACAACCAAATGAAATACCAGTACAACTGTCTTGTGTGTTTTCATGGTTCTAAACATACAGCTATTGGAAACTGTAGTCCTATATACAGATACTTTTCCATCAATTTAACATAGCATACAAATTTATGCTTATAACATGCTAACATAATTTGCAAAAAGCTGAACATATTTACTAAAATCTATTATTTAATTAATTCACTTGTGAAAGACCCTTTCTAAAAATAGAACAGATACCCAATTCAATATCCTGTTGCTATACTAATATTTGCAAGTTACGGTACAAAACATCAGTGAAATTAACAATGGAAATAGATCTGAAATATCCACATACACAGATTGCCATTCATTATCTTGCTGTAGTCCACTTGTCCTCTCATGGCACGTATTTTTTTCAGCTTTGACTCCTGGGTCTCCACCCGTTCTTTAAGTTTTTGAAGCTTTTCACTCTCAGAAATAGACTGCTGCTGACGGCGTTCTTGCTGCTTCAGATAACGTAAACGTTGTTCCTGCCAAAACAAGGAGAACATGTATTCTAATTTTAGAGGAATTTTTTTTAATAGGTGGATAACGGCAAAACAAACAAACAACAAAACTTGACTTTAAAGAAACCCAAACTTCACTATCAACTTTGGATGGTTTTCTTGCCTATACATCTTTTCTAAATAAATAAAATCACACATGATAGTAAAATGTAATTAAAATATACAACACTACTCCCAGAAAAACCTACTATAATTTGTGCCTACACAAATTTGTCTTAAAAATAGGAACAGGGCACACTGCTTTTGAAGCTACTAAGTCAAACATCAAATGTACACCAAAAACAATTTCAGACTAAACATTCATTCCAACACATCTGTGAAGCTTCCGCAAGCATTTGTTTCCTGCTGCTAGGAGCATGCTTCCTGCTGTTGCAAAATGTCTTCCAACCGTCCATTACTTAATTTCCCAAAGGAAGCAAACAATGGTCAGTAGAGGATTTTAGACAGGCAAAGATAAGGAGATCTGCTATAAGATAAAGTTCCAGCTCTCTAAATGACAGCCCACGCACTGAGCAAACACGGGAAATGTTTCTTTTTTTTCCAATATAATTTCTTCCAGAGAACTGCAAATACAGCAAACTCTGTTAGCTTAAATCCATTTAAATATATTTCAGTCCTGCAGTCCAAGCATGCAATAGGTACTGTATATATCATATAGCATCATTAATAGTGTCACAAAATGCTTCACAGAAATACAAAACTTTGAACATACGTTCATGTTTATATATTCGGAAGGGAGTCTAATACAAAGAGGTAACAACAATATATAATCCTTTTAAAGATGCATATAACTAGGGAGTCATACTAATTTTCGATGTCTACTGTTTATTAAGCTGTAGTGTTCTATATTGCCTGGATTTAGAAGTATTTATTAATGCAGCAGATTTCTCAGGCTCTTTTATTCAAAATGTTGTAGTGTATTTTTCTAAGTTCTTGAAAATTATATATGCCTATGTTGAAGGAAATCTATATATAATTTTATCTATGAACAGCCTATCTAAGTCTTTCAATTGTTGCAGTTTGTCTCTTTTCCACTCCTTTGTATTTTTACCTTAGCAACCAACATTTGCTGTTGGTTTTCAATCTGCTGCTGTTGTCTGGCAGCCATATCTTGAAGTTCTGAAAGCGTGAGTTCAACACGTGGATTCCCAACCTGTAGAAAGCACAAAGCACTACATTAAGATGATTATTTGTTTACACACATTGAATTTTCTGACATCAAAAACCAGACATCAGTAGTCTAAGAATGTTTCTAAGTCCCAATTAAAATCTAAAATACATTTTCTTTTCTTTTCTTCCTCTGAGCTTTGCCAGAGTTTTACGCATTTGGACTGCAGCTAAAAAGCAACCAGCAAAGGGATTACAAATGCCACAAATCAGATTTTCCAGAAACACAAGATCAGAATTTCACAATATGTAATTTACTTGTTTGTTTTCTGTTTCTAGGTTTCTGAATACCCTTGGTTCTATGGGGGCATTTGTTCTATATGTTACATTTGGTACATGGCCAAGAGATAACAAATACTTGATGTTCCTGGGTAGTTTTTTTTGTTGTTGTTTTGTTTTGTTTAAGATGAGACTTTTTCCTTAATTATGGTGAATTATGTATTTTGTGAGCAAAAGCACATGCAAGAATTAGTTTCTAACAATTATTATTCAAAGTGTAGTCTCTTTAAAAATCTAAGAGTCTTTCAGGCTCTGAAGCCTGGGGGGAGAGATGGGCTTGAGAACCCGAGCTCCAACCCAAGTCCACATCAAAGCACTGTCCTACACAGATATTTTTACAGCTCTAAGTCTGTGGACCAAGGCTGGAATGCTTGCTCTGAGAGGCAGTGCAGACATGCCCACAGAGGGGCAGCAAGAGAGGCACCCCATCCCTAATAAGAGCTCCCATAACAGAAGAGGAAGGATGGACCTCTATAAGAAGGAAGGCAGTGGGAGGCAGAAGATAGATAATACCATGGGGAGAGAATAGAATACAAGGTGGAAGAGAAAAGTTAACATGAAAAAGCAAGGAAGTGGATGAAGAAGAGAAGCAAATATGGAAGACAAAGAATGAGGAGAAAACAAATGCTGCAACTCAAAGAAAGAGAAAAGAGAACAGGAAACAGTACACAAAAACAAAAATGGTACAATGCCACAAGAATGAGTAAGACAGAAAGAGACAAAGGAGGGGGGGAGATACAGAGAAAAAGGGAAAAGCTGGAATAGATACATCTTTTAGGTTCAATAAGTATTTATTTTAAATGTGTTTATTTTTATTGAATTTCTATGGCAGATTTCCAGTTTCTGGCCTAAAGGTTGTCTCTCCGCCCTTATTTAAGCTGAGCAAGTTACATGTGATGTCATCATGAATCATCTCAGTGGTCCTCTCTAAGAAATCCTAAAGACAATTCTGACTTTTGCCAATACATATATAAGAAAGAATGCACATGGGGCTCTCTTTGTTTTTAACTTCCCAGTGAAAGTAAAGATTTTCACACTTCAGACAGTCATGAAAATTCCTCATAAGGATTACACACAAGATGGCCATCACAAGCTTTAAAGAGTTAAAAATCCTATTTTTCCCCCACAACAGCACATGAAAGCAGTTTTTCTCTAGTGGCAATAAATATTAATAGAAATGAGAAAAATATATAAATAGAAAAGCCTCCATTTTTTGATGACCTAGTACTGCTTAAGATCCATTTTTTGGCAGATTTAATAAAAATTAAATTGAGGCCAATAAATTACTGTGCTGTGTTTTAACAAATTTTGCTTGTGAAAGGTAACAAAAACCTTCACAAAACTGAAGCCAAATCATCTAATATTTGGACAATTTTAAACACTTTGTTAATGAGGAGCAAGTATTGAATATTATTTACAATTTGTAAGGCACTTTGAAAATATGAAATGCTAAGTATTATATTGTTTTAACAGGAATACAATTACTATTCAAATTATTTCAATAATTTCATATTCTTTTATTAAAAAAACCGAAGTCATTTGTACCTACACGCTCAGGCCTTCTACTCTGTGAAACATGTTCATAAAAAGAATTTTTTTAAAAAAGTGGGAGTAAAAAAACAAAACGAAAGTAAATTCCAAATGTCAAAACTGCTCTATATCTCTCACCAAATATCTGCTCTGCTACACTTAGATAAATGAATGTTGCAATACCAGAACTTCACTATAATCTTGTCAAACAGAACATAGTATACCAACACCTGAATAGTAGGAAGAGTTGGTAGGCGAAAATAGTGCAACTTTTGTTACAACTGGTTTGAAATGTAATGCAATCAGCAAAGTTTAGTAATGAAACAGGCAGGCTATTGTGCTGGCAATGTAGTCATTCTACATTCAATGCAGCATTTGAGCCAATGCGTAAGATTACATTATTAATAACAAAGTTAAATGTACAACATATCCTACCCCATTACAATCACTCTCACAGAAAAATCAAAGGAAGTTAAAAAACGCTCCGGAAGTGTTGTGAGATGAAACTCAAAACAATGCTTACACGAGGGGAGAGAGGTTTTAAGATTCATAGACAGGGCAAAGCAACAATCACAGGGAAATCTAAGCCAAACCCCACATCTCCTGGCATCTGAGAGGAGACCTGGTTCAGAGTCTCTGCTCCTTGGTCCTCCCAGGTTGCCTTGCATAGTTCTGTAATGATCTGAGCTGCCAACAGATCCTGCCATACCAGTATCTTTCCCAAGAGAGGAAAACTCCTGCTCTGAAATCCACCAGGTAACAGAGAAACAGGGCACTTGAGTAACTGACCTCCAGCTCTGGTACACACTGCTCTGAAAGCTACAGATCTCCAGTCTTTGTGTCCCTGCAGAGTAGTTTCTTTGAGGTGCAAGTAGTGGGGAATGGAAAACAACGATTTTGACAAGCTCATATTAAGGTGGGCTTTCTGCTTCTTTGTTGCCCTTCACAGTATAGAATGAAAAGAAGCAAAAAATTTCCCTAGTCACAAGAACAGACTTTCATAAAACTACTGTATATTCATACTGCAACAGGGATTGCTAACTAGGAGGTGGGGGGAGAGGGAGGGGAGGAATGGCAAATAATGCCATTTTAACTTTTTTATATTTTATGTATAACAATATCTTAACAATATCACTGTAACTTCATATAGTCTTCCTGAGAGGTCATTCTTTACAACACGGAATATTTAAAATGTTCCTTTCAGGTGAGTGTCCTTTTTATCCATTTGCACCCAGTAATAGCATAATAAAAAGTAATATGCACATAGTCATTTCCTATTGTCAAAGCACCGCACAAACACTTAGCTAATCCTTCAAAACATTCCTGAAAGTTAAGTATCATTCCCATTTGACAGATGAGGAACAAACAGAGAGGGTAAGTACTTGCCCAATGCTACATACGAAGTCAATAGCAAAGCAAGTATCAGAACTCAGGAAGGTTTCATATTCTCATAACCAAACTTATTCCAGTATACTATTCTGCCTCAATATCTGCTAATTATTTCAAACTTTGAATTAAAATTGAACTCTGAATCACACTTCATTTTTATGTAAAGGGAACCCAAATTATTTCCATTCAAGTTTTTATTTTATATCCATCCTGAAATTCAGACTGGAAATAATTTTTATAGACATATTTTAATTTAGAATACAAGCTGTTTGTCTGTCATCACTTATCCTACCGTAAATGAACAAATGTACAAGTTTGAATTTAACTATTGAGTTTAACTGAATATATGAATTGTATATACTATTACATACACTCACACACGAAATCAGCTCAGATGCATGAAAGCAGTTCAGCCACTAGGGAGATCCAAATTTGGAATATTTCCTTTGCAAGCTGCTAAGGCATCAGTATGGTATAGACATGACTTACTTAAATTCCAGAGGAGAAAAAGACCGTCCACTTGGTGAACACCTCCTGCTGGTCATATTATGGAGCAGAATTAGAGCAGAATCATATTGGAAATAGTAGCCCAAGTAACCCTACTCCTAGTAAATGTCAGCATCAATGGAAGCTGTTTATAAAAGATGAATAGGTGATGAATAGGGTAGGGTATGGAATAGTGGCCCTAAATCAAAGGGGTATAAAAATACTGGCATAATGTCTAGATCAGATACAGAACACCTTCGTATTAATTTGATTTACCAAAAAGAGAAAATCCTAGATAGTAGTTTGTTCTAAATTTTTTAAGTAGCATGACTGTAACAGACATCTTTTCCACAGTATTCTCCCTTATAGGTCTCATACCTTGCCTAAGCTTCCTGCTTACTATTACCATTAAATGGCCAAGACATTTTACAATGAGCTATATATTAAAGCAGGGCTCAAAATGGAAAAGAAAAGTAAGTTCCACCCACAAATCAGCATATGTTCACTTAAAGACACAAAGATAAGATACCAAAATGAAATGCTGCTCCTAGTATATTGTGCACATGTTGAAAATAATCACAACTGCTCTGTTGTGTTCCTTGGGCATGACTCCCTGTCAATAGGGCTCAGCTGATCTTCTTGGGCTTGGATCCCCCAGCTGGGCTCAGGATATCCCTGATCTTTGTTGTGTTTGGTGGATTTCAGACTTGGCTCCTGACTGGTAGGGCACAGATGCTTCCTGGTTCTCCCTGCTTAATGGCTCCAAGGGTCAGAATGGGAAAAACAGGTGGTATTCTCCCATGCACCACAGACTTTATACCAAAATGAGATACCACTTGCATTAAACTGTGCAGATCTTCAAAGTCCTTCCTTCTTGTATGCTTTGATCAGCAGTCAAAGTTGGCAATGTTGACATTTAAATTATCATCCTTAAACTTCAGACTGCCCCCTCTCTTCCTGCCTAAGACATATGGACGCAATCCACACCTCTCAGAGCTATTGTTAAGAATGTCTACAGACTCAGGAAAACATCACTGCATCAGGTTATGTCTGTTCACATTTTCAAGATCATCATCCCAACAATAAGGCTAAACACATTTGTTTCAAAATGAAAGCTCAGATCTTGGAGTACAAAATGACAACCTTTAAGAAAATAATTGATTTTCAGAGCCACCACAAGCCATCCCCAGTTTGACTCCCGATAACTAAGAACTCAGCGCTGCTCTAGATCAGTATGTTTTATGCATATCTTTTAAAACCTATTATTATGCTTAAACACATGCTACATACAGCATACAGAAC